TTCAACTTCCCCGGTTCAGTCTGGAACCATGGTTTGCTGGTAAAGTAAGTACGTACTGTGGGCTCTTCTTGGCTTGAAGGAATGGAAGATGGCGTAAAATATAATACGATATGACACGGTGGATCTTGTAGGTAATTGTAAATATCGTTTTCGAGCAAGTTATCTACCAGAGTTTGGTACAGACGAACTTTACTCGACTTTACTCTCCTAGCGTTCGAGTTGATCTCGGTAAGGCTCGAGCGTACCTCAAGTGGTAACAGATCCGGCATCTTGGAGTCTTTGGTACCTAACGTAGCCATGCGGCACCACGAGCAGCGGGACATTATTCCGGGTCTTGCATCCGGTTCAGATACTTACCTACCTTTACCACCTACCTAGGTAGAGATAGTAGCAGCTTAGAATCAATTAGTTTCATTGTAATTTCGATGCCGCTAGGGCAATTAGCTACCTAAGGTAGACTATGTAGGTTAGAACCACAAGGGAGGGGCGACGATGGGCTCCCCCTCCCCGTCCTTGCGTCCGTAGCTAGAGCTAGCGAGCGTGCTGGCGTGGGCTCTGAAACGGTCTGCGCACATTTAGTCCGTTCGAACCCGGCAGTTTGGCTCTTGATACCAAATTACACTATCGCGACGGCGGCCCACGAAGCCGTGAATGAACCCAAGCTGCTCGCCGACTCTACATAGCACTGTTTTCTAAGCTTAGGCCAGTGGATATCTACTTTATATTCGTACGTGTATCAGTCGGTATCATATGAATTTTTTTTCCTTCTTTGACGAGGAGCGTCGGACACGTTAGCTTAAATAGTGGCCTGGCAATCCGTACTAACCTGATAATTTATTATACCTCTTCCTTATTGCCGGGTTCAAATAAGCAGCCTCGGGTTGCCGACTAGCGCCGGTACGGTACGGTATCGTATTCAAGTCAAGTTCCTTTTACTCCCCCCCCCCCCTTTTCTTTTTTTTTCTTTTTTTTCTTTTTGGTGGTCATTAGCAACTAGGGAGCTTCGAGAAGCGTCGCTCGTACCGGGGAAAACCCGGAGAATTTGTCAAAGACACGAACGAATGAGCTTCAGTCTGGTGACTTACATCCACAGGCTTTACTTCCAAGAACGTAATATTGCCAATTAGTTAGGTACCTACCTAAGTCAGTAACCTAATCTCCTATACGATTTAGTATGCAGATCTAAGACGACGAGCATGATGCTATTAAGGTATTGGGCTACCTATATTAACTCTAGGTAGTTTAGTCTATCTGTCTATCTAATGGGGTTTATATTAGCTTCTCTTTTCATGTCCATACAAAGGTGTCGTGAAATCACATGCAAGAATAGAATATACAGTACTTGGCTATCGAACTGTTTATAGCTGTCCATCAGATATCTATCGATTTACCAGAAAACTTCTTATATTACCTGATACTATTCGAAAGTCGCAACAGCAGAGTCACTTGTAGCACTATTTCGTACTACTGTAGATAGTATGAACTCTTCAGCCTACAGCTAACCGAAGAAACTCTCAGTAGTCTTGATGATATACGCAGTTGATTATTATCATCTCGCATAGCAGGTAGCTTACCTAATCTAAACTATCAACTCCTATCTCTACAAGTTTCCTCTGTAAGAACATATATGTCATCGCTATCATCTGTTTCTAAGGGTCTATATATTGGTAGACAATACTTAGTAGTCATTCCCTACTAAAGACGAACCATATATATTTACACGCCACGGCGGTAATATAATAATAGGAGTGAGAAAACAGAGACAATATTACCCGCGAGACAGCGCAGTTCCTCGCAGATACTCGGGACGCCTCGAAACCCAGCAACCCGGGTTTTCCAGACAAGCTGAGACCTTTTCGGGCGGCCGCTATCACCAAGGGTCGCATGTATGTACCTATTGTATGTATTTACGCTCATACATTATGTGTGCGAAGGTTCTCCCACCTCGCCGGGAGACCCGGGGCGCCGGCACGGCAAATCACATCATGCAAGATGAGCAAAGTGCAGCAGAAGGCAGGGTAAACAAATGGGGAAACCAAAAAGACAAGGAAGAAAGAAAGAGGGAAAAAGGGGGGAGGGGGGGAGGGTAAAGGAAAGAAGGAAAGAAAAGGAAGAAAACATGCTGGCCTGGTCCCCACGTCTGCAGGCACCCGCGACCCTGCCGATCGGAGTCGACGAGAGACAATGACATGAGGAGACAACCCCGTGTCTCACGATGCGGCTGGTAAGAGATAGAAGCACGGATTAGGTAGGATTGGGATTTGGGGTTTGGGAGAGGAGGAGAGAGAAAGACAGACGGGATGGTGGAAACGGGCATAGGAGAATTATCCACAACCAGAGACATGAATCGTGATCCAAGCCGTCGCTGTCTAGGTGGCTTGGAGGTACGTAACGAGTACCGTTCGTCCCGCACTGCAACTCAACTCAACTCAACTCAACGGCTCCATATGTCCCGTCCGCCCTGCCGCCCCCATCTTCCATCTCGCTGGGACCTCGGATAGACCGCGCGGCGAGATGGTTTTTGTATACGTCGTATAGGTGCGATATAAGAGAAGTGAGAAGCAGGCTTAAGATCTACCTAACCTAAGCTATAGGATATATATTTTAATGCTATTTAGGCTATCTAGGCTAGGTACCTAACCTAGAAATGTCTGGATGAAGACCTATGACCTCGTAGATATTGTACGAGCCAATAATACATCTATACGTTAGATAGGCACTGATGATAGTATCAACTACCTATGCCTATGCCTATGCCTAGATACCTATATCAACAATAGTAGAACTTCAGCAAACCCTCCGTGTTAAAAAAGAAGGCGATATACCCTCGAACGAACCCCTTCGTGCCCTCGACCTGAAACGGCGCGTCGCAGCACAGAGATTTGCGACACGCAAGGTTCGCACAAAGAGGAACCGATACACAGCACAGGACAGCATAACACAAGGAACACCTTGGACAGAAAGGGGGATAGGTAGAGAGGTGTTGATAGACAAGGCAGATCGCGCGTGTGGACTCGCCGTCGGTATGACACCACATAGGTAAATCCTCTCTAAGCCAGCACTCGAAGTATCTGAGTTATTTCGTCTTCATCCTTGAACCACATGATCCTAGACTTATGAGGTTAGATACTAGTTTATTTTATTTTATTTTATCTTTTCCTCACCTCAATCTCTCTCCTTATCCTCCTCCCCTCCTCCCCCCTCCCTATGAGTTCGTTCCGTGTTCGAGTACTAGTAGGTAGTTAGACTGAGCCATTCTCCTCGGTGAAGCTAAGTAACAATCGTAAGCAGCACATACACACACATACACACACGCACGCGCGCGCGCGCAGTACGCCAATCCCCTTTCCTTTCCTACCCTTTCCTCCTTCTTTCCTTTCTCGTTTCCGCACGTCGCACAAATCGGCTGACCGACATCTGGCCCGCTGGCCTGGGTTTCCCAGGTCTTCGGTAACCGCCCAGCCTGTTTGTAGCCCGCCTTTACCTAGTAATGTATTTTATTGCAGGTACCTGTTCGTCTGCCCTTAGCCTTAGGTAGCAAAGCACCTAACCTAGGTATCTACCTGTGTCTATCCAAGAGAAGAAGGGGAGGCGTAGATTAGTTCGTTCGTTCGTTCGTTCGTCCATCCATCCGTCCGCCTGCTAGGCCTAACCCTATAATCTCCTTTTCTTACGGCCGTATGCGATAGCTTCTCCCGCTCTGTACCTCGTACGTAACTAACCCTAGGAGGTAGATAGTTATTACCCACCTCCTAAGATAAAGTACCTGACGTACTGGATGGACATGGTAAGATGCGCGCCAGGGACGCGGGTTCGAGCGGGTGCTCGCTTGCTTGGGACCGGAAAATTTTCCCTTTTCCTCTTTTTTCCCTTTTCTGATATCCCCCCTCCCTGACCCATCTACCGGGTAGGAGAAAAAAAAAGAATTAGGCGAGTTGTCTCGGGATCACGCCTGATATGACATGATATTGGCGAATCCCAATGCGTTGAACGGGGAGAGGCCTCGTAGCCCATATCATATCCCTGTCCTGATGACGGAATCCGTGTCCATCTTGGTAATGCGTTCATGTCTCGAATTGGAACATAGGTAGACCGGTTAGACTACGAAGGTGGAAAGGCTCATGGAGTTTTTCTTTAGAATATACAAGTTTTACACGGTATTAAGTCTCAAGCTTCACCAAGAACCATGCCTTTTTTGGCCGATGAGATCACATGTATTACTTGAGCCGTGGTCATGCAATGGCCTATCCTGTTCTGCGTAGGTACCACACGAGACCGCAATATTAAGACATGCAAGTCTTGCCGAGACCATCTATCTGGACGTTTACCTGCGCCTCTCCGCGTTTATCTTCCGAAGATATGGGGGATCCATTGTCCTTAACGGGATAGCGAGCTGTATGCATCCGGCCTAGCCCATCTCCGCGGTACGGGAGAAGAATAACAGGTACCTAACCTAACCTAGGGTACGTCACGATAGCGCCGGAGACATGGAATAAAAGCAGAGACCCAGCAGCCGCTAGAGACGGCCAGTGGTCTGGGATGGAGCCAAGATAGAAGCACGTAGCAGCACGAAACATCTTGTCTCACACGGGCATATAATCTCGTGCGCCCCAACTTTGGGGATAGAACGTCGAGAATGTTTGTGGCGGGGCCATCTACTCGCTTCTTCCGGCGAAGGGGTCATGCCGTGCGATGTAACACAGCGATCTGGTGGCCTTGGTGGTCCGATGCGGCGGAGGACGACAGGAAACGTCTTGCGACGTCAATTTTGCGTCTAGGGTTGCCGGCCGTGGTATCGCGTCAGATCTGCCGACAACTCGTCCGGTACGATGGTGGCAAGGCGATAAATAAGACGAAAACCCGCGCTGAACAAGGCAATCTGCGCTTAATGAAAGGAGGAGGACGCTAACGTCGTGGAACTTTGCAACTTTGCAGCTTTGCAGATGATGCATCTATTGACCGTACCTAGATGTATACTATTTTTTCAACGCCTCTGAGGTGAGATGGTTCTCACTAAAGTAATGCTACCCAACGCCGTAGCTATGACATACATGCTGAGGATATGAACAAGAAACTGAAGAACATAGACGACTATAGGCGAGATTGCACTGGCGGGTTACTGCTCTCTTCTGGCCATCGTACGTCGGGCCAAATGATACGGATGGCTTCCCAAATATGACTGAGGAATCTTAGTTAGCCAGATGAAAGAAGCATAAGGTAGACAAAGATGGAATTAGGAGCTTGGATAGCGGGAGTACATACTTGACGTAGATGATTTTCAGGCCATCCCTCACTTCTGATGGAACTTCTCTTGCGTCCTTCTCGTTCTGTGCCGGTAACAGTACCGTCTTAACGCCAGCGCGGTATGCTCCGATTAGCTTCTCCTTTATTCCCCCGACTCTCTTCACGTGGCCAGAGAGTTGGAATTCACCCTATCACAAGTATTAGTATCTCGTATATATATGTGTAGAAATCATAGGTATTCAACTTACAGTCATAGCCATTGTTGGAGGGACGGATCGTCCTGAAAGAAGTGATATGAGTGCGATCGCCTGAGCCATCCCACTTGATGGGCCATCTTTTGGTACGGCTCCCGAGGGGCAATGGACGTGCAAGCTGCGTTTCGACATGATGTTTTCCGTAGGATCCTGGGTCAAGCCTAACTCGTAGGCGTGGTTGCGAACCCAACTCCTTGCAACTTTGACACTTTCTTTCAGAACATCTCCGAGATTGCCTGTAAGCTCTACACTGCCATCGCCGGGCATGTCGAGGACTTCAATAAATAGAATACCCCCGTTTCCTCCAAAGCTATAAGCGACAAGTCCCGTAACTATACCCGGCTGGGTGGTCTTCTCCGCTATCTCATCTTCGAACTTTTCTATGCCTAGAATAGATTCGAGATCCTGAAGCATAACCTCTGGACGGTACGTCTCTGGTTTGCCACGGTCATTGGCTTCCACGAAGTCGACCGCCTTCGCACGGCAGACGGATCCTATCTCTCGCTCGAGGTTACGGACTCCTGCTTCTCGAGTGTACGACTCAATGATCTTTGATATCACTTCCTCGCTAAATCGTACTTGATCTTCCGAGAGTCCATTCACCTTGATCTGCTTAGGTACAAGGTGTCGCAAGGCAATATGTCGCTTTTCAAGCGTGGTATAGCCGGAGAACTCTAGGGTTTCCATACGATCTAGCAGCGGTCCGGGGATAGTGTCGAGAGTATTCGCGGTGGCAATAAAAAGAACCTTGCTCAGGTCAATTGGAGTATTGATGTAATGATCGTGGAACGCATGGTTTTGTTCGGGATCCAGCACTTCAAGCATTGCTGCAGCAGGGTCGCCATTGTGGTTAGACATGCCCAGCTTGTCTATCTCGTCCAACAGGAAAACCGGGTTGGATACACCAACTTTCCTTAAGCCTTGAACAATTAGTCCCGGCATCGCGGCGACATATGTTCTTCGGTGTCCTCGGATTTCCGCCTCGTCCCTGACGCCACCGAGCGAGATGCGATGGAATTTACGGCCAAGTGCCGTGGCGATTGACCTGGCTATGCTAGTCTTGCCAACACCAGGGGGACCAACCAAGAGCAGGATAGGTGCTTTCTCAACTGATCGCTTATTCCGTAGCATCTGAACCCTAAGGCCGGTAGCCTTTATTTTCTCTTCTAATTCGGGATCGATGGTTGAGGTATCCTTTGTATTTTGTTTACTAGCCTCCAAGTCGGCTACCTCCTGTTGTGCTTGCTTGATTTGCTGCTCTACTGCACGGTTTGCTGATTGCATCAATCTTACGATGGTGAGATATGATAATAAGCGTTTCTTCACTTTCTCAATTCCGTAATGATCGTTATCGAGCTGCTTCCTTGCAGCTTCTAATGTGCTGGCTTCAATCGGATCATCCGTAACGACAGACCATGGTATCTCGGACAATGTCTCAAGATACGTCCTAACGACCTGATACTCGGCCTGCGCTGGATTCATTTGCTTTAGCCGCTTCAACTCGCGCTGGGCCACGGTCGCAGCATCGGACGGAAGTTTGGCATCCTCGAGCTTCTTTTCGAGGTCCTGTAAGTCGTCCGCATCTTGCTGATCGCCTGATCCGCCACCAAACATACCAAACGGGCTTCCACCGGTAAGACCAAGGCCAGCTGGAGGTTTAAGCCCCGGTAGCGGTGGTTTGCCATTGCGTCGGTTCCTTATCCTCTCTATTTCTTCCTGGTCGATACGGATGGGAATAACCCCAGTGCTAACAGAAGTAACATTGATATTGCCTTTTAAGTCCTCCACGTGGCGGTCCAGAATCTCAATCACTTTCCGCATTCGGGTTGCCACATCAAGAGCGGCAAGGACTTGGAGCTTCTCCTCGTAAGTAGTATCAACCACATTCATCATAAAGTCGGCTAACGAGCCTCCCTCGCTAGGTATTTTCCTAGCAATAAGCTGTTCGAGCCTCCGCGTTAGAAGAGGATTTAGCCCCGCGGTACCGCTAGATAGTAGAAAGGCAGACACGCGAAGGTAGGATACGAGTTCCCGCGAAAGTCGCTTTAGAGTGCCGAAGAGCTCCTGGTAAGAAGGCTTCTTGAGTTCCTCGGCATCGAGCTGGTCGGTGTGAGGGAACACTTTAGCCTCGAAGAAGGGACGTTCTTGCGTGACCTTATCAACAGAAACGCGGGAGACTCCCTGCACGAGCAAGTTGAACTCAGCTCCATTCTGTCCTTGGATCGCGGTAATTCTCCCCGACACTCCATAGGCAAATAACTGGTCCTTCTTGATGTTACTCTTATTCGCGTTGATAAGCTCTTCGTACTCAGCGGGTTTTTCCTCTAGGAGTGCCTGACCGCGAGAGTTTAACATAGGCGAGTTAAGCGGCACGCAGATAACAGGGATCTGGTCAACCCGACTCGAGTTCTTGGAGGCGCGGGCATATACGTTCGAAAGTAAGGCGGGTATATCGGAGCGGTCGGTAGGTACAGCTACTCGAATGATAGAGCCGGGGAAAAGAACATTATTTTTACCCAAAGGGATCACAGGCATAGCTGTCGATTGAGCCATGTTGACCTGGCGTGTCTCCCCTTTGGGGGTTGCGCTCGATTGGCCAAGGAAAAATAATAATAAGAGGATGACGAACTTGAAAAGGTGAGAGAAGTCGTGCTGTGCTGTTGCTACGTTGTACAAAAGAAACAGACGAGACGGCGAATTAGTTCGCTAGCTCGAAGTTGATTGAGGGAAGTTTCAGTTTAGGATCGGTTCGGTTGATGGTGTTGTTATTGATGTGTGGAATGTGTGGAATGTAGGTGGTAGGTAGAAATTAGGTAGAAAGGATGTATTGTACAGTACAATAAAAGTACAACAAAACGGTTGTTGCATGTGGAAATCATTAATAAATGTTGATGTCAGAATGGTAGAAGGTTCTCATGCGCTGTAATAAACCCTGTAGGCTACGTAGGTCAGGCCACTGGGCAGGTACAGTAGAACCTTGGAGCTGTCATCCCAGCCATCTCAGAACAGAACTTACCGAGGTCTACGCTTTAAGCTCCTCCCTCCGAGCCAACAGTCTGGGTATCTTCCCGTATCGAAGCCGAGGACTCCACATCACAAGATTTTACGGTTCGATGGCATTGTGATAATGCGTGATAGCCTCATTCCATTTACCTGTGTTTTCTATTCCGTACTTTAGCTTACTAAATACTTCTAAAAGTCGTATTATCACCAAAACAAGGTGTAATCCATACGTAGAAAGTTGCTGAGGTACCGGCTAGATGAAGTAAGTACTTGATAGGTATAGTTTGGGTACATTAGGTACCTAAGGTACCTTATTAGGCATCCCTTCTTTAGCAGGTCGCCGGACCTTTACACGACACAAGCCACAGCAGGCTACCTTAGCCGTGCGCCAGCTCACCAGCTGACCAGCTACCCCGCGATTTAGCGTAACAAGGCCTAACCAGTTTGAATAAGAGTTTTAGATAAGAAAATCAATTAAAAAAAAAAGAGACCAAGTCGCGTAATCCGATCTTTTGAACGCGTCTTTCCACATGAGACACCTTCGCATCATCATCACTTACTACAATCACCACCACCACATCTACTAGACAAACCGCCTCATACCATAGAAAATGACTAGTACGTATCCCGCCACCACTACCATATATCTACAAATACATCCCTTTATTTATTTGTATAATATAAAATATACCTACATAGGTCTTGCATGTATACCGTAAAATACGAACTTAATCTAACCTAACAACAGGCTACGGAGGATACACAGGCACGACGTACGGCGGCGGCGGCGGCGGCAACGACGGGGGCGGGTTCTTCGGAGGGTCGCAGAGCGGGAGCCAAGCGGCGGGGAGCGCGGGGAGCGAGGACTCGCTGCGGCCGGTGACGGTGAAGCAGATCCTCGACGCGGAGCAGTTGTTCAACCGGGACACGAGCTTCCGGATCGACGGCGTCGACGTCTCGCAGGTCACCTTCGTCGGCATGATCCGCCAGATCAGCCCCCAGACCACCAACATCACCTACCGCCTCGACGACGGCACGGGCATCATCGAGGTCAAGCAGTGGCTCGACGCCGACCGCCAGGACGACGCCAGCAACAACAACCCCTCCTCCCCCTCCCGCTTCCACGAGGACCAGTACGTCCGCGTCTGGGGCCGCATCCGCAGCTTTGGGAATAAGCGCCACGTCGGCGTCCACGTCATCAAGCCCGTCACCGACTTCAACGAGGTCAACTACCACCTGCTCGAGGCCACCTACGTCCACCTGTTCTTCACCCGCGGCGCGTTAACGACCGGCGGCGGCGGCGACGGCGGCGACGGAAATGCCGCCGAAGACGACAGCATGTTTGTCGAGAACAACGATTCCGTGTTCCTGCAGGGCGCGTCGGCCAGGGCGCGGAAGATGTACCAATACCTCAACCAGGCGAAGAGCAGCGAGGGCACCAACCTGCACGTCATAGCTAGGGAGGCCAACATGACGGTCCAAGATGTGATGGCTGCTGCCGACGAGCTGCAGGGCCACGGCAAGATCTACACTACTTTAGACGACGAGACGTTCGCCGTACTGGAAGGATTTTAAAACGGCATGGTCTCGGTAGCGAATTGCTATCGAAGTTGAAAAAAATAAAATAAAACGGAAATATGCTGCATGTCACGTTACGGCGTTTTTGGCATGATAGAGAGAGAGAGAGATTATGCGAGGCATAAGGCGGACATCAATCACATGGGGCTTGGCTGCGAGAATGGCACCAATATGTATAATGAATGTTTTCTAGTGAGAATTATCTACCTAGATACGAAGGATTGACTTAATGATACCTAAAAACAAATGAGGAGCCACAATTGAAGATAAATACTAGTATGCAACCACCCCCTTCATCTCCCCCCTTGATAAATGAATAGCGACGTACCAAATCCGAGACCAAAACTAGACGGGGCTAGAGAGAGCACCCGTAACCGCAACCGCAACGGGCGAGCAGCGCCGAGAAGGCCTAGCAAGTAAGGCGGGAACGTGATAGATGCTAGATGATAATGGTTTCCTGTAACACTTTGATCGTCATCAACGAGAAACGAGAGGAAGAAAGTAAATGGAACCGGGGTTTGTCCGCCCTCCCCCCATAAGGAGGAGGAGCCTAGGTTAGAAGCGAAGAGTAGAAGAAGAAGAGTAAGCAATTTCACATCGCAAGCTTAGATCGTTAACTCATCGACCCCTATCAACTTCAGCGTCATAATCATGAACATAAAATCAACAACAGCAGCAATATCAAATAGCAATAACAAAGATGGTGGTGGTGGTAGTGGCAGTGGCAATGGCGGCGGTAGCAGCAGAAGCAAGTCTCGTCGTCGGTCCTTCTTACATCTTCTTGAACCCGTGGTTAAGCTTGATGGGGATCGACTTCGACAGCTTCTGCGGCTCGCGGACCATGATGCTCAGACGGACTGGGGACTTGCAATCGATGCCAAGATAGATGTCCTTCTTGAACTCGAACCCGAACTTTTTGTAGTATGCCGTGTTCTTCTCCGAGCTCGACTCGAGGTACATGGCTCGGCCTTCGGCGTCAGCCTATACAACAAAATCAGCATACAGGTGGACAACTATCGTTGAAAATTACAAGATCATATGGTTGGGTTGGTTAGGTAGGTAGTCCATCTATATTCAAATGCTTGTGTTATAGGTATCACATCATCGCACGTACCTTGGCAGCCATCTGCTCGATGAGCTTCCTCGCATAGCCCCTACGCTGACCGCTGGGCTTGGTGCCCAGGTATACCAGGTAGTAGCAGTCGTTGTCCCTGTCACCCATGATCTCGGCCTTGGTGTCGTGGAGTATCGGCATGAGTTCCTTGTAGTAGCGCTTGCGGCCCTCGGCGGACAGTTGATAGTAGAGTCTCCACATACCACTGCGGCAGATGGTCAGCCAGTCGTCCATCTCCTTGCCCGGCGGCATCCTGTACGTTTGCAATAGTCACGTGTTAGTTAACAAGTTATGTGCAATTTACTTTTTGCTTTTACCAAGGGTAAGCCCCCGGGAAGCAAGTAAAACCCGAGTCGAGGCTACGTATCGTCTGGCTCGTAGCATGCATGAGGTACGTAGCCCTAGATCCCTTGTTTTCTTTTCCCCGGTCGCCCTTCTTGGTCTGACGGCAGACTCACCAGAGCGCCACGCCCTCGTAGTCCGGCCCGATGGTCGTTACGACGCCTCTGTAGCAGTGGGCCGCCACGATGTAGTTGAATATGTCAACGTGGAGCCGCCACTTGGTCTCGTCGTCGTAAGCGACCATGTCGTCCGTATCAAGGACGTACTGTGCCAGTTCATCAGTAGCAAAGGCCTGCGCTAGAGACAGCGCTGCTTCCTTATACTCCGATATCCCGATAGCACGGACTTGACCCTCCCATTTTTGTGGAATGAGAGAACGCTTCTTCAGCTCCACAAGGGAAACACTGTTGCTTACGTGCTCCATGTTGGGCAGCTTTTCTACTCGGACCTTTCCGGTAGCTGAGAATCAAATATAAGACGAGTCAGTCGCGACGTCACGATATATTTGAAACTAAATTAGATTGAGTAGGTAGGTAGGTATGACAGCTCACCTTAAATATTATTACTTGATATATCTTGTATACTATCTCCTGTGTGAACTCTCGACAACTGAGTTCTTGAGATAGGCATAAATCTCGCGGGATGAGCTAGGCAATTGAGGCTCGTACGAAGGTCAACAGACATCAATGTTAAGTTGACGAGGGTGTCGGTTTGAAACTGCGATACTTTAATTCAGACAACAAGCGACGTCACTGGGAAGGGAGACGAAGAGCCCCAAGAGTCGGACAGGCGTAAGAATTGAAGCTGTAGAGTTTGGATTGAGACGACGAGGTAAGTATAGGTAGCTAGCGACAGAGAACTGAGACTTGAAAGTACTAATCCCGTGTGAAGGGATAGTGTGCTATAGCAAGATCGATCAGCGTAGCTTTTGTCTATTCCACCTTGAAAGTGACTGGTTGTTGTATCCAAGTATAATTTCCCGGTTAGAGTAAGAGAAGCGGAGGAAGAAAGAATCAAGGCTTCCGGGAATCTGGGGGGCCTTAAAAGAGTGGCGAGTCGGGGCACAGGGGCACAAAGCACAGTGTACAATGGTTGGGTAAGGCGAAGGGCCAAGGAAAAAGAAAGGTGCGTGGGATGAGATGCAGAGGGCCTGAATAGTCAATGGTAAGCTGAGGGAGCCGCAGACGGCATTGAAACACAAGTGACCAACCAGCCGCTAGAGAACGGATGTAAGACACTATTCATTTCCTATCCACGCCCTATCCATGACTCTTGTGAACTACTACGTAGTACGTAGTAATAGACAAAGAATCTCAGATCAGCTTGCCCCATTGGCTGATTCGGTACGCAGCGGATGACGGTAAGGGTCGGCTAGGGTTATATCTGGGCATATCTGGGCACATCTGGGCACTATACATTTGTGTCCCGTTCCCTACTTGAGTAGTCACAGTGCGTCAGACCCAACGCATTGGGATCTCGAGTTGCCAGACTTGTCTGCATACATTGTACGCCAGTCTCGTGCGCGGGAGTTGGTGTGTGGGAGGGCGTGGGAACTTGCCCATTGGTACGGAGCAGGCGTATTTTCTTAGGTGTGGTAAAGGTGGGATGCTGATTGGTTATGAATACCGCATCGCCTTGACTTGGATAATACCTCGCATACTTCGCATACCTCGCTCTTCGCTCTAGACAGTGTTTAGAGACGCTGATCCCACGTTATCACACGCATCCTCCACTACAAACGTGTCCGCGGCGTCCACCCCGGGGGCACGGACTGCAGCTTACCTACCTAAGGTAGGTAGGTATACAACTAGGTATAGTGAATCCTATAGTTAGTAAATGCTACTACATACAACGACCATAGCGGTTTCGGTTACTTGACTCTTGGCTTTTCGACGTGAGTCTGGTCTAGAAGGAATAACAGTTCGGAGGCACAGAGTTACAGTACCACCACTTATACCATAGGTAGTTACACGAGCGCTTGAGGCGGCCGACCAAATGTTGTCAAGTTAAAGTCTGACAGACCATCCGGTTTAACTATCGTATCATAGTATAGATGGATGTTCCATTGCAGGCGTGTGGGAGCCCAAGACGGGTAGACGGGGCGTGGGGTTACGGTGTTTGCCCCGGGATACCGCGTCATTCGTAGAATTCTTAGACCCTAGATCCTAGAATCCTAGACCCTTAGAACCAAAGAACCAAGGTTTGGGCTCTAATCTGACGGTAGTTTATCAATCGAACTCGCCTTGCTTTTTTATCTTTTGTGAACCAGGGAACCGCGCACTGGGTTGGTTACCTATCTGGTTTACACAGTAGGACGGTACCTAGAGATAACCCAGCAGCCCATAAAGTAGCCAGATAACCAGATAGCCTAGGCCCCCCGGGTCGGTCGGTTGGGGTTATTATACGGTTGCGGAGTTAGGTCGGTGATACTCTCTCGGTGGAAGCTCCAAAGCCCTTGACGCTCCGATATCTAAAAAGTTAATCTTACATCAAGATATTACATAGTAAGTACCTAAGGTATAGTACTTATATGATTGGTTATTATGTTAACGGGGTCTTGCATTTTTTGAAACAATTGAAAAGCAGTTGGAACCCTACGCTTCGAATGCGATAGGGGGCATAAAAAGGGATATCTACGGAAATATGTGGTCCGCCCATTGGGCGTAGAAACAATGTGCTCTAGTCTAGATGAGGCTTTTTCATCCTTTCCAAGGTAAGTAGTAAAAATCAGAAAGAAAAAAAGGTGAACAAAAAAAATAATTCGATTTTTCTCCTTCCTTTCATCAGTTGAACCCTGATTTACATGCTGCTTCACATGCGCCTAATCTCCTGCTCGTTGCTGTACTTCTCGAGTCCGGAGTCGAGGTTCTCCCACCATTCGAAGAGCATCGATTGGCATATGAGCTTGAACCAAGGAGTAAACTTTAATGTCGGGTCTTTGAAGAGAGTCTTCAGCTCATCGGCAGTGACATATTTAGTATCCCTCACTTCGTTAGGGTTGGTATTAAGATTAACGTTGGCCTTGATAAAAAGGATATAGTCAACTAGCGGCAATGGTTAGCATCCTATCGTTATCTTAGTACTCGATTCCACTCTCTTACTCTCGTGTTCGCCCCATTTCCCATCGCTGGGGGCTTTATAATGGATTCGTGTTAAGAAGTGGAAATCTTCAAACGGCACCTGCTCTTTCTTAATGCCCAGCTCCTGGTCGAGTTTTCGCTGCGCAGCACGCTTCACACCGTCGATCGAGTCCGGAAGGTTGGAGCCAGTTTCGCCGGGGATTCCCAAGGGGTGAGAGCAGCACGTATTCGTCCACATGTCAGGGAACGTGATCTTTTCAGACGCACGCTGCTGGAGGAGTAATCGGTTCTGATCATCGAAGAGGAAGACAGAGAAGGCCCGGTGTAGTAGACCCTTGTCGATATTCGTCATGAGATGGCCTAGGAAAATTAGTGAATGCTTTTTTATTTCCTTCCCCAAGAGCCATTACATACAGAGTTTCTTGCTAGCGGTTCCAATCGGGTTGTCATTGTTATCGAGAACAATGCATACCTCCTCCATAAGTCGAATCTGCTCGGCATCGTGACCTTCTAGCTCGGCAGAGCTGGTGTCTATGTCTGGGAAAAGACGAAGAAGCGCTTCCGCCGTCGGGATGTTCTGTGTGACAGTTGTAGTTGTAGACATCGTGATTGTTTTATCGTAATATCTGTTATACTAAATATTCTGCTCGTTTTCTGGGAGGAGGGGGGGACAAGAAACGAAGCGGGTTTGCGAAATTAAGGACAATTTGAATTTGGAAATTGGGATTTGGAAACTGCATATCGATAGCGAAGAGCAGCTAGGTATTCTAATCCCAACAGACCTAACCGCCCTTTAGCTTTACCAGTTGGACGGTGATCCCCCCACCTCTCGGTCTCGACATGTGGAGGTCCCCTCATTTACATAATGCACGGACCACAATGCATGCCTAAGGTAATCATAAAAATTACCATGTACATGTATGCATGTGTACCTAGGTATTATACAACGGACTATGAATGCTGCGAGAGGTAACTACCTAATCTCAATGTCTTCATCAGACTATCAGCCTCACTCATTCAATCTACCCGTCTTATCGGCCAATCAGACACACGTACTGTGTTAAGTAGGCCTACAGTAGGTGTGTATATGTTTCACAATGAACAGGTAATCTAGAATAACGCTGTTCCAAGAACTCCAGACTACATACCTATCATTAACCTTACACAATTAAGGTTTAAAGATGAAGCTTAGGTAGTTTAAGACGGTTTTGCATATCTTACACCAGCAAATCATACACTACTATATTTTAATCTCCAATCAGATATTCCATTCAAACACCAACAAATACCAATATAGTGAAACACAACTATACAACTATAACCACCTACAAAACATGTCGTTCAACCAGCGGTATTTCGATTCTCCGCATCTCGCGCTGACTGTTCCCAGTCCGAGACACACGTGTACCAAAACTCGACTGCAGCAACTCTGTCATAGGGGATATATTAGCAACTTTCGGATGAGCGATTTTATCTAGAGGCGTGTGCGAGTGAAACTTACAGAGCCAATCCTATCGTGGTTCCCAGCCACAAGCCTATAAGTTTCCAATCGAGCGCAAACGCGGTAGCAAACGAGATGGGCAGGGCAAGCAAGTAGTAGATGGACAGGTTTGCGTAACCACCGAATGATTGCTTCCCGATCCCGCGAAGCAACCCGTGGGCGACGGCTGCAAGGCCATCGAAGACCTGCATAACCGCCACAAGCGGCATCACCCTCGCTACTATAGCGATCACCTCTTCGTCTCGGGTAAAGAGAAGGGGGAGCTGATAACGGAGACCAGCGAGTAAGCTGAGGTTGAATAATCCAATAATACAACCCGCCCCGAATGCCTAGCATCCATTAGCCCGTACGCCTCAAAGCTTGGCTGATACTTAGGGGAGTAAACTTACGACTTTGGCTGATGTTTTGGCAGCATTAACTAGCCGAGCTCCTATTAAATTAGCGACCCGCGTAGAGGCGGCGATGGAGACAGGGAAGGGAATATTGAAAGTTGTTGACGTCAGAGTAATTAGAATGCTCTGCGCCGCCAGGTAAGATGTTCCAAATTGGCTCGTTGCCAAGGTGAGGATCTCAAATGCAAGCCATTCAGCCATCACCATCACCATCCCCGGTAGGGCGAGCCGAATCATAGGACCTGCGGTACGTTAGTAATTAACTCGTAACCATACTTGGGGCGGCGTCGCATTGAAACTCACCCCAATTGTTGAGAGCACGGCGGGTGAAGCCTCCCCAGCACTGTGAACCGTCTACAAACAATACGTAGGAAAACAGGAGGAATGGCATAAGTGTCTGGGTTATCGCAACGGAAATAGGCGCACCGACGAATCCGAACCCGAAGTGCCAAACGAAAAGCCAGTTCATGAAAATGTTGAGGGGAGCCGCGATTAGCAAGACGTAAGTTGTCGCGATAAACAAGCCTTGCGACAAAACGAACCGCTTGCCTCCCTCAAATGCAACGAAGCCGGGCACGCCAGCAATAATAACACGAAGATAGAGACCCGCAAGCTCAGCAGACCGCGGGTCAGGGACTATGTGGAGAAGTATGCTCTCAGCAAAGAAGAACAGCACGGCAACCGGGATAACAAGCGACCACAAGAAGTAAACCATCCGCTGGAGCTGTAAACCCACTAAGTGTTTGTGACCCGATCCGTACGCCTGGGCACAGAGAGTATCCAGGCTCGTTGCCAAACCCTGCATTGGAGCGTAGCAGCAGATATTCGCCGTCATGGTGGCCACTACGATTTTGATCAGCGAAGATCAGATATGAACAAGATTAGATACTCCAACTTACAGCTAACCGCACCCAGCTCAATCTTTCCAATCCGACCTACGGCGAAGATACTAGTAATGTTGATGCTATATTGCAACAGGAACGTTAGGACTAGCGATCGCGAGTAAGTTGCAATCGTCTTAGCCTCCCTCTGCCAGGTGGTCTCTATCATCCCCGAGGCCACCGCGGCATCCCACTGCTCGTTTAGGTGGTCATGGTGCGAGTTGCCCGGTTCAGCGGCGCCTGCAAGTAATGGTGAAGTCTCAGAGGGCTGGACCGTGACCCGAGGGACTTCCTCATCCTCTGGCAACTTGCGAACTTTGGTGCTGAACATGGTCTTATACAACCTCGAGACTATTCCAGGTTGTGGTTCGATGATATGTTTAGGTGGGATGATGTGGTTATCTCTTAAAAGACTGCGTTCAGCGTCGCGGGACTGCCTCTTCTCGACTCTGGTGAGAACAGGTTCATTAACCGGGTCTATTACGAGACTCGGTCGTCTGTATCCAAAGGCCATTCCAGTAGGCTGTGTGTACAGAACAGGTCCACTTTCAGTCTCAGACTCGGACTCGGACCCATTATCAAAGGCGTCCTCAACCGCGTCGTCGTCAGAGCATTCCGCTAGATCACTGGCTAGTATTCCTTGTGCTATTGGCGAAGTGGACTTATAAGACGAAGCCATGTCCAGCCCTCTTTTCTTTTGGGGGATTGGTGCGGAATTAGGCATCTTGCCTTGTTATAATGAGACCAAGGAGAGCAACGCGCTTCGATAATATACTCGAACAAAAAGCAAAGAGAGCTGATTCAGCCACATCGAAAAACTAATGGCGTCCGGGAACGTGAACCAATATTCCAGCTAAGGCTTCTTACATCCAAGACCCGAGGTTTCTCTTTTCGCTAGCGGGCGTAGTTAAGTATTTTTTTTTTCAAAGGTATACCTAGATTAAAGGTCTGTTTTTCATATATATATTAAGACGATACTTATAAAAAGCATCAAGTAAATAGTAAATACGTCGTGATGGTAAACTTGATGATAAACTACTATCCAACTTTGTACATTTTTTGTACCACAGTCAGCCTTAGGACTTAAGCTGACTCAATATGATGTTCGGTGTTCACAATGGTTCCTTTTTTTTTTTTTTTTTTTTTTTTTTAGGAGGCAATCGAAACTATTGGCCGCCACCGGAGGTCGTGCTAAGGCGTGCCGTCATAATATTTGTCTCGTCTTAGTTTAGCTTGGGCGGACAGGCGGGTACATACATATTGGCGTTACTCAATTGGGCTTGGGGCTGACTGGGCATTACATATCGGGAAGACAAGAAAAGATTAGGTGGTCTAAGTACCTAGGTACCTATCTGGGTAGGTATACTATTACCCCGCTTCCTATTGGCTCGTGCGCGAGACGGACCCCGGATTCTACACCTATCGCCAACCATAGCGTCCTCTACCCTAGAAGCCACTTATATAATAGTGTACCCTGTGTAATAGTAAACAACTGAAACCCAGATATCATCTTACTATCTATCATAAGTACCTATACTATACATAAGGCAGGATCATTTTCAACTTACCTATTCGAGAGGTAATTATAAGGTACCTTAGACTTTAGTTTACCCAGGCTCAATAAGAAAAAAAAAGAACAATGCCCGCACTTCAACCCGACCCCGAAAGCTCCCCGGCATCATGCACCTGCTGCTGCGGCGTCCCCTCGCTCGCGGAGCTAAGCCGCCCCGTCGAGGTCGACGACTCGCCGTACGGCAGCAACAACGTATTCTGGAAATGGCCCATCCTCGGCCCGCTGCTCGTCGAGAACGAGAGTAGCGATACGCGTGATCATTGCGCCAACGAGCGAAGTTAGTCCCTTTTCCTTTTCCTCTTTTCCTCTTTTCCCTGGTAACCCTTACCTACCTCCTAGGTATCTATCTATAATTACATGCTCTCTATATTGAAAAAGAGGGTAACACAAATAAGCAATCAATAGAAAATACAATAAAAAATAAAACAAAGAAAGGCTAACAATCCCACCCCCGAATTTTTTAAGAAAAGCTTTCCTATCCTACCTCCGGCTCTCCGTGTACATGGCCGTCGTGGCCGTCGCCATCGTCCTGTCCTTCCACCTCAAGTCGCAGCCCTCGGACCTCGAGCTGCGCATGGCCCAGCCGCTCGGCATCGTCTTCTGGATCCTGTCCCTGTCCTGCCTGGTCCTCGGCTTCGGCAATTACATAAGTAAGTTTACTTCGTCTCCGTCTCTCCGTCTTATCTTATTCCCTCCGAATACATACCTACCTTAGGTTAGGTACCTAGGTAGGTAGGTAGGTACCTAAGGTAACCTTACCTGACACTGCCTGTCACCTCGTTGAGAAGACTTGAGAGTTTAGGTACCTTACATGTCACTAATAGCCGGCTGGCTGCGAGCAGAAACGCTGGACAAGTATAGCCGGAAAGTCGCCATAGTCCAGACCGGCTGGAGGACGCAATCGGTAAGATTTTATATGATAACTAAAGCTTATGCGCTTAGTCCTTTTCGTAGTCTCCGAGCTAACAAACCTGCAAAGATCATGTCGCTCATCTCATTATCTATCGTGGGCACTTGTGTCATACTATTGGTAATTACCAAAGCGCAGGTAGAGGAATAATACCAAGGTAAGCACGCTTCTTCTCGACTCCGGCTGCAGGTATGTTTCATTTTTGGTTTCTGGAGTTACGTATATATACATGATTCTGCTTCCATAAATTTGTTGACACCTACCCCTATATGAGTTATATAGTCATCCCGTATCCCGGGCCAAGTACGCCAAACACCACTATTAAATGCCAGGTCCCGCAGTTTCAATAATTCCAACTGCTTACAAATAACTAGCCTTCCAGACGTCGATGCTAACGGTATATATCAAAGCCTCTTCAAAACCCCTCAAGACTATTCGGATATCCCTTTGGTCGCGGCAATAGTGACGTTTATTCTGTTTTGCAGAATAGATCCTGTGCTGAAAAACGTTCCTTCTCTTTCAACTTCTCTTCGGATTCCGCTCCGCAGTTGCCCACTTTCTCTCTGAATTCTGCCGAGTACTTTGTGGCGAGGGAATAAAGTTCTTCAAAATTCGTCTCCTGACCGTCCCACGCCACGATGGGTAGAGTACTGAATGGGCGTAAGTTTCCCTTGTCGGGAAGGCTATCGAGCAAAGACGCCGAGGCAAGGGTAATCTCTGGTCCTGCCCGAATCTTCTGCCTAACCTTCTCGATCTCTTCCTCGCTTGCGTCGTCCGCTAAGAGCGGCTTTGAGTTTTCTTGGCTGTCATACTCCTCCGGTATATGCCTGAGCTCTATATGGACTGTGGCCAAGTTCCTAGCGATATCAACACCAGGGTACAGCATCCAATAGCCACGTGCTCGCGCTAGCCTTAAGGCATGTTCCAGCCAAGACGGGTGTTGTGTGCTCACGACCTTTTCTGACAAGAGCGCTGGTACAGGGTCTGATCCCTGCTTAACTTCCAAAGACCTAGAGGCGAAATCATGCAATTCCACCCATTTATCTCCTAGGAAAAGAACGGCATTGCTGCTAGGTGCTTGCCACAAGAAAGATGTCGAGATTTCATCCTGAGGAGCTTCACCAGGCTCGGCTTGTTTTGTTATTGAAGGCGGAGAAAATGAACCTTTCCCGTCTAATAGCTGGAGCGGTTGTTCGAGACTGATGCCGAAAAGTCGGCGATCCCAGTGTTGATGTGCGGAAATAGATGAGTATCTATATTCCAATAAAGTGTATTTAAGGTCTATAAGGGCTGGTTAAAGGCATGCTCGTGTAAGAGGGGTATGGCGCTTACAATGGAAGAAATCAGGAGATAGTTCAGCTTGCGGAGAAAGTACTAAGACGTGCGAGAATTCTGGCTGGGCCGGCCAGAACGATTCAAGAAAACGGGCAGAACTCTCCTCTTCGCTCATCCTTTGACGAGGCAGGCGGTGACGAAGAGAAAGATATCGCGCGTTAGTTGGATTGGGTATATGGGCGGGTGGCCAGGCGAAGTTTTCGAGAAAGTGCTTAGTTGCGAAATCGATGTCATGAGGAAGTTCGATAGTGAGATGAGGAATTGGACTCGAAGTATAGTCTGCAGCACTGAGCGATCTAAGAAGTCTTATTAGACCCCCCGAAGTCCCTGGAACCGCACGAATGAGGATATCAATATGGATTTTATTCCATACTTGATTGCGCGGTTAGTAAATATTATCAAATATAATCAGGCAATACATAGATAATCTTACTGCGTAACGCCTGGCTGTCGAGTTTCGTTAGCCATTGAAGTCTCTTTCCTGATCCATGCGGGAGCTCGATTAGAGTGTTCTTCTTAGCATCTACATGCTGATGCACTCCTCGCAGAAAAAACGCTTCTTCATTGCTAGAGCCGTCCACGAAAATAGCTTGAGGATGCATGTACTGAAAAATGTGATCTGGAATCTAAATAAGCAAACAGTTTAATTTAGAATGAGAGATATTACGCACGTAGTGCTCGAAATACGGCAGTTTCCATTCTATCCTCGGTCGATATTTGAGCATCGTCGGGGCGCGCATCTTAAAAGTATATTAGTAGGCGTTCGCATGATCATAATCTCGACAAGAATCGTACCGTGATATATAATGTGACATGACTCGTCTATGCCGTTGATTTCCCGCAAGTCTTGTAAGGTTATATCGCTTCGGCTCATCAGGGCAAAGTGAACATAATTCTGGAGCTGGGTTCCCATCTGGCAGGCAATCGGTAGCAGCGTCGCCGCGCTCTTAAGGCTCGAGGTCGCAAATAGAACATTCCTATTGATCACCATGGCCCCTCTCGTGGCACCGATGCCTTGTAACGTCTGCGCCAGTCCTAGGAACTTAACAGGTCCATTGTACTTGCGCTCAGGCGTGTTCGGTGGACGGGTATGCGGTCTGGCAGGGGGAGGCTTAGGCCGGTCGTAAGAAGGGCCCCTAGGAGCGGCAGCATCGTGTGTGGAATCAAGGTCCAGGTAAGTGTAGCTAGGACGGCGCATCTGTATATTAGGACCGAGGATGGGTATATTCTTGATGAAGAGATAAATGACGGCAGCTACAACAAGCACTATAGCTATACGTTTAAGCGACCGGCGCGGAGGGACTCTAGCAGGATGCCAATTAGGCTGTCGCAAGCCAGCGCCATTCTTAAAGGGCTTATGGTCGTCATCCTTCTTTCCCATCTCCTCATCGCTAAGGAAGAATCCTCGCATCTTCGCCCACACGGACATACCCGCGCTTGGGCACAGGGGAAGTTCAGCGCAAGCGGGAGATATATGAGCTATACGGATATCACAGCGCGGTCCGTTAATGTGATAGAGGCCTCGGAAGCTGCATTTCCAAATGCGACTTAAAGGTCGAGTAAGTAAAGGTAAAGGTTTAGTAGAGTAGAGAAAGCTGACTTGGTTAGATATAGTTGGCGACGCGACGAAGAGACTATCTCAAGTGTCTATGAAACTTTGGGCCTAAGCGACGATATGGAACTCTGTAACTCTTTTAGTCGGGAGTGACGATCCCGTTGATCTTTTTAGGGGTCCTAGCTCAAGTTGATCCAGAAAAGATCCAGAAAACTCGTCGCAGGTACGTATCACATACGAAGGATACGAACGTATAATACATTAGTTAGGATGGATCTAAAGAAAACGTGTTATGTTAGATACAAGGGATAAGTTATTAATATAAAATATAATAAAAGTTGTAGAGGGGACTTGCTTTCGGACTGCCTCTGGAAAATAAATGTAGAGTTCCTTCACTGCGATAAGCCCCACTACGGCTGTACGGGAAGCTTGGCAGATGAACCCCACATAGAAGCGACTTACCTCTATGGTATTGTACTATGTACTGTACTATGTACATTTTACAGGAGCTTCCTTGTCCATCATTCGTACCAGGTTAGGTACTATGTAATCGCAAAGTTTAATGGTGGGGTACGTTTTAAGTCCTAATACAAAGTCTTGAATACAAGCCGTTGGAAATTTTTCTAGCTAGAAAATTAAAATTCAGCTTCACGTGTAAGTGTCTTGTCTTTCAACACGTTAAAGCTTTTGGCATCTGTTTGAACCCCCTTTTACTATTATTATTTATTATTCTGGCCCAAGATCATTAGTAGTTTGAGAAGATCATTCATTCTAAACCCCCATTGACTTTTCTTTTCTCACCATGGCCAAATCTCGTCGCAACAGGGCGAAGGGTGGCCAGCGTTCCGATCCGATTGCTAAACCAGTAAAACCACCCTCAGACCCAGAATTGGCGGCGATAAGAGAAAAGAGTATCTTGCCTGTCCTAAAGGATCTTCAGAGCTCTGAGCCGAAATCTCGGACTGCTGCCGCTGGGGCCATCGCCAACATAGTCCAGGATGCCAAGTGCCGTAAACTACTTCTGCGGGAGAAGATTGTTCACATTATTCTTAATGAGACCTTAACCGACGCAAGTTTAGAGAGCCGGGCAGCAGGATGGGAAATCCTCCGTATCCTTACGGCTGAAGAGGAAGCTGACTTCTGTATCCACCTATATCGGGTTGATGTTTTAACCGCTATCCAACATGCTTGCGCGAAGGTAAGATACGAACGACCTGCGAGTTAAAATATAAATAATAAAACAATGATTCACTAACAATCACATAGATAGCAACTATTCTCACGTCAACAAGTCCTGTTTTCAGTAAAGCCGCCAAAGCTGAGCAGGCTTTCACCTGGAGCATCGCAGAATCGCTTGTTGCTATACTATCAGCTCTAGCTGAAGCACAAGATGAAGCTCTAGATGCGGCTACGCGTAACGCGCAGATACTTCGGTTTCTCTTTACCCTCGTTACTCTGGACTTCACCACCGCACCAGTCTTGAACGGTGCTCTCTCGTGCATGATAACACTTTCCGAGGATAACAAACAGTTTGCGGAAGCGCTACTGGCTGATAAGACTACCAAGTGTTATGATCAGCTCATCGCATTCAAGAATGGCGGTGGGTACAAGGCAGTGTTGGCTTGTGGTGTATTGCATAACGTGTTCTCTATGGTGCCATGGAATGATCATAGCCCTGGCAATGATGATGCTTGCGATGCTGTCCTTATCCCCACGCTCTCGCGGACACTCGAGCACACGCAACTCAACGGCGAAATGGCAAATGGCGATAGCTCAACAAGTCCGGCCGAAGTTTTGCAGTTGGCTCTTGAGATTCTCGCGTCTATCGGTACCACTCTACAGCAGACCCTCGAATCAGGGAATAAGAGAGAGAACAGGGAGACAAATGCGGATGCCGTGGATGCTGACATCGAGGAGGACCTCGTTGATCACGAATCTGATGAAGAGGAAGGGGAGGATGAAGAAATGGACCAGGATGAAATGGAAGCCGACATGGAAATGGTCACAGGGGCAGATGCTGACGATGAGCTCCAGGGTATTGACGACTTGCCTACTCTGAGAGAGCTCATTCAGAAGGCGGTTCCACAAATCGTCAAGCTGGTTCGTGCTACTGGCGGCGATGACCAGACTTCAGAGTTGATCCGTGGCCATGCTTTAACGGCTCTGAATAACATTTCTTGGACAGTAAGCTGTATTGATTTTACCGAGAAATCAAATGCAGCCATATTGCACGCTTGGACACCTGCGGCAAGTATGATCTGGCAGCAGATAATAGCGCCAGTACTTGCGAGCAATACATCTGACGTCGAGCTCGCAACTATCGTAACGAGTCTCGCGTGGGCTATTGCAAGAACTCTGCATGGGCAGACATTCCTCGGCGGAGACGAGCAGAAGAAGTTCATATCGCTTTACCACGCATCCAAGAACCTCGATTCGAACCAGGAAGACCCATTCCAAGGCCTTGGAGTCAAGTGCATTGGAGTGCTCGGACAACTCGCGCTCATCGAATCGATTGCGTTAAATCGGGAAATAGGTATCTTCCTTCTCACGGTAGTGAAAGGGTTACCTGAGACACCGGCCGCGGATGCTGTAGAAGCCTTGAACCAATTGTTCGATATATACGGCGACGAGCATAAGCCATGGGATAGAGAAGTCTTTTGGACCGACAATTTCCTTCAGCATTTGGAAGAGGTCGCTCCAAAGGTGAAGGCTATGGTAAAGACAATTGATAAGAGGCAATCAACCGAGTTGCGTGTCCGTGCTGAAGAAGCGAATTTGAATCTTTCCAGATTCGTTCGATATAAGCAGAAGCATAAGCCTGAACAGGCTGAACTGGTAGTAAGGTGAAAAAGATAGGTATATTTGGGGACCGGGAACTAAGATGGTAACGGTGCATGGATCTACGAGGCCAGAGTAACCACCTAGGTAGTCTCGAGGAAGGTTGGCTATTGCATTAGGTATGGATTTTACGCCGAAATGCAAGGAAATCGGGATAGTTGGTGTATTGTTTACCCCTTACTCGCCTTATGATTAATGAGAAGATCGGGGGCACCGATATCCCTTTCGGCCTCCGTTACTATGTCCGCTGTGTGCAGTCATCGCAAATTCCGGAAGCGTGTTAAAAACATATACAAACTCACCTTCATACTTTATTGCTTGCTGTCTGGCAAAGTCGTGCGTAGATCCGAATCAAGGATGCCACAGCTATAATAGAAACGAAAAAGACTCGATCTCAATGTCACTAAGGGAGTTAGGCTCATAGGTATTTCGGTCTATCAATAGAACTCACGTAGTAGTAAACCCATGATTTGTATGTAGTCGTCCATTACTCATTTATCGGGCTCAGGGTCGACGAGCGTTCGATTCCTGTGTAAGCAAGTATAAATTCAGCCGCAGTATATTTCCCCGTCATCCTAGACATGTTCCCAACGACTTGACTTAACCAATGGGCTTCAGCTTCTTTTTCTTCTTCTTGTCGTCGCCGGACTTGGACTTTTGGAACTGGCGCCAGCTGTCGATACGCTGGTCTCGGGTGCTCTCCCAGTCCTGCTCGTGCTGCCTCTTACGCTTGCGCTCCTCGAGCTCCTGGTCGACCTTGCGCTGCTCGCGGCCCTCCTCCTGCATCTGCGCCTTCAGCTGGCGCTTCCGCCGCAGCTCGTTGTCGATGAGCACCTCGCGCGTCTTCTCGCGCCACTTCTTGGCGAACTCCTCCGTCTTGAGCTCCGGGCTGTCGACGGTCCACTTGTTCTCGCGGATCAGCAGCATGCGCGCGTCCGCGATGGCCTCGTCCAGCCGCTCCCGGTGCTTCTCGTCCATCAGCTCGGTCTGCGCCTTCTTCAATCGGTCGAAGGCTTCCGGCGCCTGCGGGTTCTTCGTCTTGTCCGGGTGGATAAGTAGCGACTTCTTGCGGTAGGCTAGCTTGATGTCGGATTCCGGTACACCGGGGTTCAGATCGAGAACTGCGTAGCTATGGTAAATGTTAGGACCATCCATCCCGTTCTCTTCAATGAATTACTTACGCATCTAAACGGAAAGCTCTTAGAATCCGGTCTATCTCGGCGTCCTAACACGAACTATGTTAGTAAATGTACGGCGGTAAAGTGGCAAGACTAACTTACCTTGTCGAACTCCTTAGATTCCGCCTCAAGCGCATCAAGTGCGTCCTTGTCCTCAACAGGCTGCTCATCTTTTGACGCCATTCTGTCCCTTCTATAAAACGATCTCGCGGGTAATTATCAGTGAAGAAGATCTAGTAGTTGGAGAGGATTTATGCAAAAGAAATGGTATCAAATGCGATGTTGGAAGTTTATAAAATGTGTAAGTGAAATGGAAGTTCCAAGTTGAAAGGCTCGGAGCAGGAGATAAGGAATAGAAGCAGCAATACGGACTAGGTAATAGGTATCGTGTATTGTACCCATGTACTCCGTACCTCCGCATTGCCACAGGTACCTATGTACTTTAGGTACCTGGTTCCGAGGTACCTGAGTGAGGTGGGACCAAGATGCTTATCAGGCATTACCTAGTGCGTATCGATAACATTAGCAAGGGTCCTACATAGTACAACTTCAAAAAAAAAAAAAAAGTTCTTGAGAGCCGCCCCACGACAGCTTCAAATCGAGACTGCAGAATCTATTTTCTAGCTAATTTATCTCTCAATTTCGGCCTTATATTGGTGGTCGCTTGTACATATAACATATATGTAGCGTACATATCGGTATATCGACCTGTCAAGCAATATGCCGTCGCGCGCGGTGTCACCGACGCCGTCCGAAAACGAAGTCGATATTCTAGGATCTTTATTCACAGACAACATTGGCGGCGCATTGAGCGGGAAGAACAAAAAGAACGACGAGCAAGCCGATTTAGACTTTGACTTTCTGAATGGGGGCGACGATGCAGAAGATGATGGCGACGAGGCCTTCATCGCCCTTAAGCAGGCTGCTTCGTTTAGAAAAGCTGGTAACCTGAAGGGAAAGTCTGTCAAGAAGGGCGGTGGTTTTCAGGCCATGGGTTTGTGCACCCCATTCGATGATATATATGCAATAAAACCTGCAATATAACCACATGGCGCTTTATCTAACGGTATAAAACCAACTATAGGTCTCAATGCCAACTTATTAAGAGCCATTACACGAAAGGGCTTCTCGGTTCCCACCCCCGTTCAGAGGAAAGCTATACCATTAATCATGCAAAGGAAAGATGTCGTCGGTATGGCGAGGACAGGTTCTGGTAAAACAGCGGCATTCGTTATTCCCATGATAGAACGACTGAGAACCCATAGCGCCACCGTCGGTGCGAGGGCGCTCATCCTCTCGCCATCTCGAGAACTGGCTATCCAGACCCTGAAGGTCGTTAAAGAGTTCAGTCGCGGAACGAACCTCAAATGTGTGCTCTTAGTTGGTGGTGATAGTCTGGAGGAGCAATTTAGCGCCATGACTACGAATCCCGACATCATCATCTGTACCCCCGGTCGATTTCTGCATCTTAAGGTCGAAATGTCTCTCGACTTATCCTCGATTCAATACGTCGTCTTCGACGAGGCAGATAGATTGTTCGAAATGGGTTTCGCTGCGCAATTAACTGAAATTCTACACGCCCTGCCCCTTTCAAGGCAGACGTTACTTTTCTCCGCCACCTTACCGGCTTCGTTAGTCGAATTCGCCCGCGCTGGATTACAGGATCCGAGCTTGGTTCGATTAGACGCAGAAACAAAGATTTCCCCCGATCTTCAGTCGGCATTTTTCAGTGTCAAGAGCGCCGAGAAGGAAGGCGCTCTTCTTCATATCCTACACGATATTATCAAGATGCCCACGGGATTACCAGAGGGTGTTCAGGCGGAGCCGGAGAGGCATTCCAAAAAGAGAAAGCGAGGGTCCGATGCACCAAGGGGAAAGGAAAAGCCAACAGAACACTCGACTATTATATTCACTGCTACAAAGCATCACGTCGAGTATCTGCAATCTCTACTTACCCAGTCAGGATTCGCAGTCTCGTACGTATACGGTTCCCTAGACCAGACGGCCAGAAAAGAACAGGTCGAAAACTTCAGATGTGGTCGTTCCAATATTCTGGTAGTGACGGACGTGGCCGCGCGAGGTATTGATATTCCAATTCTTGCCAACGTGATCAACTACGACTTCCCTCCGCAACCCAAAGTCTTCGTTCATCGAGTCGGTCGTACGGCGAGAGCGGGACAGAGGGGTTGGAGTTATAGTCTTGTGAGAGATACGGATGCGCCGTATCTGTTAGATTTGCAACTATTCTTGGGCAAGAAGCTTGTTCTTGGCAAAGAAGGCAAGGGTGCTACAAACTTCTCAGAAGATATTACGGTTGGAGCTCCAGTTCGAAGCAACATAGAAACCAACGTGGAATGGCTCAACAAGGTCTTAGGAGAGAGTGAAGATATTAGTGCTCTTCGGAGAGTAGCGGCGAAAGCCGAGAAGCTCTATATGAGGACACGCAATTCGGCATCCAGCCAGAGTGCCCGACGTGCGAAAGAAATCGTCGCGTCAAAAGGCTGGACGCAACTCCATCCCATTTTCGGCGACGAGTTAGGAGAGGCCGAAGATGCCCGCGCGGAAATGCTCGCGAAGATCAGCGGATTCAAGCCGCAAGAAACGATCTTCGAAATCGGCAGATCGGCCAAGTCAGGCAAGAACGAGGCGGCCGACGTGATGAAGACCATTCGTGAGCGTTTTGGTCCTCGCAAATCTGGCAAAGACGAGGAGGTGGACGAGGCTGAGGAAATGGACGGTATAGAAGGCTTCGGCGAGGAAGACGAAGAAATGGCAGACGGCGCTCCGGAATCCGATGCCGAACCTAATAATTTCGAAGACGAAGACGAAGACGATGACGATGACGATGATTCCGATCTCGAAGTCACCATATCCAACCACACCAACACCAAATCCTCCTCCTCCTCCAAAGACCCAATCTCCTCCTTCCAAGACTCCGAGGTCTTCATGTCGTACACGCCCCGAACCATCAACGCCGCCGAGGAGCGCGGCTACGGCGTGCACTCGGGTTCCAATTCCCAGCCTTCCGGCGCCGCCGCCAGCAGCACGGGCAACTTCGTCGCCGCGGCCCGCGACCTGACCATGGACCTGACGAACGACGAGGGCGCCAAGAACTTCGGCGTCCCGGCCCGCGCCCGCATGCGCTGGGACAAGAAGGCCGCCAAGTACGTGGCGCGCGACAACGACGACGACGGGTCCCGCGCCCAGGCCGGCGGCGGGAAACGCCTCGTCCGCGGCGAGAGCGGCGTCAAGATCGCCGCTAGCTTCCAGAGCGGCCGCTTCGATAGGTGGCGCCGCGCCCAGCGCCTCGGCCGGCTGCCCCGCGTCGGCGAGTCCGAGAAGAAGCTTCCTCGCGCGGGCGCGCCCGTCGGCGGCGAGGGACCGCGCGGTGGTGCTGGTGCTGGTGCTGCTGAGGGTGGCGTTCGGTACAAGCACAAGCAAGAAAAGGCCCCCAAGGAGGCGGACAAGTACCGCGACGACTACCACGTGCGCAAGAAGCGCGTGGCGGAGGCGCGCGAGAAGCGTGTGGGTCGGTTCAAGGACGGCATGGGCAGTAAGAAGGAGGTTAAGAGCATGGAGGATATACGCAAGGCGCGTGTGATTAAGGAGAAGAAGAAGGCGAAGAACGCGAGGCCGTCGAGGAAGTAGTTGAAGGATTTATAGTCAGTACCTACCGACCTAAGTTATATAAAATATTTACGTACTTTACATACGTTTGCATTAGGTACTCTGTTTACTTCAAAGTCACGTCTACGTAGAGCAGTAAGAATGTCGAGAAAATAGTTCAAGTACCTAGGTTAAAGCAGGTAATCATGCTTTATTACCAACGATACAACGTCGACGAACCCAAACCACAAAGGTCCCGGAGCCATTTCCACCATATATCTAATGCGTGGGACCAAGTTTAATTTCGCACTCTAGACTTGCTATACTTGGAAGTGCATTATTTAGTTAGGCACCTTGGTAGTTTTCCTTTTTTTTTTTTTGTAATAGTACATTCATCATCCGTAGATTCGTCGGGGGTCAAGATGGGAGGGTGGTGTGCCTCCGTATTAGAGTCGTAGGGTGTTATAACTCCTACTTTCCACCTTCCCACTCCGGGTTCTAATTTGATGATGTCAGTATAACATGCTTTCCAAATAAATCAACAGTGTTACAAATGAGAATTCGGTCTTACCTCACGAAGGATCACGAGGCCTTCCAGTGTGCTACTAAGACTAATGTACTTTTCATCCTCCAATTCCGCCCGCTCACCGTACGCCAAAAGCACAGGGGTGCTTTGCGTTTGCCATCCGGTGATCGTCTTGGGTCGGCCAGCCTGACCGACAACATCGACGGCTTGGCCAACACGTACGTTGACTGTTAGAGGACGAAGGTTCTCGTCCAGCGTGACGAGGAAACGGGGATGCATAGCTGTAATAAGGTAGTACAAAAGATAATGGGAGTTAGAGGTGATGAATTGCTTGGCATCAATCATAGCGACAAGAGTAGCGAGCAAACCAGACGTTGCCACTCTCGAGAGGATTTGCCGATCCGTATGGAACGGATTAAGCGTCATGGTGCCTTTGCCCATATGCAAAAGTCCCTGCGCGATTCGGACCATAAAGAGCGATTCTTGATCTCGGTGATAGTAGCTTGCCAGTTGTCGCAGAAGTTGAGCCAATCTTGCATTATTTGTGCCGGCGCCGAGCAGCCCCATTGCAAAGATCGCGTTAATCGCAACGTCGTTGTCGTTATCATGGCTATACCGCGATAACGTATCATAGACCTTCATTTGCGGGTTGCTGGGGCTAATCAAGGCCATAGCCAGCGGCACCACGCGCCGAATGTTGGCCTCGCCGTAATGCATGAGATGTCCAAACTGCCGCAGTACCATTTCTTGCCCGACATCTTCGCCCATCGCTACCAACGCAATTCCAAGTACGGCATACATTTGTAATAGCTCCTCGCAGTCCTTATCACCCGAGTCGGCGTCGTAGTGCTCATTACATATATGTAGTAATTCTTGTATCTTCAGCACAGCTCCGGTGCCAGCCCAGGCGCAGACCTCACATAATATCGCTGTTGGCCGAGCCATAGGGTGAGATACTGCCTTCAGAGTCTCCAGAATAACATCGACCTCCTCCTGACGGCCAAAAAAGAGGAGTCCGAGGCCAAGAGCTAGGAATCTAAACCACTTGTCCGAAAAAACGTTTCCTCGTTCGTCGTCAAGTAAGACACCCATGATCTCCTCAATCGCTAGAGGGTTAGCAGAACCAACGTAAACAAGACCTAAAGATAGAGCCGCCATGGCGACTATCTGCATATCATTATCAGGGTTGGTGATAATGGGAATCAGAAGCTCCAGTACTTCTTCTTTGTGAGATCCAGCGTAGGAAAGTCCAAGTCCCATGATAGCAGTTATCCGAACGAGCCGATGCTTACTCTCAAGCTTATCTGTGTCGCCTAATAGCGCCAAGCCTGGGTCGCTGTCTATTCGCACGCCTGAGGTCATGATGCCAATAGCTAGCATAGATCCAGCTACAATCAAAGGCTCAGTCGAATAAGTGAACTTATCTATCTTGTCCAGGCCAGTTTCGACGTCCCACATTAGGAGGGTGCCGAGGGAGGCAACGGTCGAGACCATACCCTCATCCTTAGTTTTCCATACCCAAGATTCCTTATCCTGCTCAACCAGCATCATCTTATCGTTACCGTAGCCGGCATTGACAAAGGCATTGACAAAAGCGGCGGCAAGGTTATGCCTTGCAGAGTCGAGGTTCGTCATGCCAGCAACTCGGCTACTTTCTAGATGGCTCTTATAAATATCTTCGGTGGTCTTAGGCTCCAGAATGTTCAATGCTTTGCCTAGGGTCTTGAAGTACTCGGCCAACTTGACATTGCCAACAGCATCTTCCATGTCCATCGCATCCGTGTGGGATTCAACGTTCCTCAAAACGTTGACCCAGCTCTTCTGGCGACCGATCAGGAAAGCCATTTGCTTCTTCAATGCGGGGTCCGAGGTCGAATTGAAGACGCTATTAATAAGATCCACGTCATTAAGTCGGATAGCGATTACCATGGCCTGGGTGTATTCCTTGTAGGTGGTATAGATGGTATAGGCGGTTCGAAGGAATTGCTCATTCTCCGGGTATGTCAGGAGGTTGACCATGCTGACCAGGTATAAGCAGACACGAGAATACGTGTTTTCGTCGACGAACTTGGGAAGGTCCTCGATAATTTCGAGTTCGCTCATAAGATCGACGGCATCGGCCTCGGCGTTGCTCTTCAAGAACAAGGGCACGAGGATCAACGCAAGATCCACCAAGTCCTTGACAGACTCCTCTGCGGTGACGCGTTTTGCGTAGACCTCGCCGATCTCTAGAGCCAAGTGGCGGACATATTCGTGACCCCACGACCCTATATCTTGTGTCGGCGATAATAAGCGGTACTTCAGGGTATCTTGACGATCTTCATCCGAGAAAGTCATGCCAATAACGGATAGAACGTCTGCCAGCGACGATTTGTCTTCTCCCTCGGGCCACTCGTCGTAGAGTTTCGTCATGGTTTCGTAGTGTGGTCTTAGAAACTTCAACGGCTTAGGTACTGCCGTCATCGAGGACGTCGAGGTCTTGATGGATGTTTTCATGGCCTCCAAGGCCGGCTTATAGAGGGATGCATCAGATTCCTGCAAACCAAGTTAGTTAGCATCTTTAGAGGATGAATAGGCCCAAAGAGCGCCATGTTCATACCGTTAATCGCTCCACCAACATATCAAGCTCGCTCTTGAGCTGCTGATCTTCCTCGCTCAAGTCCTCCGCGGCTATATAACTATTAGTATAGGATGGCGACGCAGTAGATAGAGGGGTAGACGTACAATCGACCTTGTCCTCATCTTTCTTGCCATTTGCTGAAGGTTGAGCATCTTTGGTCTTCTTATCACCAGGTTGACTCTCGACGGCCTTGCCTTTTCCCTTATCGGCCGATGTGGGCTGGTTACTGCTCGGCGCCATGGTCGCAAGGGCGGCAGATGTGGCAGCTAATACAAACTATGAAATGACAAGATTCTAATCGCCGACCTACGTTGTAAAGCAACTCCGGTAGGGATCAGACGACTAAGACAGGAAAACGATGATACCCTAGGGATCGGGTCTAGTGGAGAGGAAAATATGATTTCGTTTTCGGTAAAAAAAGGTGTTTGTGGGTAATTGTGGTGGTAGTAGTGATGGTAGTTGTAGATGTTTAGGAAGAATAAGTTAAAAGTTGAAAATTGCGAGTTGTGAGTTGCAAGTTACGAAGTTACGAATAAGCTTTCCCAACATGAAAGCTCCTTGAAAGTGGCAGGTCAGGCCGAAGCTCTCAGGGCAAGGCGGAAAAGGCCTTACTTGCTTGCTAGGTACCTCTACCTAGGTATCTGGGTAGGTATTACGCGACTGCTCTGCCGCCTATTGCTTAGTGATTTTAAAAAGTGGTCCGTGCACTGAAGGTTCGTCCAGAGCCTTTTCCGTCTATTGACGTCAAACAGTCCAATCAAAATTCTAAAAGTTACTAGTATATTTATCTTATCGGAGATTAGATAGAGGGCCCCCTTTGTAATTTTTGTTATAGAATTGGCGGGGGTTTTTTTGTACGGCATACATCTAAACTCATCCCTTCATCAACATCCAAAACCCCGCCAACATTTATTCTTCACTATTTCTTTTTTTTTTATAATTTTCTTCAATTCTGTAGCCTGGCGCTTAGTTAAATCTAAAAAGGTTACCCCATAGATACCTTAGGTACTTTACCGTAACAATATCCAAATTTGTGTACAGAGCAAAGGTCAGCCCGCCATGAAGCTCGACACCAAGGCCATGCGCCACCTCGCAGCGGAGGACTGGAGAGTCCTAACAGCTGTACGATCCCTCCTATTATGTCCTATCTTGAAATCTCCGTTCCTCGACTGACCAGAAATTCCGGTAGGTCGAGATCGGCAGTAGAAACCATGAAATCATCCCCACCCCTCTTATAGAATCTCTCTCCAAATTGCGCGGCGGCAGCAATCGCGTGCACAAGTCCATATCCGCCCTGGCTAAGGTTGGCTTGATCGCGCGGCTGAAGGAGGCAAAGTACGATGGGTACCGACTAACATACGGTGGCCTGGACTACCTGGCACTGCATACGTATGCGAGCCGTAAGGAGGTGTACAGTGTAGGAAACCGAATCGGCGTCGGCAAGGAGAGTGATATTCTAGTCGTGGCCGACGAGTCCGGCACACAACGCGTGCTCAAGATCCATCGATTAGGTCGTATCTCGTTTCGCACAGTCAAGTCCAACCGCGACTACCTCCGAAAGCGCCAGGGCGGCAGTTGGATGTACCTGTCACGGCTAGCCGCTGAAAAGGAGTACGCCTTCATGTGCGCCCTGAAGGAAGAAGGCTTCCCTGTGCCGCAGCCTATATCCCAGAGCCGTCACACTATCCTCATGCACTTCATCGATGCCTTTCCCTTACGTCAGATTTCCGAGGTCCCTGACCCTGCCGCCTTGTACGCCGAGTTAATATCCATGATTCTGCGACTAGCCAAGCATGGTCTAATCCACGGCGACTTTAACGAGTTCAACATTTTAATCAAAGAAGAGCGGGGGGAGCCAGACGCGTCCGCTAAAGGCAAAGGAGTCGAGAGCACGGTAGACGAGAGTAAGCAGAGTTACACAGTGACGCCCATTCTCATAGACTTCCCCCAGATGGTATCCATGGACCATCAGAATGCCGAGATGTACTTTGACCGAGACGTCAACTGCGTGAAGAGATTTTTCGAGAGGCGCTTTCACTTTGTGAGCACCCAGCCAGGGCCCTTCTTTAAGGATGCCAAGAAGACGGTTGGCAAGGACGGGGCCAAGAGGCTCGACGCTGCGGTTGAAGCTTCTGGTTTTTCAAAGAAAGCTCTTAAGGACCTCGAGGCTGCTATAAGAGAGCAGCAGGAAACAAGAGGAGAAGAGGGTAATTCAGGAGACGAGTATGACGGAGCATCCACAGACGAAGAGGAAGAGGAGGGTGGTGAAAATACCGAAACAGATGAGTCAGATGCTGGCAAAGATGATCAAGAAGCAGATCTCCATAAGATAGAGATGGAGAAGCTTTCGATTGAAACTAAGACGTGAACAAGCAAATAAACAGGCAGTTTACTTAGAACTGAGCAATTGATACCCCTTTATCTGAACCTCATAACCATTACGAATGTCCTGAAGTGTACAGCGGGCCTATAGTTTATTGTAGGGAAGTCATCAATTAAGCAGTAAGTGAGAGAGGAATACTTCAGAAATTTGCTAGTATTATGTGCAAATTCTGTATTAATGCTGCACTAATGTTCTGCAACCACCAAAAAACTTCCGCCTTCATCGAATAGAACGAGAGTAAGACGACATTACAAAACTTATCGTAAGATAAACAGGACCAAACACCCACACGCCCCCTTTTCCACGTATTGTCCTCCAATTATCGTCACCATGATGAGGAATAACGTATTGTCTCGTCCCTAAAACTCCGCAAAGAACTCGAGTTGCGTAACAAGAAGCTGCATAAGAAACTCAACAGAAAACCATAGTTGGGACTGATGAACAGATTGTGCATGCCAATAACAATATTATGGCAGCGAAATATCTGCTGTGATGCCGAAAACCATGAAAAAAAAACAAGACCAAATTGACGGTAACAACCATGATAACACCCGAGATTATAATACAGCTGCTTATTCCTTCTCCTGCTTTACCGGAGATGACTGGCTGCTGCCATGCGCGACTAACGGGGACTCGACACGGATTTCGACACCATCACCGGGTCTATATCCAAGTTAGCGCTTCTTTAATGGCCATGGGATCGTCGGTATGAGGGCCTATACCCAGGTCCAAAATCGCCCGGACAGTCCTGAGGAGCACCGCTGCAAACAGAAGATTAGCAGTCAGCTAAAGCTTCAAGTTCAATTACAGTAGTCAAGAGCATACCCAGAAACATAGTTGCTGTTGTTTCGATAGAGGACGCGAGCAGGGCTCATGCCTACAAGGGTAGTACCATAGGCACTGACGTTGTATTCGTTGGTGCGGTACTGGCGGCGCTTAGCAGTCACCCGCTTGAGCTCCTTCTGGGCGGGTGTGTCCGCATAGCGGATCTGCAGTGGGAGGCGTTCACGACTAATGAGTTTGCCAGTGAACTCGTTGATGATCTCATCACAGACATCTCGTGTTTCGAAGCTGCAAGAAGGCGTTAGAGGTTTATAGGTCTATCAGTATGCTCCACATAGAGGATTAACTCACCGAGCAAATCCAACACCACGGCTGTTGCCCAAACTGTCTCGAAGGACCTTGCTGGACAAAATGGTGTAGCCTTCGAAAATGAGATTGATTTCCTATAACTGTTAGATGTTTCAGACTACATCGAAATGAATTGCAATCTTACAGTCTCAGTGTAGTTCTTTGGGAGGTTAGAAAGATAAAGGTTGGTTGAGCTCTCATCGCCCTCAGCTCGTAGTCGCGAGTTGAACGATTCCTAGTTCTAAGTGTTAGTTAGAGAACATTAAGAAATGTGGCAGGAATTCCCTTACCCTTGCAAATCCGACTTCATAACCTCGACGATAAAAGCCGCGAATGCAATTCTCGGAATGGCGAACATCGACAAACTTGGCGAAGCCAAATCTAAGAGTTATGTCAGTTAAAGTGTCTTAGAACAGACCGCATATTACAGAGTTGCTTACCCCTTACAAGCACCAGTGTTCGAATCAATAATGGCCTTAGAGGTCTCCACGGGACCAAAGCGCTCTGCATACTTCAGCAAAAGAGCATCGTCGGTGGTGGGGTGAAGTCCGCGGATGTACACGTTTCTGTTACCCGGAATAGGGTTAACCAGGCTCTGCTCAAGCGTCTTCATGTTCTCAGGAGGGGTAAAGACAGCTGGAACAGCGAACGGGATCTTCGGATCGCGATCGAGTAGTGGAGACTTTGGCTCCTGAGGAGCTTCGGCAGCCACAATCTGGTGAGGCGAGGGAGTTGTATAGGTGGATCGATCGAACACAGTCACGCGAGCACCCTGGTCTCGAGATGTCATGCTTCCCAGAAAAGGTGTTGCCGGGGTAGACTCATTAGTCGAATAAGACGAGCGGCGGATGTCCAGACCCGGAACATCTCGAGAGCTGGTGTCAGTGGTCTCTCGGGCGCTGTTGGTGCGCGCAGGAGTGTAAGGCGAAAGGGCAAGCATAGGGTGATGCTGAAAACCTCCATGAGCATAGTAAGGACCACCATAGGGGCCCGGGTAAGCCTCAGCTTGGGTAGATGGATAACCAAAGGTAGGGATGCCGGATGCCTGGACTCCGGGAGCCGAGACAGCATGAGACGGATAGTTAGTAGCAACATGCACAATGCGGCCGTCTGGGGTTGCCATAGGGATCATTCCCGGAATAGGTGGCAGGCCGTTGATGCCAAGACCACCGAACTGGTGGAGAATAGCGTTCATATTGGTATCAACAATTGTGTGGCTCTGAGAACCGTGGGTGGTGCCACAGTCGTGAGCTCCGGTAGCCTGAATAGCGGGATGAACGCCGGAGTTCGGTTCCTCGGGAGTGTTGACGCGGACAGGTGCACCGTTCTCGTGATGCATGATGATTAGAGTGAAATAACTTGATAGACTTCTACAGAAATATATTGTTAGCATGTCTCCGAAATATTGTATGTGGTAGCAAAGTGAAAGGATTGATAGGCAAGTGAAAGGAGAAGCTGTTCAAAACTGCAAAGCTATGAAATATTGAGGCAAGGCTTTCAGGAAGGTGAGGAGTAGGGTGAATTAAATGAATAATGGGTAATGTCGACAGACGTGTAAGTTGGTCATTGTGTAAACATGAGTGAGTGTCTTGACATTGCAAGGGCGTGAGACATACCTTGTACAAGAATTGACTCAACCAAGTCTGATGGTAAGAACAGTTAAAACCTATTAATAATTATAGTCAGAATAAAGTCGAGTTAGAAAACGAAAAGTTCCTAAAAGGACTGCGCTTTAAGGGAGCGGTGGCGGAGCAGGAGAGGAAAAGGAGGAAAAGGAGGGGATGCAGATAGCCCGGCAATATCAATTAACATAACTGAAAGTGACAAAAAAAAAGGTATAGAAACAGGAAAAGTTATGGAAGTTGTCTGCAGGTATAGGGGATCTTAATGTTGTGAAGACTGTTGTGGTGTACGGTGGTGTACGAAGGTGTCGCGTTGCTTTAAGTTGCTGTCTGTCGTCAAATGCTAAGAAGAGGCAGAATAAGAAGACAAGAAGACTGTCGTCAAGAGTAGGCAGATAATCTTCTCGAAACAGTAAAGACAAAACAAACCTTGGGGAACCTGGCTGGTAATGCCAATACTGTTAGCACCAAGAGGATTGTGATGAAGCGAATGGGTCCGAGTAAAATAGAGTAGCTAGAGAGCAAGATGGGGGAACGAAGAGACTGTGGTGATGCGTGTGCTGGATGAGTTGATGCTATGCTGTGAAACCAAACGAAGAAGAAAGGAAGAAAAGAAACACACACACACATTATAGATGAAGAATATTGGTTCAAGTCAAGAAAAGGGAAAAGTAAGGTAGACAAGGTAGACGGGATGTACTTACCTGCCTGGTGGTATCCAAGCCAGAACGTTAGGAATGATCCACAAGGTCCAAGTTACTCAGAGGTAGTTGCAGGGATTGCGAGAGCTTTAGAGTATATGTATGGCTGGGAAGGTATATTAATGCAGGGGCCTGTAAACATACCAAGGTACCTCTGTGAGTGCGAATGTTGAAGGCGCGATACTCTGAAAGGGGGAGTTGAGGATGTAAAGACGTAAAGATGTAAAGTGGTAAAATGGTAAAATACCAAAGACACACGTACCTAACCTGAGGATTCTGGGTAAAGGCGCGCCAACAGGATGTTACTTTCAATTCAAAGATTGATTTCAAAGTACCTAAGACGAAAGACGCAAGTGAGAGAGAAGGGACAACGTGTAATAATATTATTATGGTTGTGCCTTCGTGTGGTGTTGTTGCCTTCGCACTTTGGAGTCGTTGTTGTTATTGTTGAAGCTGAACGGCAAGAGACAAGTCCAAATTGTAAATGAAGTGCCTAGGTTAGGTAGGTAATCAAAGTTAAATAGATGGATGCCCTGGGTGCCTGACAAGAGAGATACAGATACGTTGCTAGGTGTTGCTGAGCTTGTTGCTAGAAATCAACTTATCAGCCTCATAGGTAGTTCCTTCCTCAAGACGGCTAATACCTATGCACACACACACACAAAAGCACACAATTATGTATATGTACTTCTAATAGTTATGAAACTATGAGAGGTGAGTGTTAGGATACGTATACTGATAAACGATATACACTTGTGTATACCTAACTAACTTGATGTCTTTATGCCTGTACCTAGGTGTAGGTAGTTATTCACATCACACATGTAACAAGTATTTCTTATACGTTCCTTATCAGCGAATTTATCCAGCCGTTCGTAATGTTTGCAGATACCTTATGAACAACTACCTAGAATCTACCTGCGTACATAAATCCTTAACATGCAACAGGTTAGGTACGCATCCGCCGATGTAGGCAGCTATTAGTATTAAATCGGCTCATAAATCTGCATACCGAACTGTATACATATGAACTATTAAACTCTATTATTAGGTAATACCATGCTTCGGGCTTGGTTACTACGTGACGACGATGCCTTTTGGCTTAGATGGGCAGGTGCTGACTTACATATAATTATCTAACCTAGGTACTGAGCTACGTACTGCTTCTTGGCTCTCGGATGTCTTGCCGTTTTCTTAGGGACCACACTTTCCTCTAACCGTTTTTCTGAGTTGAAAGAAAAAATGAGAAGGGGGAAAATAATAAAAATAAACCCCTATCCAAACACCCACAAAATTCACTACCTACCTCCTAGGTACCTACCTAGGTAGGTATCTACAATGTAAAAGCCATATACCTTAATTACACTCCTCCATCTAAAATCACGGGGTGTCATTACTACTACCCATTGATGCTCACTCAACTGTGTAGCTGATTATTGACTTCCGAGTCCATCGAGGACATGCCTTTCTATTCAGTCTTGTATTGTTCCCCTTGCGCGATCCCCACGAGAATGCGACGCACCCAGGCACCAAGTTGTTCCGTCGATGTTGTACAACAAGACAATTACGATGATCACTGTCACCAGTTGCAATGCGAGATGTGACCAGATTACTAAAGTAGAGAAGGCATAATAGGTATTGCCTAATACCTACAAATAATATTTCTATGTATAGGTACATAGTGAGTCTCATAGCATTATCATCATGTCCGATAAACACTATTAAGGACAAACTTGACGAGAACAACCAGAACAACCGAATTCTACATTACGAGGAGCCTTGAGAATTTACGACCTACCTGTGATTTACGACGTACCAAAATTAAGTCCCTATTAAGGCCAACATTCTCACTTCTGTAATATTATACATAACGGCATTGGTACATATGAACTAAGGTCGACATTCGTTTGAACCCCGAGTTCGCCTCTCTGATATTCAAACAAGACTTTACTATATGAATGTCTTGCGTGAATTATTTTTGCATATAAATAATTCTTTAGCGTTATTTTGATGTTGACTTTGAGATCATTATGTCCTGATAATATATAATATTCGGAAAGATGGGATGACCCCGAGGGTGGTATGTACTATGTAAACGATGCCATCTCAATCGACCGTCTTACTTCAGTTCAATCAATCGAAACGCTGAATAATGATAGCTACCTACCTACCTAGGTACCTAACCTATGATTCCTTTCAGTTGTTAAGACGAAGCCAGATATGGTTGTCTTGGGTTGTCTAGGTAGTATATAGGCGTATCAATCTATAAATAACTTAACATTTACAATGGACTAACTAATAGCTGTTATCACGAAGTGAAGCCTCAATACCTACGTAGAAATATCTCCGAAGAGAAGCTAAGAGTCCTGATCTGATTCCAAGAGCTAGTGATGCTTAGGTATACATATTGAAACAGTTCTTCCCTTTACCTATCTAGGTACCTGATATTGCACCTAGGACCTTGGTATTAGTTTTAAATACTATACGCCGTGAACGTTGCCGAAGGAAAATGAGAATTAGTAAAGCTCTATAATCCTTTTAACCCTAAGCTAGGTATGCACGGGTCCATAATACTACCTACGATCTATTTTTATAAAATGCCGATGTCACCGTGAATCATGCATTGCCCTCAGCTTAGCAAGGCGCTTTTGTAATCCCCAATGGTTAATTTACCTACTGCCGAGGAGGGCTGGGCTGGAGTAGGAGAGGGGTCGAAATGGGGCTACTGGGGAGTAGGTTTAGACCATCTCGGCATATATGATGATATGCGAGATACGATATCGTTCTTACTTACGTACATACTGTAGGTACCCTCGTGGACTCCCTGCCCCCTCCCCCCCTGGACATCATCGCCGGGGATGAAGACAATTGATTATTGGTCAATTACTTACCACATCCCATGTCTATCCAATATTGACCGACTAACTGGTCTAGACTTGGCTGAATAGTCGATCTGGAAAAGATTGGAATTTCACATACTACGTAGTTAGAATACATGTTTCGAGTTAACGGTAACTTGTATGAAGGGAAGTTTGATGCTGCGTTCAATACTATGAAGTTATATTCACCGCTATAGCAAGAGAAGTATGTCACAAAGTTAGGCTATGACAACGTAGTCAATATGTAAGATACCTCGCAAAACTATGGTTAAGATGTCAAAAAATTATAGCTATTCTAAACGCTGATCTAAAGACTTTTGTTTTATAGAAATAATCGTGTTTTTTTAGATCAGGCACAGCTCACTATCTCAGGTAGTTTTAAATCGTTTTATAGAAATCATTACGTAGCTTTCAATATGTATACGAACAGAACGCGCGGAACCATATTAGGATACGCATTAATACCGAACCAAGATCGTGCCAGCGAACAACCCAAGCCAATCAAAGTCGCATCTCCCTGACTCCAAGACAAGGCTAGATGTGAACCTTTTCTATGCAAATCCATCTATCCGCAACGCTCACCCCGTCATGCATTTTAAACCACATTACATCTACCTACAGTCTTTACGACCACACGTCCTCCTATATCCACAGTTAGTATTGTGGCCAACAAGTGTCGAAGACGGGAAAGAAAAGGGCTACGAATGCTAGATCGGAAGCTGGGAGAATCTTGTAGGCTGTTGTGGGGAAATGTAATAGTATATAACATACCTGGTATTGGTTCGTTGCTCTCATGTTCTTCACAATCTCCTCTGCCTTCGTTTCAGGGATACCGCGTTGCTCTGCAATAATTTGGGCCAATACGGTGTTGACTTCACGAGCCATATTGGCTGCGTCACCACACACATAGAGGTAGGCCTTCTTCTCGAGTAATTCGTTTACCTCCTGAGCTCTCTCCTTTAGTCGGTGTTGTACGTATACCTTTTTGGGACCTTCTCGTGAAAAGGCAGTAATGAGCTCGAACTTGTCGCCAAGGGCATTCTTATAGTCCTGCTAGAGTGTGAGCTAGGGTTTCATATCAACACTGGTAGTATACGTACCTCCCATTCTGACTTGTACATGAAATCTTCATTCTGTTTTCGGCAACCAAAGAAAAGTAGTGTACGACCGACATTCTCTCCAGACTCGGCTTGCTTAGCGCGTTCCTGAACAAATCCACGGAAAGGTGCAACGCCAGTACCGGGTCCGATAAGAATAACGGGCTTAGATGGGTCAGAGGGCAGTTTGAAGTTCGAGTGGCGGACGTGTACAGGCACGTGGATTCCATCGTACTTGTTCCTTGGTCCGTTAAGTTCATAGGTCAGTCCGAAAGCTTCAGGGTTAGGGTCGCCGTTTTGCTTCTGCTTGAGAGCGAGCAAGTAGTTGGTAGCCACACCCTTGAATGGATCAGCACGACCAGGGATCAACTGGTTCTCAACGACGGCGGTGATGGAAATCTTCTTAGGCTGAACAAGCGAGGAGGACGAGATAGAGTAGTACCGGGGTTGGAGCTTGGTGAGACCTTCAATAAAAGCCGAGAATGGAACGTTGGTCCACTTTTGTCCGTTGCTGACGACGCTCAAAGTCCTGGCAATATTGTAGTGATTCTTGCTGATTTTGTCTTGGAAGTAGTCTTTGTCACTGCCGAGTTTTGCCATTTCAGCCTTAGTAGCATCATCGGGAGCGAATGCGGCCAACGTGCCTAAGAATTGACGAGAAACAGGTGCACAAATTTCAAGATGGTATCGGATGATGGCGTCGTAAGTCGTAGGCGTAGGGAATGGCACTTTAGCTGTGGGTTCAAGGGCCTTGACGCTGATGACAGTATCCTTCTTATCTTCCAGTCCTAGAATGCTGATGAATTGATCGACCTCCTGACCGGCGTTGGTGGGCCAGACGGCAATATGGTCACCGGTTTGATATGACAGGTTAGAGCCACTGATATCAACTTCCAGGTGCAGGCAGTTCCTATCCTTGACGGAAAACAACTCCCTAGATTCAGCAATGGGGGCAATGTACGGGTTGTGGGCGTTGAAGGGGCCTTTAGCAGTTCCTTCGAGGTGCATCTTGTTAGGCTCACCCAGATAGACCTCGTGGGAATCCTTAGTAAGACCTTCACGTTCAACGATACCAAAGATGGGCTCGTAGACAGCTTCACGCTCTTCAAGTCCCATCTTTTCTGCCAAAGCAGCCCACATCGGGTCCTTCCAGGCCAAAAAGTCTTCTTCCATAGTACCAGCGCCGTCGTCACCTTCTCCGGCCTCGCCAATTCTGCTGGCACCCAATTTTTGCAGGGCCTTATTGACGTTGCGAACCATAGAGTTGTAGTGTTCATAGGTGTTATTTCCTAGACCGAAAGCAACATAGTTGAGGTTTCCGAGAGGGGGGTCTGAAGCTTGGGAGAAGGACACGTCATCGCCAGTTATGAACTCGTAGAAGTCAACAGCGTTGTCAGTAGGCTCTCCTTCACCGTAAGTAGCTAGAACGAACATAACGACTTTGTCGGAGGGGACCTCATCGAGGTTGTCGAAGTCATAATCTTCGAGATCAGCTACCATGGTTTCTAGTCCGAAGCGGCTCTTGCCCTCCTTCGCCAAACGGGAGGCGTAGTCTTCGGCGGTACCAGTCTGAGAACCATAGAAAATGACACAGTTTTTGCCGGACTCTTCCATCTTTTCAATAATGTTTCTCGTCTTCCCCGCCTTGAGTCCATTTACGTTCGAAAGTGCATTGGCATATGGATCTTTGGTAACACCCCAGTATTTGCCTTTTGTGAAGTAAGCGACGGTGCCAACTAGGATGGCACCAAGGACAATTAAGTCCAAGGTGTCTAGTTGAGCCATCTCGATAGCTTGTCAATGATGAACAGACTTGCTTCTTGAGTGCTGTCACGACGAGAAGATGGCACCTCGGAGCGGGTGCGGTAAGAAAGCAAGCGGAACCAATACGGCGGAAGTCGTTTTTAGGTCATGCAACTGCAGCACCGATTTTAAGACTTTGTCTAGTCTAAGGAGGGGGCACTGGAACGGTGCAACGTGTCCGGTGTCGTCGGCCGAGGAAAGGAGCGGCAAGTTTGGGGAACTCCTGGGAAATTCCTAGGACCTAGGAATTTCTCAGCTCGAGAAAAGCCAGGCCAGGCCAGGTCTATGTACGACGGAACGGAGCCGCAGCTCTAGAAATAAATACTTAAGGAAAGAAAACCCCTGTTAACGACTGCAATAAGGTACGAACACGACGGGAATCATACGATTACGCTATGAAGAAAAGAGAGGGAACAAAGCCCTGACTCTGGGATTGTGTGCGTGGCAAGAGGCCTTGCAGGTAGTGGTAGTTGGTTAGTTGGTTATTGGAAAGACTTGAGGGGACCGGAAGGAAATGGGCGACTTGTTGTTTCTGGTGGGATTATTATCGAGATAAGCATAAAGTGTGGGCTACTTGTCTAGGAGCCACTATGTACAGGCATATGTACATGCATTTGTCCGGGGCTTTGCGTAGCAAACACTCTTCGTTGACCTGTACTTAATTTGTACTCAACTTGTACTCATTTGAACTAACCCGAATTTTTAGCGCAGAAGTTATCCATGTGCCAGCTCCTCTAAGCCCTCCGAAATAAATCGCCGTAGATTAGGTACCTACATTTACATACTTCTTGCTAATGAAACTAGGTACCTAACCAAATTACATTTAAGTATGCATTTTACATCATGTACCTAAATCACTATAAACGGCCTTTTCTCCTTACCGCGACGTAGCATGTTTTATAGCTTGAATAATGGTTGCATAAATAATTGTTCCCCAAAAACCCCGAAGCAAGAAAAAAAAAAAAAAAAAAAAAAAAAAAAAGCAAAAGCAACCCCCACGAAGATGCGGCCGAGCCCCGAATCTCTCACATAGCTTCGGATCATCCAATCGGCTACCGCATATGCTTTTGTTCCCAGGTTCGGCAATTCGCAGCCTGCAACAAGATACGGTGCTATTGGTACTAGTATAGATCTTCTAAACATCTTATCACTTTTCGGCTAGTCTCCTTATCCGATCGGAGACATTCAAGTTCGGCACCTGTTCAACTCCTTTTGGCCTTGTCTAAGTTGACTCCTTTTGGTCCGAGTCATCTTTCACTTAGGTATAAGGTCAACGCGATACGTGGTCTTTTCTTCGATTTCCTATTCTATAAAACTCTTTTTCTTCTTTTCTCTTGGTCGAAAAGCGGTCTGCATGGTATGACCGATATAAGCCCTAACCGTTCAGCTCGGCAGGATCAAGTGCTTTGCCTCCCTAATGCCTGCTTATTTCATATCGGTGTTAAGAAAGTAAGCATACAATGTCCTAATATTTCAGTGGTATACAACTAGGTATAATAAGAAATAAGAAATAAGAAATAAGAAATAAGAAATAAGAAATAAGAAATAAGAAATATCTCGCATTACTCCTTTCCAAAGCGACATAATGGTTATTTGAGTTCCGTGATGACCGGGACAGCGGGCCCGCACATAGTCCGAGCCATCCGAGAGAAGGCGGTGTTTTAATCGGTGGATAGGTATATAGTTACCTAGGTAGGCATCTTACCTTCCATCATTTCATCCCGTTCCAGGTTAATCAGGAAAGAGCGTTTTGGTTTCACGGTCCGCAAAATGCATAAGTTGCATGTAGTACCTAACTTCCGGCGACGTGTGGGGTTCGGGGTTGTTATTTTTGTCTTTCTGGACGTCGAACACTTATACGTATAATAGGTACCTATATACGTATAACATATCAGCCCTACCTAAATACTCATTGCCATACAATGGAAGTATATCGCCGCAATCAACATATTGCATGCTATGAATTTTCAAGAAGAATAATTACCTGCCTACCCTAGGTACCTACCTCTAAGTCTTTATCCTGGTGGCTGAGATAATCCTACCACATCCTACTTCTACTGGCTTAGGCGGCTTAGGTACCTGCCTACCTACTCAACCGATAATGCAAGCATTGTTTGTGCCTGTTCAAAAATCTCGGCCGATGCCGTCATGTGCCTTGCCAGATAGATCATTCCCACGGCTACCAAGTTGAGTAAGACCTGTCTTTTGGGAGGACGGAAAGAGATTCCCGATCGATGCAGTGCGTGGGTGTACAGGATGACATAGTCCGGTGAAAACAGACGAGATGGCATCATTATCTATCCGTTTTGGGCATATTTTATCCCAACAATAATTTGGCCCTCGCTCCTCATGTCAGCGTTGGTTTTCGGCGTACTTTATTACCTTAATACCTAGCAGCTTAGGTACGGGACGGGACATGACATAACCGGGCCATGACTGCGTTTGAAACCCGAAGATACCTACCTACCTAGGTACATAACGTCGATGTTGTATGCATTTAAAAGGCTCGTACGCCACGTGGTGTTCTCATACAGTACTCACACAGTACGTGAAATTTCTATCGGTAGCACGGGGCTGTACCTGAAGTTACCTGAACCAGCCAGACCAGCCCAGCCAACCTCCCGCTGGCGGCTCTGGTGGATCTTTATAGGATATGGCCCTTGCAGAAAGACCCTTGCTATGTATTGAGGGACGAGCTAAAAAGACCGTGATTGACCCAAGCTCTCTAGGGTGGGACCTTAGGAGAGGGATACAGTATGTACAGTACCAGCAGCTAATTGGTGATCGAGAAGGATAGCCGACAAAAGAAGAAGGAAAAAAAAAAAAAAAAAAAAAAAAAAAAAAGAAACTTCAGGTCAATGGTTTTATCTGGCTATGCTAGCTCCGCGAAATAGTCGGAGGCGACCAGCCATTGAGTCCCCAAAAAACCGAAGCCGGCCATCAGGCATTGTTGGATGAGATTGAATCGCGTTGATTTCAGACTGTAGTAACTCTTTGCGACATGGCATAACACATCACAGTCTTATAATAAAGTTTACCTACTATTAGGCCATCATTTGGAACTACCGTCGAATAGTACTACATAGTACTACCTAAAGTAGGTCAGAAAAGGTAAGGACCTTGAAGGGGGAAGACGGGAAGAGAAGAGCAGAAGAAAAAAAATTAGATTGGATTTGTCTTTTCAATATTGTCCCTGAGAAAAAAAGAGAAAAAAAAATTTACATCCATCATAAATATCTTTAATCTTCAAGTCCTTCTCCTTTCGTTAACAGCTTCATCAAGCGCCCAATTCCACCAGACCGTATTATTAAGGTCTGTGAATCCTGCCATATCTTAATTATCGTCTCATATCATGGGCATCAAAGCTCAACAATGGGTGAGTGGGTTTCCACGATTTATCCCGGAAGATATTATCTTAGAATACCTCTAATGTCGCGCGCCAACGAATATGCGATATATTGGATTAGGTATTCGAATATTGGATCGGGAACGGTTACCTTTTAGGTAGCTACCTATACCTAACCTAGGGTGTATATCGTCAGACGCATAAACACTTTTTGACACCTTTGACACTTTTGACACTTGACACTTGACAATTTGACAACTTGACAACTTTGATGCTTTGACGCTTGATAACTGTTCCCACTTTCGGATTTTGTTTCGCAGTTTCACAAGGCGAGGGGGGGCCCTCCAACATATTTTCTAGACCTGAACTGAATCCCTTACGCACTGATGGTCGTTCTGTTTTATTATCTGTTTTGTCTTTTAACTAACTACTTACGCCGTTGCACCACCTAGCTCCGTCCCAGACGCTGCCGGAACACTTTCACGACCAGTTAAAGTTCTCTGCGCGACCAACCCCTCCACGATCTAATACTGCTACTGCTGCTGCTACTGCTACTGCTACTACTACCACTACTACCACTACTCACGACGACAACGACAACGACAACGACGATGACGATGACGATAATGGCGACTGGGAAAATACTCTTAGACCTGTAGCCCACGATTCCTCCACTTCCCGAGCCATTGCCCACTCGCGTGAGTCTTCCCTCGAAAAATTACAATCGGGCGGTGCACTCGCTGGCATCCCCGAATCACCCCAATCAACATCGTCCTCTATCACCTCACCTGGCCTGCGTGCGGCCGCGTCGCGTTCTAGCCCCGGCGGTATATTTGATCGCATCGTCGAACCCAAGGCTGCTGCGTCGTACGGACACCATCGTCAGACTTCCATTGTTCATGGCATCCAACATTCGAGGAACGGGAGTCTCGCAAGCTCGTCTTCGAGTCCTCTCAGCCCGCAAATGATAGCAGCAGCAGGCGCTGGGATTCTGCCGGAACGCTCAGATGTACCGGCGTTAAACCGGTTGGATTCGGAAATGTCGACTGCCTCGATACCTACCATGGCCTCACGGCCACCGACAGCTTTGTCGGGCACTACCGCCAACTCGTCCATTCATTCGGAAAGAACACAGGCCAGTCAGGAGAATGGCATTGGCGGCACTATTACTCAGAAAAAGCTCGAGCGGATGCATAGCAAGAGCCGGCGCGATCATACACATCATCATTCGCATTCGTCAAGACATCACAGAGACGAACCGAAGACAGTGGGCGAATATGCCATGCATGTATTATTCACATCAGTTAGTAGTCGAGTGATGCCCCTGTGTCTGAGGTATGATATGTTGCTAACATAGCATAAGTTTATTGCAATGGCCGAAGACAAATTGCAGGAATGTATCACGGTGCCTTTCGATCCCGAACCCCCAATTGACCAGATATGCGGCCCAGGGGCTGATCCTGCATTTGATCGCTTTATTGAGGCTCTCGGTCACATTGCGAGCCAAAAACCGAGACCGCTGATTGATTCTATAATGCTCTGGCGGAAACATAAAAGCGAGGCAGCTAACGAGGCACGTAGCCAGCTTCACCAGATGAAATCTAACCTTCCCGCGGCGTCACTGGTCAGGCGAAATACAGAGCCATTGCAACTCATCACCGGAAACTCAGGAGATCCGGCGTCGGGTATACCGCACGCTCTCGCAGAGAAACAAAACGAGGCAGCCCATGCCGAGCGTCGATCTATTGTCTCTATCTATATATTATGTCGGGTTCTCCTAGAAGTCATCAAGCAAAGCAGCCTCAGTTCCATTACTCCCGAGATGGAGGATAAGCTTGAAGCTATTATATTTGGCCAATTGAAGATTGCCGATATAGAGCAGCTCTACATATCCCCCCTTAAGCTGGCTAACTGGAACCTGTTTGCTCAGCTGCTTGGCGCTATGAGCGTGATCAATTTTACCAGCGTTACGGATCGATTTATTAACGATCTTGACCGAACCCTGCAGGAGCTTACCGTAAGGAGCCCGACATCTTCGATTAGGGACCCCGAGGGCCAGGTAGAGCTAGTGCTGGGAGGTATGAAGCATCTGCAAATAAAGATCGATACCGACGAAAGTTGGGACCAGGCATGCGACTTTCTCGTGTCCCTGGCTAAGCTGTTTGCCCGGTCCCACGGCCAGAAGGTGAAGTCGGCATTTTGCCAAATATTAGATACGCTTCTCCTCCCCATCGCTGCCAAGGCTACCAACAAGCATTTCTCCTATCTGAAGTGGTCCGAGGTGCTCAGCAATGTCAGCGCTCGCCTGGCGTCTATGTTTGTAAAGCCGCGCCATTGGCAGTCTGCTTTCCCGCTGACGGCGACAATGCTCTGCGTGTCGTCTCCAGAGAATCTCAGTAACCAATGGCTGCAGCTGATCCGAACAGCCCAGCCGAGACTAAAAGATCGCAACATGCGTCCTTTGTGTCTGCAAGTCTTCTCACGGTTAGTATGGGCTTATCTATACCGAACCACTAATACCATTGCTGGAGCTGGGCGCAAACTAGATGAAGTCATGCAGATGATCTTACCTTCTACCAAGCGTACGTATTCGGCCGCGGATACCGCTTCCACGGGACCCTTGATACAAATTATTAGAATCATTGGCTTTAAATACCCAGAATACTGCTGTGATAGCATTATATTTCCCTTAATAAACGCCGACCTTATTCAGAATAAGGACCTTAAAGTTGAACAGCTAGAGCCGGACAAGATAGTAATTGGGATCAGAGCGTTTCTAGCCGTCATGTCCGACTTAGAAAAGGGGGAACGACCTCCATTTCCTCAGCAGTATCCTATCCCATCTACTTCCGACCGAGCCCCTCCGAGTTCGCCAGTGCCCGGCTCGACTTCCAGCATGGTGCCCACAAGCCCGCTCCCATACGACCGCGACGAATCCTTATCGCAGCCCGTACAAGTAGGCGCGTTGAGCGACGGCGCAAAAGCCCGCTATAAGCAGTTCTCGGAAGTCCTCGGTAAAATAACCATCATTTGCGATAATACCTTCGGAGGCCAGGCTGCACTTGACGAGAAGTTTAGCAGTCCGACAGGCCCGAAGACGCCCATCTCCGAGACTTTCAACTTTTCGCGCCGCGACGACCATCCAAGCCCTGCTGACCAAAAGCAGGCCTTCTACGAACTTCTCCATGTTGCCGTGCAGGCTCTACCTCGCTGCCTTCCTGCCGATATACCTTTTAATTCACTTATTAATCTTCTCTGCACGGGTACGGCACATGTTCAGCATAATATCGCCGAATCTTCTGCCCAGGCCCTCAAATCTATTGCCCGGCAATCGTATGCGCACCAAGTCACGGTAGGGTTTGCTCGGTTTATCTTCAATTTTGACGATCGTTACTCCACGATGTCTGATGGGGGAATGCTTGGACCCGGTCATATCGAGAGCACTCTTCGGCTTTACGTCGAGCTGCTGCAGATATGGAGGGATGAGATACGCCAGAAAACTAAAGACGCCGCGTCTGACATCGGAGACCCGAATGGTACCGAAAAGCGCGGAATGAAGCTAGACTTGTCCAGCATCTGGGCGGAAGTCGAACATGTAGAAGCCCGCGGGTTGTTTTTCCTGTGCTCGCAGTCCCGTAGGGTGCGCCACTTCGCGATCACGGTCTTGCGGCTCATCGTCGAATTCGACGCCGCCCTAGGCAAGGATAGCACGCAGGAGAAGGACACCGTACGGCTTATTGATATCCTAGAGAATGACTCGGTGCAAGTGATGAATTTCAAGGACGAGCATCTATCTGTAGCAGAGCGGAGCCGGCTGCAGAGGGGCATGCAGAACAGCAACAACAAAGGGGCTCTAATTGAACTTTGCACCAGCGACGTCTCGTATGACACGACGCTCTGGTTTAAGATTTTCCCTAATTTTATACGGATTGCCTATGATCGATGTCCCTTCACTGTAACTATCAGCCGAGATCTAGTTTGCAACCGAATCCTGCAGATGTATAAGGGCATAGTTGTTCTCTCGGAGCCGACCCGGGGTCTCTATTACGGGTCTGATCCCGGCAGTGCCAGATACACGGGAAGGACGCCGACGACGCAGCCTGACGTGCTCGTTGAACAATGGAAGCTGTACTTAACTTTTGCCTGTACTACGTTGACCGATGCCGGTACGACCATAAATGGCGCGTCACAGAACAGTCAACACGCGCGGAATGTATCCAAAGCCGACAAGCTCGTATCGGCCAGGACGCTCTTCAAGTTTTTGATACCGCTGCTCTTGGCGTCTTCGGCTTCCGTTCGCGAGGCCGTCGTGCTGGCTATGGGCTCGATCAATATTAACATCTATCGAGCGTTACTCGAGGAGCTGCAGGGACAAGTATCTCGATGTAATGACGACGCACGCGCCCGGATACATCAGCGGACCAATAGCGGACCACGTAGAAATCGAAAACTGGACCTGTTGCGGACGGAGCTCACTTGCGTGTATAAGTTGACGTGCCACTTCCTAAAGGAGCCCGAGGTTTACCAGGACGACTGGATCATTAATAATCTCTGTACGTACACGAAGGACCTGAAGTTATTTCTCATGGATGGAGACGTTCAGATGGATTGGGAATTCCAGAAACTCAGGAGGCATTACTGCGGCCTAGTCGAGGGGCTTTTCGAGGGAGTCAACCGTACGAAAGACCCATCCCGTTGGATGACGTTTGAGTCGCGAAAGTCTTCTTTCACCTTGATGGAAGATTGGTGTGGATTCTCTCCGAACCAGATGCAAATCCGCCAAAGAGAAGACACTATGCGGCAGTCGTTGATTGACCAGCAATCTCTCGGCGAAAGGGGCACCATCACCGCAGCCATTGAAATAGAGAAGAGAAATTTAAAGACAGCAGCTTTGAGTGCTATGGCAAGTCTTTGTGCTGGCCCAGTAAGTGTAACCACCGAGAGCGGTGCTACACTTCATTTCGACATGAGACGGATGTTGAACTGGGTAGAATCGATTTTCAGCTCCGGAAGCGACCGCGTCAATGTTATAGGAAGAAGAGCGCTGAAGAACCTGGTCGTCTACAACAAGGACCATCCATACCTCCTGGAGCACTGCATCGCGCGGTGCTACCTCACCGAAGTGCCGAAAGTGCTCGAAAGTTATTTCACGGTGATCACTGAGGTACTAATCGAGCATATCGATTACCCGTCGCCCTTCTGGAAAGTGTTAGGACTGTGTTTATTTACCCTGGGAAGCGACCAGAGCGACATCCGATCCAAGTCGGCACACGTTCTCAGAGCCCTCGAGGAGAGACAGCTAGCCGCTCAGAGTTCCAAGATCCGAGACTTCGAGATCAGCATCGCGGATAAGACCAAGGCTGTCTACAAGCTAGCCCAGTTCGAGATTTCGAAACGTCTCGCGAAGCAGTATCCCGAGCTCGCCTTCCATATTTTCTCTGAGGTTACACTTTATTTCAAGAACCTCCCCGCGGGCGCGCAGCGAAATGTCGTGGCCGTCATCCTGCCCTGGATCCAAACCATCGAATTAAAGGTTGATCCGAATGGAGGGCCCACGGCCCAATCTTACGTTCTCCTCGCCAATCTCCTTGAAGTTACGATCAAGTCCAGCGCCGCACTTCACAACGAGGTACAGGCGCTTTGGCAAGCACTTGCTACCGGTCCGTTCCCAGGAAACGTTCGGCTCGTGCTTGATTTCATTATTTCCCTCTGCTTGGAACGGAGAGAGCAGAACTTCGTCGAGTACGCGAAACAAATAGTAGTCTTCTTATCAAGCACGCCCAGTACGCCGGGCATCAAAGTGGTCGAGTTTTTGTTGATGCAGATTACTCCTAAAGCTATGGTCCCCAACGAGAAGAGAGACGTTGTTCCGTCGCCTCCTGATCTTAGTCAACTACAATTGCCTTATTGCGCCGATCTATCAGAAGCCTTGCCCGTCGGAACTAAGCAGGCTGGGTTTTCCCTGGGCCAATTATCCCTGATACTCTTGGTTGATTTGATGGTATCGCCTGTGCAACTCAGCACCGATAATCTAATAGTCTTACTACAAGTCATTACGGTACTTTGGGACCACTACACACCCCTTGTCCAAGAGCAAGCTCGGGAAATGTTGGTCCATCTAATTCACGAGCTTGTCGTTTCGAAAATGGACGAGGGTACTCCGACGGAAGCAAAGAAGTCGGTCGAGGACGTGATTGATGCGATTCGACGCCACGATCGTTCTGTAGTCTGGGGTTACGAAGAAAGCAACGGCAAAGTAGATGGCCGTGACAACAAGGTGCCGCAGAGTATGGAGAATCTTACCGCCAAAGTCGTCAAGACTTTTGAAATCACTTTCCCGGGAATCAAGGAACAATGGAGTCGTCTGTCACTTACTTGGGCAACTTCTTGTCCGGTCAGACATCTTGCATGTCGTTCATTCCAGATATTCCGTTGCATCCTTACCTCCCTCGACCAGCTGATGCTTGGCGACATGCTTGCCCGGTTGTCTAATACAATTGCGGATGAAGATACGGAGATCCAGACATTCTCCATGGAAATCCTGACCACCTTGAAAACCCTCATCTCAAAGCTTGAGCCAGAGAAACTTGTATCCTTCCCTCAGCTATTTTGGACAACGTGTGCATGCCTGGACTCAATTAACGAGGTCGAATTCCTTGAAGCAATTGAAATGCTCAATGAGTTCTTGGAAAAGCTTGATTTCCACTCTCCGAATATTCGCAAGGCCCTTATGGAAGGCCAACCTCCGAGGTGGGAGGGTTCATTTGAAGGCGTCCAGCCTCTGCTCTATAAAGGCCTGAGATCGTCTCTTTGTCTTCAGCCCACACTCGACATTTTAGATAAACTTGTTCAGCTGCCAAGCTGTGATCTCATCGGAAATGATAACAGGCTCTTCTTTTCTATCATCGCCAATTTCCCCCGTTTCTTACATTCCATGGAACATGGCCCTATTGATCAAGGAACTTTGCAAACTGCAGAAATCCTTTTTGCGGTAGCCGAGGCTCAGGGATTGTCCTCGATATGCACGGCTCTAGGAGGTTTCATGGAGTCGAGATACTCCTCTAGTAGGGAGTTCATGGCTCAGCTACTTCTCACACTTCGCGTAATATTCTTACCGCAGCTTGATTTCCAGATGTTAACGATGATACTGGGTTTCCTCACAAACAGCCTGCCTTGGATGAAGGTTATGACTATGAGGCTGCTCTCTGTTATCATTCCCGAAACCGATATGCGCAAACCTGAAATTGCTAGCCATGGCTCAGACTTGATCTCCCCGCTCTTACGACTTCTACAGACAGAATATTGCATGGGAGCGTTAGAAGTTCTTGACAATATCATGAATATGTCTGGTACCCCGATGGATAAGCATTATATCCGCATGAGTATGACCAGCGCCGCGTCTAAAGATAGGAAAGACTACGAGACAACCCAGAGCCTATTTGGTATTCCGGAAGACTCCGGCTGGTCGATTCCTGTTCCGGCCAAGAAAACGGAGAATACGAGGGCGAATATACATGCCGCGTTCTATATGTGCCAAGCGAACCCCGAGGACGGCGCAACTGCAGACCCAACACCAACACCGGAGGTTGCGTTCCACGCCGATGATTACAGATATGGATATTTCGAAATTCCAGAGCGAACCGATACTATGATGTCAGACGACGTCCAGGGCGACGGCCAGATGGCCGATTTAGTAACCAAGCTAGATAGTCTAGACGACTTCTTCGATGACATGTCACAGACGTCCCCTAGTGAGGGCCGATCATCGAGAACCGTTACAGAATTCTCTCCCGAGAGTTACGAGTCCGGGGCTAGACTCTACGACGACGTCTTACCTATCCTCCACCAAGCTTCGACAAACACATCATTCCAAAACGGCTTCGTAGACCGGATACCGATGACGAAAGACACCAAGTCCAACACGATGAACCCGGGGGCCTTCAACCTCGCCGCAGCATCAGCAGCAGGGGTAGGAGCAACAGTCCGGCCGGGGCTGCACTCGCGCTCGATAACGTCGCCCTCGGCGCCGACGTCGTGGGGCGGCCAGCCGCAGCTCAGCGAGCTGACGTCGGACGACGAGCTGACGGAGGACGTGTTCTCGGACGGGGACGACGAGCGGGCGGCTCTCGGGATGCCGGAGAGCTCCTTCTTCCTCGAGAACATGATCAAGCCGATCGCGCAGACGACGCGCACGCACATGCGGCGGCTCACGGGCGGCGGGCGGCGGGACGCCGAGAGGCAGCGGGAGCTGTTCCGCGCGCGGCAGCAGCAGATCTCGCCGCAGGTGCCCAAGGTGCCGAACTCGTTCCTGCCGCACAAGACGAGCCCGTCGAATGGCGATATGTTGTAAGTTGTTGTGATAAGATGAGATGAGATGAAAATATATGTTAGGGACCTTATTAATGCGGGGCGAGAAACACGAGCACGAGTACGGGGATGTTGATATCGCTATTGATTACTTGGTACAGGCGCTTGGAGGAAGGTAACTGATATAGTTGAGTTGACATCTTCACGAATCATGTAGCAGGTGGCCTATTTTGTTGGCGATGCGGAGTAGAGAAGTGTGATATCCATTTTAGTCGTATGTGAGCGCGTAGGGGAATTATGTCCCTGGATGCGTTGTGTGTTGTGTGGATGTTAAGATAACATAGGAGGACTCGACAGAGGATGGGTTGAAAGTTGAAGGGTGGATGAATAAAGCTTAGGTACAGGTACCTAGTTACCTGATGATTGAATAGGCACAGGGCGCTGGAATTTAAAACCTTATCAGAACGTAATAGTTCCCACTTAGCCTGCCTCGGAGCGGCATAAAACTAAACCCAATTCGCTAGTGTGGGGGAGCGGTCAGAGTCGGCAATTCAAGATATTTTTCTTGATCCAATTCGCAGTTCCTCCTACATGCGACAAACCGAGTACCAAGGAAATTTAGTTGACAAGTTCACATAGTATTCACCTACAGCTTAATTGTCACCTGCCTAGGTAATAGCGCATCATTATAAATCTCTAAGAGTAATCTAGACCCAACAATAGGCAGCCACTCACTTTGTTTGGTACGCTTCTAGCACCAAGGGCCTGATAATCAATCATCTTGATGATGCCGTAGTCAAGCGCGACTCTTCTAATACAATACTACATACATAAAATGGCGAAGCGCAAGTCCTATGGAGGCGAAGGGGGTCATTTCGGGAAGAAGCAAAAGACCGCACATGTGCATGACCCCCCTACCTCTGAAGATGTCTACAACGGAAGACAACTTCGCCAGCTTCTGGCTTTCGAACAAGACCTTCGGAAAGCTAGGCACGGTATGTTTAGGTTCCAATTTGATCCTATCCATGACTTCTACCCTCTTTATACTAACAGGATATACTCGCAGGCCTTCAATCCTTCAAGAACCTTCTCGATTGTATCGTCAATAACGAAGACAAGGACTCTGAGAAGCTTTACATATTACAGGAGTTTTTGGACTCCGTAAAGCCGCGAGAACAAGATGACGAAGTCCCTGTGTATCTACCAGATATAATGGAATCATGGAGCATGGCTGTACAATTAAATAACGAGAATGTCATGTCTGCCGTCGCCGTCGTACTCGCGCTTCTTCTTAAAGTTCTCTCTGGAAAAGTGAATATGGTGTCATATGGTTTAGGAATATGTCGAACCCTCCTCCAGAAACGACAGCAAGAACTCATCGCCAAAAATCTGTCGGCTGATAACGGCAAGGACTTCATAATATCACCCACTTTAAGGCTTCTCAAAGAAGCGGTATGCTTCGATGGCGGAGCGCTTGCTGCCCCAATATTTAGAGCGAGGAACAACACGTTCAAATCGCTAGCTAGGAATATGGGTCTTCGATACCTGGGAGAAGGTTTTGAAGATCCTAAACGACCATCTGTCAGGACTAACGCGATACGCTTTCTCCTAAGCAGCTTGAAGTTATTCCATCTTGAAGCGAAGCGCGATCTATTGTCTCAGAAAGATATCGTGGCTGCGCTCATGAGACATATCAGAAAGGACCCTCCTTCGTTAATCCATGAAATATTAGACACTCTAAAAGCTTCTGTTATATTAGACAAGAAGCTACCGAAGGAGATCAAGATCAAAATTTTGAATGCTCATTCGCTTATCAGGATCGCGGAGCTTTACGGTTACCCTGAAGCCCCTACTGAAAATGAGGATGAACCAGAGCGCGAGCGTCCGACGGTCGAGGATTCTGCCCACGCTTTCCTGACCGCTGCTTGTACTGATTCCGATGCCGGAATTCGTCGATCAGAACATGGTTACTATCCCGAGGGCGTAGATCCCAACGCGGTACCATCAGCGGCCAACAACGATCAACCCGTGAATTTTGGTATCGACAGTATTCCATGGATGAGTAAATTTGAGAATGATGTGCCTGTACGGAATTCGCTATTGGCGGAGTTCATCCAGACGTTACGACCATGGTCCAGCACGAAACAGAACGAGCTTCTCGTGGCTATTTTCGAAGCGTCGCCGGAATTGGTTGCCAACTATTTTTGTCAAAAGAAATCGTTCGCATTTGATCCAAAACTAACAGCTACCTGGATTGGTTACGCCGCGTTGCTATACAATGCCGTTCAGTTACCGATTCCCTCCTGGTTCGGGCATGCCAAAGGCTATGCAAGGGTTCCGCCTCCTACCTCTGTAGTACTTGGAAACATTATTCCACTGCCTATGACACCGAAAGCTTTAGCACGATGCCTCTCCATCAAATCTAAGCTAGCTTCTTTCTATGCAATCCGTCTTCTGACACTATCTCTGCAGAAGCTAGGGCGAGCTCTGGAAATGTACCAAGAGGCGTCGTCGTCATCTGATTCTCTTTGGGAAGAGGCAGCTCGTCGCCTTCTGGACGAATTTTATCAGAAGATCCCGGACATCAAAGAGATTATTAAATGTTATCTTGCCATGGAGCAAGATGATCTACTTCAACGACAAGCGGCAAGTCGCTTGCTATTACTCTACTACGAAGTTATCCCCCAGGTTGCGCTGAGGGCTAGGTTTGATGTCTCGCCAATACTTTCATCTACTATCAAAAGGGTTGAGGCATCTGATAGAATGGACGGAAATACGGCGATGTCTCTATTGGAACTCGAAAACTTATGCGCGATTGCAAAATATTCCCCAAATATGCGATGGTTTGCTCGAACTTCCGATGCAACTCACTCTCCATTCACAACCCTCTTACGACTATCTATTGAAAAGACGACCGGGTTATCCAACGCGAGCTTAGATGGTGTCCTATATTGGGTTGCCAACGAACACCAGCTGGTAGAAGATCAACCAAACTCTCCCGGATTATACCCCTTAATTACCACTTTGAAGAGCTTTGAAACCGTCGATTCAGCGATCTGGGCGTTTTTGGACAACTGCGTTGAACGCTGTGCTAGAACACCGGTCAAGTACCTTGAGATGATTGAAGAGCAGTTGCATAAAGCTGAGGTCTCTGAAGACGAAGGCACGGTTACTTGCCCTCTTATGATGACTATTGCTGAGCAGGTTCCTTTCTTCAATTCATCTTCCCCTAGCAAGGCTACACTTAAAGCATTCGTCCAATTCCTTTCAGAATATCTCGGATATTCACTCGCCGCCGGTGTAAGCAAGGCTTTCATAGATGCTTCGAAAGAACTTTTCTCTACTGGTCTCACAGACCAAAAACTCAAAGAAAAGCTACGCGTCCCGAAAAGGAAGAAGCATATACAGGAAACCCAAGAGCATCACACGAACCATAACGCGTTACTTCCCAATGGTCGAAGTGACCAGGCTGTCAAGGAGGTGGAGAACGATTCAATCACACAAATCCAACCCCAGGATCTAGAACAGAGGCTTGCAGTGCCCATCACTACGATCAAAGATAATTCGCTATCTAAATGGACGACCAAGACACCTGAAGAACTTGTGGAGGAGGGATACGCATCTTCATTAATTCGGTTACTTCTATCTGAGCATTCGAGCATCAGGAAGGAAGCATTGGTTAATATAGTCAAGGTGGCTGCGAAGATCAAGGAGTCGACGTACGAGAATAACGAACAAGTTTGGCTCCTACTCATGGAACTTACTGAATCAGCACGGGATTCTGTTCATGATGGACCGATACCGAGTGTGATGGTCGCCTTCGCCTGTAAGGCTCTCGAAGTACTAATTAATCCTTTGCATTGCCTCTACGAGAAGGTGAATCTGTTCCTTACTAGCGGACCAGTATGGCCATTGGATAAGATACCTCTGATGCAAACTATTCTCCAGGAGGGCCCAACGGAAGACGGTGCTTTCTATTCTGAAGTCAGCTGGCTCCTGGGCTTCCTACTTGAGAGCTTACGAACACCTGCGGATGTGGGCTTATTTCATAAACGAAGAGTACCTGAGAGGTTGTTTGCTCTGACGTCTAACCCCTTTATGGGACCTAATCTAAGGACGCAAATCCTGAGGATTGTGTATAGGATGTCGACTATCGAAGGGGGGAGTGATACTTTGATTACGAGGTTTGGAGCAGTCGGTTGGTTGCTGGCTCAAAGGGATATAGCGACGGATGCTGTTGAGAGAGGAGTATGTCAAGCGTTGATTAGAAGGCTATGGGATACTTGTGATCAGAAACGCATCTCAGCATGGAGTAAAGGGGGTGTTGAGAGGATTATAGGACAGTGAATATCTTGCATACCTAGGTACCTAATACATACCGCCAAAGCATACCCCTTTTCCAACGTAGAACAGTTATGAAAGTCGTTTGATAGAAGGTGATTTTATTAATTCAGGTACCTTCTTTGGTTAGGTACCTTCGGTAGTTATGACACGTACAACTGAGGTATGTTATATAAATCGTAGTTATACAGATCCGTAGTGCACCTAGATGAGGTAATAAATAATTGTACAAATCGTGGCTGACCCGATTTAGGCATCAAAACCTTGCAGATATTGACCCGCTCAGGCCAGCGTGACGCTAAATTAGCTGTGCGATACTGCATAGTACATACAATACGTCAGGGTTGCCCTGTCACCTGTGCCTGCTGCCAATTCGCTGGTACCCATACCTAACCTAGTCTTCTAGGTACCTTGTTCAAAGTACATCACATGTATGCGTCAACGTGTCTAAGTACCTTAGGTACCTACTTCGTAGGTAGGTACGTATCTGATATCTTACCCCGAAAAGGTGGGGACACTGGGCCACTTTCTGTATTTCCCAAGTTCTCAGTTCTCACATCTTCACCTAGGCAAGTCTTCCCCAAAGAAATAATTTGGCATTTGGACAAAATGTTTTGACGTCGGCCTGGCCTAACGACAACTTGCATGTAAGTAACATCCTTTGATCATACTGCAACGATACGACCGACATACGACAACTAAAGACGCTTTCTTCCTACATTTTAATTTGTGAAAACATCCGAATCTTAAATGCGTCCTTGAGATACACACCATCGTCACTTTCCCCTTACACGTTGCTACCTACCTAAGGTATTCTCTATCTGTGGTAGCTTATACCTTCTTCGTCTGATTGATTCATCCTATCAATTGACGCGCCTTATCCTCCAATTCCAATTACCTTCACAAACTTTATTTACTTTGATGAACGACAGAAATCCCTTCTAGGGAACCCCTCGACATACCCTGAACTTGACCGGTGTCGCCAACAAAATAAGGAGAATAAAAGAAAAATAGAAGGAAAAAAAAACCCTCGTCACGCTTTCATTTACTCTTTCACCCCGCACAGGACTGACACCCCCCAGAAATACTGTTTTTTTTTATAAAAAAAAAAAAAAAAAGAGAGCCTTGCTTAGCCAACTTACGATTATTTATCCTCCAGTCTCTCCTACAACCGTTTACCCTTCACAGGTGGACGCTTTCCACCTCTCTTCACCTCATACATACCCATCTGGGTACTATTCACATTTAGATACCTACTCGGCCTCAAATGATATGGCATTACGGTATACAGTAGACGCGCTGATATACCTGCGCGAGTCGCCTTTGTGCGTCAAGCCAGTTGCGCTTCCTCCTGCAGAAGAATGGATGGGGTACGCTTAAGCTGATGAATGGTCAAGTTGGTTTTTATTTTACCGTCATGCTAATAGCCTGTCTAGCCCGCCGCCCGAAGCCTTTCGTAATAACCAAGGTAACAAACCTGGAACTGAGAGAAGAAGCAACGACAACTCCTTATTAGACCCATCTAATAGGCGAGTGGGCATTGACAGACACACGTCGCGAAACGCTGGAGGTATGTTTGACATTGCTCTTCCTCTGTTTACCTAACCCCTTTCTAACTTATTTTTTCTAGTTTCTGAGGATATTATCCTTGGTCCCCCACGAACTACCTTCTCATCAGCTACCCTCACAAGGGCCAATAAGCCTTTTGACAATGATAAGACCGTGAAAGATACCGATACTCGAGACCGATTCACCTTCCGCTCACGGAACGGTGATTCTGATAATTCTGAGCGCTTCCGCGATCGCGATCGTGATAACCGGAATGGATTCCGCCGACGCGGTGACGCAGACCAAGACAATGAGGGGTGGAGCACTGTCAAGCCCCGTAAAAGTTTTGGACATGAAGGTGCCGAACGATTCCATGGTCGCATGGGCGACCGTCCTGACCGTTTTGGAACAGATCGCCGACCACGCGACCAAGACGATCATGAGAATGGGGATCGACCCCGTCGCAATTTTGGAGAGTTTTCCAAGGATAAAGAAGGAGAAGATAGTGACAAGCCTCGCAGAAATGCTTTGAATAGAAACAGAACCGACCAACCTTGGCTACGAGAGAACGATACTTCCGCGCCTCGTGAGCGTTTTGACAGATCCAAGAGCTGGAGAGACAGGGCTGGGAACGAACCTTCAAGTGAGGGGCAACAGGATAGGCCGAGAGAACGAACATTTGAACGAAGATGGGATCGAGACCGGGATCAGCGTCAAGAACGGGAACCGGAATGGCTTGATGAACCCGTCGAGGAGCAGTCCCAAGCGCACACTCAAGAGGACTTCAAGAAGTTTATGGAGAGTATGAAGGCTGGCAAGAACCCAGCCAAGGCTGAGCCGGCCCCCACAACGGCTACGGAGGCACCAGCAGCAAGTGAGAAGGTCGAAGTCGAGAAGACAAAGGTCAAGTCAGCGCCTGCCATAGAGACTGGACCTGATAAATTTTTCGCTGCATTTGCACAAAGTTCAAGCATCGAAACACCAGCTATTACTGGCGATACTACTAAGGAGAATTCTATTCCTGTCATGAAGCCAAAGACAGGATCTCGATTCCAGAAACTTTTTTCATCTCACGAGGAATCTCGACGTCAGGTTGATCCTCCAACTCCTGCTGCTAGTGCTCCACCGGCCAGCGAGGCGAACCCCCTATTTAATCTAGGTGGCTCGCAACCACAGAACGACAAAGCAGACAAGATTGCCTTCCAGGCATTATTGCAGAAATTGCATAAACAAACTCTCCAGGCTACTACACCGCCTTCAGGCGGGTTTTCGGAGCCTCCCAGCCATGTGATATCTTCCCCCGGCCCTTACCAGCCCTATGTGCAGGAACGCCGCGAGGAGCCGCTTGCTCGCGGGCCTCCTCCTCCAGGACAAGATGTCCACACCCCTAGGCCACAAGTGCATCCGCAATTCGCTGCCGGAATGCGCTCAGAACAACAAGTTTTGCACGACCTGATTGGCCAGCGGCAGAGCGCAGGGCGTTCTGACCAACCACCTAGCCGTAATAGCAACAGTAATGCTGAGTTCCTCATGACTCTAATGCAGAGCGCTAGAGCAGCGCCAGAAAGCCAGAGAAGTGAGCAGCTTGCTATGAGAATGCCGCAGCCCTCCAGACCAGCACAAATTCTTCCTACGCCGGATAGAGAGATGGATTATCAGCATGATCGTGGCTCTGCCCAACATCACGTTGGCCGTCCCACCGCCTTGCCCAGCTTTTTTGATGAGGCTCCAATTCATCACAGAGAACCGGACAATCGTCCGCAGCAGCCCACCCAGATCCTCCAACGCCAAGTTCCTCCGGGCTTAGATCAAATTCATCCAACTGCTTGGATGCAAAACAATGGCCAGCAGCTGCCTCCCCCAGGTCGACCTATGATCCCTCCTCCCGGGCTTGCCGGGAACCCTCGCAACGGACCAATCCCGGGAGCATTCCCTCCCGGAAACTTCCCCATGGCTGCATTTCCTCCTGATGGAATAGTTGGCCCCCCACGCAACATGGCACCGCCTCCGGGCTTCTTCGGTGGACCACCACCACCGGGATTCATACCTCCAGGACTCCCTGGTTTCCAAGGACCGGATAACGTAGCATTCGGTTTCGATCATCGCGGTATGCCTCCTCCCGGTACTTTCCGTCGGAACTAGGAGTTCTCCCCATCTTACTACTTTGAGGAGTGAGCATTGCGTCACACCTAGTTCGGATATAACCCTTCTGAAGACTACTGCGACATATTCTTCATATTGTCCTGTGGTGACTGGATCAAGCAAGGGCGACGGAATGCTTGTGTGTATTGGTAGGAACAAGTGATGATGAAAATAAGGGGCGAAAGGGCAAGAGTCTATGCGATTCCTTGTTTTTCTCCTTGGAAGCAAAAAGGGATTATAACGCTTGTAACTATTGTAACAAAACCCTCCTTGCTCACCTGTAACGACACCAAAGTCAAAGCCAATTAGTCTAGAACCAGCCAAGTAGAGGCTTTCTGCCCTGGCGATAGTCTTATCGTCGGGGTTTTCATGTCTCTGCGTCAAAGCAAAATACAACCAGGTTCACAGAGCAATACCTAGCTAGCTTGTGCAGTGTCTTGATAGTAATGTAGTAATGAGGATGAATTATGAAACTTGAGAGTTCAACAGACGATTATGGGGGTTTCACTTTCGTCTTTTCTTTTCCCTTTTTTTTTCTTTCTCTCTTCCTAAGTATCTTATAACCTTGTTCCCGTGTGACATGTAGGACTTATACCTACCTCTTATATACCACTTTCGGATATAAATCAGGACCTCCGGACAAGTTCCTAATTCTCAAAAGGGAACGGAGTTTGGACGAAGGGAAAAGACAAAAAAACAACGAGGCCACACAGACAAGGAGGAAAGTAAACATTTCCCTGCTTGCGATTTTGCTTACCTACAGCTTCGGGTATGTACTAGGCTAGGTACCCGAAGTATTCAAGATAGGTTAGGTTAAGTAGGTATTCGGATTACTATTCAGGTTCGTAATGCAAGATGAGGTAACGTGAGGTAAGTAGACGACAACACGCACGTCTTGATACATACATGAGGTATTTATATTCGAAACCACGGGGGTGGGAAAGATGCTAATAAACTAATATCCAAGTGAGGGTATTATGCGCGCGCATGGGCGATTAGTATAACAAGTACCTAATAAGGGTAGGATAGCGGCCGTGAAACTACTAACCACCAAGAGTAAAGAGAGAAAGAAAGAGACACTATAGTTAGGACGAATAAATAGTATAGTTAAACGTTAATAATACTCAATTTAATTCTCGAATAAAAGGTAAATAATGTGTGTCTATAATTTGGGATTATATTTCGCGCGGCCAAGATGTACCTTAGCACAAAAGCTGTATTTGTATAACTTAACCAACCAACCAACCAACCAATCTTCTCCCCCTCCCCCCCTTTTGTTCCCCCTAATTTGCCTTCTTCTTGCTATGCGGAATTCTATGCAGCAACGAAACGAAACGAAACGAAACGAAACGTAAACGCTCGCTCTCTCTTTCTCTCTCTCTCAAGATGCCCAACTCCTCCAACGCCACGCCACGCATCCGTTTGCCAAAGGTTCTGTGCAATTGCATGCTTTGCTATCGATCCCTCCTCCCTCCTCCTTCTCCTTCTCCTTCTCTTATCTGAACTTCCTACTCTCCAAACACTCGGAAGATTTACTACCCAAGAAAGAACCAAGTGCTACTTAGATACCTGCGGCATTTGTCTCTGGGCGCTTTGCCTCGTGTCTGTCTATTTGCATGTTAAAATATGTCACCATGGAGCTCTGTGGCGGCCGTTTTCTCAGCTCTTCTTCATTCCGAAGATGTTACGCTTCTTCTTCTCCTTTTCTAATTTGTGCGGTTTGCCACTACTCGACGAGGGCGGTCTCACATCACTGCCGTTTGATGGCTTTGGTGTGTGAAGTGACATGTTGCTCATCGCTTGCGTAGGTGGAGCATGGGTAGGAGCATGGGTAGGAGGAGCATGGGACGCGCCACCTATTCTTGGCCCGCCCGGCAGCCCGCCCGGTATTCCAGGCCGAGGTGGCGCTTGTCCTGGTGGCAGACGTTGACCACCCGGTGGCGGAGTGGCCATCGGCGGAGGGGCAGGTCGTTCGAATAAATGTGCCGGTGCCTTTTGGGGTGGTCTCTCCATAGGTATATCAAGCCGTCTCTTGTCTACACCTAGATCACCCACCTGCCTCACAAATAGCTCTGGTGTGAGCATATGGCTAGTTGCTAGGAAAACGTCGCGGTTTAGGGCCGCGCTGACCTCGTAACACGAACGCGACTCGGAGAAGGTTGCTCCACCAGCCATAAAGACGATGATGCGTTGCCTATTATCTACAACACGTCTACCAGCACCAGCCCAACTAGGCTTCGCTGCTCGCAGGGAGCCCTGGCCGATGAGCGCGTCCTCGTTGGGGTCTAGTGGTGGCTTGACATAGGGAAATACTGTCTGATCCAAAGCGCCTCTACATAGGTGTTCCAGCATGGTTTTCACGGCAGGGTTGAATCGTGACATATAACTATCTTCGGGGATCGGTACCTTCGTATCAATGGGGAATAGAGGCTTTATGTCTTTACGGACGTCCTTAAGACCATGTGTTGTACGACCGCCGAGCAATTCCAAATTTGTTATAATCTCGCCGTCTTGGGCCGGTAAAGACGCATGCGCTAATAACCGCTGAATATCTTCAGGGATAACGCCGTCTCTATAAAGGAGATACATCATTATGAGGCGGAGGCGATCCGACTTAGTAACGGCCTCGTCGTCCAAGAGGCGAACAATCGCATCGAGTACGTTTTTCGGTTTTCGATTGTCTTCGTCAAGACCCGTAGCCATGTCCTGCTCTGTAGGCGACATTTCAGCAAGCTTATGGTGTTGAAAGATGTTCATACACTCTTGCGCCATGGTGAGATGGAGAGAATACGCTTCTTTCATCTCCTGGAATTGCGGCAGCCCTGCCATCATATCTTTAATTGCATTCAGACTGGTCGTGTCGCTGTTCGAATTGGTGAAATGTGGATTTTGATCGAGGAACTTCTGGAAGTCGCTCATCAACTTATCGATTGTATCCTTCATATGCCTGTGCCGGTTTTCGACCCAAACTTTGTCTTTTTCAACAAGCTCCATGTCCTTCTCTTCCGCATCTGGGGTTCCCTCGTTGACAACCATATGGAACGTTGTCTTTTCTCCATCCTTGATTGGTAGTAGATCGTGTGCCATGGCCTGATACGTAAATTCATGTATCAATGGAGCCATTAAATCCATCGATCTATCTGTCACTATTAGAACTCCCTGCGGACGGGAGCTTGGCGGCGGAAAATTGGGGTTCCATTGTGCATATTCGTCGAGCTCTTCCGATATAAAGCGAGCCAGATGCGACGATAGCACACTAGCCTCATGTATTGGGTTCTGCGGCCGGTAGTAGCGGACCTTGGGATACTCGCCGAGGGTTACACATAAACCAGTGATCTATTGATATTTATATGTTAGACAATGGGATCGGACGAAAACCAATGTGATTTCGCGAACCTTCTGAGCCAAATCTTGCATGTGCTTCCTTATAAGTCCATTGCAAGCGGGATGGTATAGAATTGGAAAGCTCCAGGGGTCTCGAAAGGTGACGAGGTGCGATTCGCGAGGATAATAGTCGATCGAGAGTGTCTCGAAGCCCGCGATCTGTTGCTTTGCCAGGGGAGAACCGTCTATCCGTCTCCTCAGCTGAGGATCAAGCACCGTAGTCCATACTAAAAAACATCTTCGATACCTTCGTCGTTCGATATCGGCTAGGAGACAATCGACAATGTGAGGTTGCGGTGATAATATATATATAGCGTCCATACTCTGGTTCATATCTCTCCGGTCTTCGATTTTTTCGATGTCTATAGCACTTCCTTCAGCCAATGCGCTAGAGACAAGACGAGGTCGGGTAACATACTCGCAATGTTATGATTAAGGATATCATCTTCTTTGACGACATTGTCAATTATTTTCTTGGATTCGGTGTCGACAACAAGAACTTTCCACTACTCGCAACGTCCTATTAATATAGTGATCTCCACGAAAAAAGGGGGTGGTATAGGGGATAAAAGCTTACATCGCCAGCAGTAATGTTTTTGACAGTATTTATGAGAACTATATTCGAGAAAAGGGACGGTCCGTAAGGTTAGCTTTACTGCGAACGGGCATTTTCTTCCTTTTTATATATTTTTGATTGGGGAGAAAAAAAATCGAGTTCGTAGTCTCGTGAAGATACAGGGGTCTTTTCTCACCGTCGCGTTGTTCTTCAATTATAGATACTCCCATTTTGTCTCTCAGCCCGTAGGCGCTATAGAGATTTTATGGCGACACGTTATTCGTATTAAATGTTAGAGGTAAAGAAAAAAAAGAATAGTATGTATAGCTGGCGAGCTCGAAAGTAAGTCGTAGGTAAGCTCCTACAAATACCTATTGTATTAACCAACAGTGTCGCTATCGCTAAGTCGTTTCTATGTACGAGTGACGAAAGTTCAGACGGGCGCGTATGGTGACAGGAGATCGACGTAAGAAGAGTTCAGCTGTATGACCGGAGTATATGCAAGTTTGTTGGTATCGATGAACACATTACACCTGGCAACGTGGTAAGAAAGATTTATTAGTTTCAGAGAGACGGGACCGCGAGAATGTAGGTAGAGAGGTAATGTGGTAGTGTGGTAATGTGGTAATGTGGTTCCTTGGCCCTTGGCCCTTGGCGGGGTTCGGTTTCAGGGCGCCAATCCGCTAATGCGACCGAGTTGGACATTGGAAAGCCCCCACTTCTGCTAGGTACTAGCGGACACTACAGGTACATATGTGGATTAAACCTTTCATTAAGCCTTAAGGTAGGTACCTTTTAGGTACACATGGATACCTTAATGCAGCTATCCCGGAACACAGTTCGTTGCTGCAGCTTTAACTAAGAAGGTTAGAGTTGCGGGACGTCATACATACTGCGACGGATTAAGCGTCCATCGAAACCGATGGAGATTGGAATAGAGTGCCTACTACGTACATATTGAAGGTTAATAAATCAAGCCACAGATAATGTACCAGTATGTAATTAATCCAGCCACCCAAATTGTATCGTCCTTTTTAATCTAGTACATATCTACATGTAGAATAATTCGACTAAAAGTCTATCGACAGTCTATATATATAAAAAAGGGGTATCTCATATAATCAGTTGGTCTCAGACCGATTCTTAATGCAATTAGGTAGGTAGGTAAGCGCGTCATGATATGATACCTATTCAACAAAGACGTGCCGTGTTTCATCCGGAACCTAGGTATTTTTCCACATCTGAATTGCTGTAGAGCTGTCGCCGGAGCTTCTCGTGCCGCTTCTTGTCCTCCAAGGCCATCTTCCGTATCTTTTTGGCGTCATAAGTCTTTGCTTTCTCCTTCTTGGCCGGTAGGTTCTTCGGTACTTGGACTCCTATCCCTAGGGTGTCGTTCTTTGGCTTTACTTTGATGGGATGTTGCATACCTTGTTGCTCGACGCCCAGCCCTTTTCGTGAGTCTGGATCCCACCCTTGAGACTGGAGGACATTCAAACCCATTCGCGACCGGTCTAGAGCCGAAGGCGGATGCGAATGAGCCAAGCATACCTGATGTGCTATCGAGGCCTCATGTGGTCGAGAATTCGCCTTCTCTTTCTTATTGATTGCGGACCCGTTTTCAAGGGATTCTTGCTCCTCTAAAGGTAGCTGACAAATTTCACAAACTCGAGGAGTGGTAGTAGCACCACCCGAGCTTTCTGCTGAGCTTGACTGGCTAGTCTCCTTTTCCTTCGGCAATACAATGCTCAAGTATAAATCAGCTACAGATTTGGAGGGTTCCGCAGGTGTATTCTCTTCTGTAGTGTTAAGGTTGCCTGAAGAAGCTGGGATGAAAACAACCCGTTTTCGCTTTAACCCTGATCCAAAAGGGCGTTTGTGTTGAAGAGGAACGTCGTATTCAGGATCACTCCACTCATCGGACGGCATTTTGTTAATTGACAAATTCTAGTCAGCCAACCTCAAAGTTGGGATTTTGGAGTTGGGATTGGCAGGTTGGAAGGGCTGAGAGATGATGAGGCGAAATTCCAATTGCAGGGATGTTTTATCTATGTACTTGGGTAAATGTGGGTCATATCTCGGCGCGCTCTCAGCCTTGCATTTCCGATCTGTCGCTTGCTGTCACCCCCTGTCGGTGCTTTTTTTAGTGGCGGTAAGGATCTAAAGGACAGAAAAAAAAAGTTGTCGTCGCAACCCCCTGTACAATACACGTTATACATAGTACACACGCTATTCACGGATTGCTTAGAAATGGATGCTTCCGTCAGCTAAACTTCCCAACACACAATTTCTTCTCAAATTTTTCTTTCTTTAACCCTTCGATTATATCTCTCTGGGAATTATGCCAATTCATTTTCTCTACGACGTATTCGCCAATGGCGCCCCGGCTTGGGTGCCCGGGTGGGCGCGCGACCCTTGGACCCTATTCCAAATCGGAGCTGTCGCCGGGTTCCTATACCTTTCGAAGCGATACTTTAGCGGAACATCGACTACAGCGGAACGTAAAATGCACGGCCGAGTAGTCATGATAACCGGCGGAACAACAGGAATAGGTGCCGCTGTAACACGGAATTTGGCTGAACGAGGAGCGCAGATCGTCCTTCTTACACACCTACCACCGTCAAACCCGTTCCTTGCCGATTATATTGGAGAGCTACGTCAGCAAACAAAAAACCAAATGATATACGCAGAGCAGGTCGACCTCTCTTCTTTACATAGCATTCGTAAATTTGCTACAAAATGGATCGATAACGCACCACCCCGCCGATTAGATATGCTGATTCTATGTGCTGCCACCGTTACACCGCCAGGGGGTCAACGCATAGAAACGGAGGAAGGAATTGAAGAGATGTGGATGGTCAATTACCTTGCCAACTTCCATCTGTTGGGAATATTAAGCCCAGCTCTCCGAGCCCAGCCTTTCGACCGGGACGTACGAATCATTATTCCGACCTGTTCCTCTTACATCCGGTCTCCTTCCCTAAACAATGCGCTCGTGAAAAAGGAATGGACTCCGGGAAAAGCCTACGCTCGAAGCAAGTTGGCGTTGATGGTGTTCGGGCAAGCGTACCAAAAGCATCTGGATGCGTACAAACGACCGGACCAACTTCCAATGAACTCCCGAGTTATATTTGTTGACCCCGGCTTTACGCGCACTCCGGGAATGCGGCGTTGGCTAACACGTGGCTCACTCTGGGGACTTGCGTTTTATATGATCTCCTATATTGTACCCTGGTTCGTGCTTAAAAACCCGGAGATGGGTGCTCAGTCTATTCTTCACGCTGTAATGGATCCACGGCTAGGGATGGGACCAGGCGGTAAGCTTATCAAGGAATGTTCCGAGGTCGATTTTGCGAGGATGGAGGTGAAGGACGAAGAGGTAGCAAAGAAGCTATGGGAAGCCAGTGACAAGCTTATTGAGAAGACCGAGAAGGAACAGGCGGCGCTAAGAGTCTTGGAGAAGAAGAAGCAAGAGTTAAAAGAGCAGGAGAAGAAGGAAGCAGAAAAGGTGGAGGAATTCGATTCGTTAATAAATACGATCAAGAAGGGAAAGGAGGCCGAGAAGAAGACTTCGAGGCGGAAAGGCAAGAAGGCTTCGTCATGAATAGATTTCCTAAATCCAGTTTAATATTTAGGTATTTATCCTCGCTCTAACTTATAATTCTCTTGTCAAATATACGAAAATACCATACGAGTAAACAAAGAAATACGCAATGAATATTTCATAGTTAGGTATACTACCTAGTATAGGTACCTACCTAGGTAGGTATACTTGACACGATGGAATGATACCTAACCGATAGTCTAGACCTCAAACGTAATTGATAAGTAATTCGCGGGCGCGCGAGACGGCGGCCACGGCCGAGCATGCGCGCTTGCATGGAAATTTTAGCTTATGGATGCATCATTATTGCATGAGTTGGATCAACCTGCCGAATAGGCATTATGCATTTTAATCATTTTAATCATTTGAATAAGACGAGATGCAACAGAGTTCCACCATAGGGCAGCATTAATTCATACCCCAGGAAAAGCCATTTATTGTAGTAAATGTCTTCTTATCTCCAATTTCTAATTCATTCATTTTCTTTTTATTTCCTTCAAAAGGACGGAATATACCTTAGGTATAGGCACCTTACCTTAGGTACCTAACCTGGCTTATATAATGTTACGACACTCAATTTCTCAAGTCTTCGGCTCAAAGCACCCTGCTTTATCCCCACGTGAGAATGACGGCATTGGACGCCCCCCTTGGGTTAGTTTTCAATTCAATTTTATACCTATACCTTAGCTCGCTCCCCTTATCTCTATTTACATCTCTATTTACGTAGTAGTACAACATAACTAACAACATCTTCATTTATTAGCTGTCGCTCAACACAACAGCAAGTCAGTTGTCGGTGCAACAACCACATCGCGAATCCGGCAGCACATTTCTAGATATTTCATCTCTAAACCCTTCGTCTCAGCCCTCATACTCTCAAGAGCCGATCGTAATGTCGATGCCGATGCCGACCTCGGTTCCGGCTCCTGCTGTTCAGCCACTACCGCTTCCCGGTCACATGCCGCAGAGTTTCGCGACGTCAATGCCTTCTCCTTCAACTTTGACAACTGTGATGATGGACGCCTCTAGTCTACATCCTGTTTTCTTTACGGAAAGATTGCGGAAGTCTCCGTTTGTGGTTGATGGGGTCGAAGTAACTAGTCCCGTCGCATATGGATACGGCTATCGGGAAACCCAACGGAGAATTGATGGAGCTGTTCCCTCCATGTTATAAGGAACGTTCGTCCTGGAGAATAGGCGCAGACAATCATTGGAGTGGTCAAATGCTCTTTGTAGACGATCTATAACCCTTACCATATCACAAAGCAATCTATTTGCTGATTAGAGAATCGAATTTATCGCAACGGCTGAAAGGCCGCTTACATTTATTTGAACCAATCTCCTTATTGAAAGCATAGAACTGTGTGTACCTAATATAGCTACAAAAGCAGAATACACTTGGTATCCTAAAGCAATTCCTCCGGCTCCAGTACGGACGCCAACAAAAGGAACAACGCAATGTTACCCTTCTTTTCCTAGGTACCTATTCATAAGCTCTGATATCGGGTCGTTAGCCTAGAAAAAAACGCCGTTACAAATACAATAAATCAGGAGACTTTTCCCGCTCTCTTCCCCTGGCAGGCACAGATGGCTAGCTGCCAGCCCAATAAATGGGATAACCCTTAAACCTTTTTGAAAGAACGTGCACATAACACGCTACTACTGTGCCTTTGAGCTTCAACCAGTAGCATTCTTGACCGCGATCACGATGGCTACGATGATCAAGACGACTACTAAGATGAGCAGCGCCATCAACTTGATGTTCTTCCACCACATCTGCCTCTTGAGCCCGCGGCTGCGCACCCTGAACTCCCGCGCGCTGCCGCCCAGGCGGTCCGTCTTATCGACGAGCAGGTCGATGCGCTCGCCCCGCTCGAGCAGGCCCTCGATGTTGCGGGTCATGATGCCGCGGACGTCGTCGATCTCGCGCTGGACGTTGGAGAGGGCGTCGTCGCGGCCGCCGCTCGTGGTGCCGAACTCGACCATGAGGCCCTTGAGCTCGGCGTTGAAGCTGCCGGCGCCGTAGTTCGGCATGTCGGCGAAGTCGGTCGCCTCGGCGGAGAACTCGTCGAAGAAGCGCTTGCGGATCTCGAACAGGAACCCGAAGGGCACCCGCCGGCCCAGCGACGACTCCGCGATCACGAGGAACGTCAGCCCGCCCGCCGACGGGTTCCCCGGGTGCGCCGACGGCGCCTCCGATATGTAGTGGATGTGGTGCGAGCCATGCGTGTACGTGAGCTTCTGCGGGCTGTCGTGGTTGATCTTAGGGAGGATGAGGGAGGCGAGCGAGGAGGTTTGCGACGAGGCCGAGGTCGTGCATTCGGCTAGGATAGTGGTGTGATGGGCGATGCATGAACTGTGCTTGTTAGCTACGCTAATTGGTTCCCTTTTTTTTGGACGGATCGAAGACGTACTAGAGAAGTGGAGTTTGAGGTGTCGAGGAGGACGCCATTTTGAATGATGAATTGTACGAAGGCACCCGATCGATACAACTTCGTAAGAACAATGACAGGTAACTAATTATTCAAAGTCTGATTGATGGTGAATGGTGATGATGATGATGATTATGATGATATTCGTCGTTCTTGGTTTTGTATTACCCAGTTAATCTGGGAGAGGAATATCTAGGAGAGAGGGACTTTCAAAATGTAGGGGATAGGATTGGCAAGATTCAAAGTCAGCAACGGTTTTCAGGTGTCGGGGCAAATGTCGGGGCAAGGCTCTACAGATCCATTAATGACGATGGGGAATGCGTTAAGTCATACGCTAGCCAACCTACACTAGCCAATACATTACCCGGCTTTAGAAACGGCATGTCACATTAGGCAAGTACCAACGGTACTCCGTGCATAGTAGCGTACTATGTATGTCGTACACTAACTTCTAAGTTCCTCTCCGATAAGAAGGGACGGCTTCGTCGATAAGAAAAATTTATGTATCTATCTTATCGGCGCCCACTACCAGAAAGTTTCTAGGGTACAAAGTCCGCGATTTGCCTCCCATCGAGTACCTAAACTTCATTAGTTTTCAAGGTTGATGGCAAAGCCATTTTTTTTTAATGTGAAGGAATCACATCTAACATGATTCCTGACTTTTTCTTCCTTCCTTATCTGTGCAATGCGCTTCTTTCTCAGGACGGGACCGGCTAGTTCAGGCTATGCGTCTCTCGCATATCGCAGACATGTCTTGCGACATGCCTTTTCCACATCTTGTGCTGCGGCTCGCGGGAAGCCAAAGAATTGGAATAAGGTAACAACCAGAAAGAAATACCTGCCTTATATACCTATCTAATGTATACACACTAATGATATGATATATAGCATCCATCCAAGTTTGATAACTTTCAAGATCCAAGGCTTCGACATGCTCAAGACCGTTTAAATAAACTGGAAGAAACCAGTGGCAGAAAACTAACCGCGAGGTCGCAGAAAGAAGCGTCTAAGACCTTTGGGATATTTCGGAACCTAGTCATAGGGAGATTACACCACATGATGTCAAATACGCATACTTGGGAAATGATGCAGCATGAGTACAAAGCATTCGGCGTCAATACCCCTACTGACTTTGACCGCGAGGCAAAGTTATTTAAGAATGCCATTGATGTGGCTTGCGATCTTGCGAGCGAGAGAAATGCTATTTCCCAGACTGACAACCCCATCTTCTGGGGCCTACGCAATGCTTTCGTCCAGAATGACGTACTGGGCCTCACTGAAGAGTTGGCGTACAGTTTCCAAAACTTTCTTATGCGAACGAGATTCCCCAAGAACATCACCTCCACCCATAAGAAAATCGCGGATTTTAGGTTCCCTTACGAATGGTTTCCTGCAACGAGGGCTATGCAGCGCACGATTCACCTTCACGTCGGCCCGACGAACTCTGGAAAGACTTACAACGCCTTGAAGGCGCTTGAAAACTCCAAGTCCGGTATCTATGCTGGCCCGCTTCGACTTCTAGCTCACGAAGTTTATACTCGCTTCACGTCTAAGGGCAAGAAATGTGCTCTGATCACTGGTGAAGAGCAGCGTATTCCCGAGGGCGAGGACAATTATTTCAGAAGTTGTACCGTTGAAATGACTCCTCTTAATTTACCAGTCGATGTTGCAGTTATCGATGAAATCCAAATGATCGGAGACGACGAGAGAGGATGGGCCTGGACGCAAGCGGTCCTGGGCGTACAAGCTAAGGAAGTTCATCTCTGTGGAGAAGAGCGTGCCGTGGACCTGATTCAGTCTCTATGTGCTAGTACGGGCGATAAATGCATTATACACCGGTACCAGAGGCTCAGCCCGTTACAAGTTATGAATACAAATCTGGATAATTACTCGAATCTTCAAAAGGGAGATGCTGTGATCGCGTTCTCCCGAGTTGGCATCCACGCCATAAAGAACCAGATTGAGAAGCTTACGGGACGTCGATGTGCCATGGTTTATGGGTCATTACCGCCCGAAACTCGCGCTCAGCAAGCCGCGCTGTTCAATGATCCCGACAACGACTACGATTTCCTCGTCGCCAGCGATGCTATTGGTATGGGTCTCAACCTAGAGATAAAACGGATCATCTTTGAACAAACACACAAACGCATGAAATACAGCTATAGGCAAATATCAACGTCCGAAATTAAACAAATAGGAGGCAGAGCTGGTCGCTACAGAACAGCACGTCAAGCGGCTCTAACAGAGTCGACAACAGACGCAAAAGGAGATGAGGAAGCTGGAATCCCGCCACCAGGACCCGCCCAGCCCGGCTTGATAACAACGCTGGAAAAGGCCGATCTTCCTATAGTTCAGAAGGCATTCATGTCCGAGCCGGAACCCATACGGTCGGCCGGCCTACAACCTCCTCCGGCGGTGATTGAACGATTTTCATCGTACTTCCCTCCTAATACCCCATTCAGCTACATCCTTAACCGCTTGCGAGATATTGCCCGGATTTCTCCGAGGTTTCACCTTTGCGGTCTAAAAGACATGTTGGCGGTTGCTGATCTGATCCAACCCTATCCCATGTCAGTCTATGATCGATGTGTGTTCCTGAACGCGCCGGTCAATCTGTCTGATAAGCATGGCCCTACAATAGTGCAAGCTTTCGCAAAGTGCGTCTCTAATATGGAAGGAGGCGAGCTCCTCGATATCCCAGAGGTCAACTTGGAGCTGCTGGACATGAGTGATAGCCAGTTTCATGGCTCAGGAGATATCCTGCGGCAGCTGGAAGGTCTTCACAGGACGATCACGCTCTATCTCTGGCTTAGCTATCGGTATTCCGGCGTGTTTAGAAGCCAGAACCTTGCGTTCCATGTGAAGGAGTTGGTAGAAACCCGGATCGACGCTCATCTGGCCAAGGTCAGCGTTGATCTTGCTAAGCGCAGAGCGAGAATGGATCATATCCGGAAGCAGGCTGAGATATCAGAACGTCATAAAGAAGAAGTTCTTGGTGGAAATGCTACGATTGATGGACCTAAACGTGAATTAACTATTGGCGAATGGAACGAAGAAGGACACGAAGAGCCATTATTCCAAGGTCCTGAGGAACTAGAACCTATTACCCGGTTAGAACCTCAATCCAAACGCGGAGATGCCAACCGAAACGCTCATGGAGGGACAGGTTAGTGGCATTGTACAAATACATGAAAGAATGTAAGATAAATAATGTACATACAATATGACGGCTGGCAGGGGACTACCTAAAGTCTTACCCAGGTACGGGATAACTCCAATCACATATAGATATCTTAGATAGATTGCCTAGGTGGCCTGATCTATAGAGTTAGGTACCTTGTATATACTGAGAATGAACAAAAAAAAAACCTTAGAGGTAGGTAGAATATCTATAGGAGGTACCTTATGTAGGTAGGCTAATGCAAGTACCTAGTATAAGCAGCGAGGCAAGTGCTTTGTAAAATACCTACACCTACAACTTCTACCTTTAGATAACTTATTAAAAGTAATACAAATGTTGCATGAACTTCTTTCTCTACCTACCTAGCTTCCGCATTTCGCTATTAATTATCATTATTATTGTTACCTGCTTACCTTACCTTACCAAAGCCATGTTGGCCTTGGTATAATCCTACCTCTTCCCTACAAACAGCACTTCATATGCTCGAAATCCCTACGCTACCTAACAATGGATATTTTGTCTCCCGCGCATAAAAGTTATTACTTATAGCCATGGAGGTTAATAAACCCTCTTACCTGTCCCCATTCCGTAAAATGCCGCCTTTCCTCGTTATGGAAGGTAGCGTTGGAGCCAGAAGTTCATCATCAGAATGGTCTCGCTGGAGCGCTACCAGTCGATAGCGACCTCCTAGTATCTCCGGTATGGACGGACCAACAAGCATGATCCCATCGTCTTCGGTTCCAACTATACACCCAGCTGGACACCGAATCACGAAAGAATCATACAAGAACGCACCAGTCACCCCGAATGTATATATTGATCCTCCACGGCCAGCCAGAGAAGGTTGTGAATGGGTTTGGTTCCCGGCAGGTTATTGGGCCGAGCGCGAAATCGCCGAGAGTCCTGGAAAAGCTATGAGACACTTCAGATGGCGAAAGCGCTCTGGGAAGAGTAGCTCTGGCTGGGATACTCAAGACGGGCTGGATCACTCCATCAGTAACTTATGGGACCATATTTCAAAAACCTCCCAGCCTCTACCTAGTCTCTTTCCCAGCGAAGACAGTTATTCGCGGTCATTTCAAGGGCCTCCGTCCAACCGCCATGGAACGAGTAGCGAGAGTGGCAAGTCTATGTTCCCACTAAACCGAACAACACAATCACCGCTACCTAGCCCCTACCTAACTGAAGAGGCCCACGTACAGTCTTTACAGAGGTCGCCTCAAGGGCTTCAAGATAACAAAAGCAGTATTTCATTTTCCGGATCAGCGAGGCTGCCGCAGAGCTCACCACTCACAATAATAAGTGGTGACTCAGATTCCGCTACTCCCCTTGCGACCTCTGCGAGCCAGGCCCCGAGCACTTCAAGAGCTTCAGCTCCATTCATCCTTCACTCAACCACAACCATACCCGGTGCTAAACCCAGGAAATCGCTGCTTTCAAGACTCCTTCCAAATTATAAGCCAGTGAGTTAAGTGAACAACACATTTATCTTTCAACATATCCTCACCTTTCAAAATCGAGTGACTATATCTCGGCACTAACAAGTACGTTGGATGGTTAATATAGAAAGTTAAGAAGATGCACAGCGACAATTATGCATACGAGTACATAGCAAACACAGCTGCGGTTGTACAGACGCAACACCCAGGTCACCGTCGTAGCCATTCGGCTATGCCGCTCATGAGCCGCGTAACGTCACTACTGCGCGAGGACAGTAAACGGCCGCGTTCGTTCAAGCTTTTCGGGAGGAGTCCCTGGCATCTTAAGGCTTCTGCTGGCTCCGAGGTGAGCGCCTCAAGTTCCATCCGTGATATGCTCCGGGGTCGAACACCTGTTACGAGCCCGATTTCCTATATTGGTATGTATTCTCCGAGAATCTTTTTGGTTTCTTAATGTTGGTTCAATATGCGGCGGAGCGGATAGAAGAAGAGAGGCCACAATGCTAGGTAGGTAAGCAAGAAATGGACTAATTCAGAGATTTACATAGAACCAGTAACTCCTTTTTGCGTACAGTTTCCAGGTGGTGTGAGTCTAACCATTACAATTTTCACATATATACTGAAATCGCTTACCCAACCATTAGGAGGCAACTCGCGTACAAACACCTCCTTTACGCGACAGCGGCCACCACGCTACTCGGCCACAGTCTTTCTTCTTCGACATTTCGACACCACCAACTTACCATGGACATGGTTGTAGTAACAGCAGCGAGCATAGTCCTTCTAGATGCCCTCCACCTCTTCCCCCTCAAACTGCCGAGAGTAGTAGTGGGTAGGGCCACGATAGGCAAGAGAGAGATAAGAGGAAGAGTTGCTCGAGCAAGGAATGGTGGGAGGTGCCGGTGGCGCTGCCCCGATATGAAGTCGCACCTCAAAGCCCTTTCGAGTTTGACATGCCGGAGCATTTACCCAACAGCCCCATGTGCCCGACCAACAAGAGACACCCCACAGGCGGTACGGGGGTGTGCGTGTACCATGGTAGAAGGAAGAGGAGTAAAGTTCTGTCGGACAACGAAAGGAGCGATGATAGTGAAGACGACGTGGATAAATGGATGTAAAAAAAGGTGCTTCACTGGTAAGTATGACATACGAATGGAAATATACTGCTATCACAAGATATCCCATTAAACCACGATATACTATGCTTTTTTTTACATTGTTGTATTACACACCAACTGAGGGGAAATTCTCAAAGAACCACTAATGCCGCAAGAAATATCATCGAAACAAGGTATAACAGAAAAGAAAACCATTGCTGCAAAGCGAGCCAATCCTACCTCCAACTCCTAAACTACCTTAAGTTACCTAGGTAGGTAGTTAACAGAATACCTCCTGTCATTCTTCTAAACTGATCTTCATTAGTGAATCCTGCCGCGCCGAACTAATCCCTCCCGGAAGGAGTCTAATAATCGAGGTTCTTTTTTCTTTTCTTTTTTTTATATCTTTATAAGAGCAACCATACATACCCCTACTAGGATTCTTGGAACTCAGAACCCTTTAGGGTACCGATCCAACCATAACCACCATCGCGGCCGCGGGTGGGAGGGCGCGGCGGAGAACACGAAAGATCTCTAGTCCTGGGTCTGGATCTTGTGGTCGCCCTTAACGGCCTCGGCGTAGGTGGGCGGGGCGCGGCCCTCGTGATCGTGGTCGTGGTCGTGATGGGGGGCTTCAGAAGGACCGGCAGCGGACGAGGGAGAAGAGCGGGGGTTGTTGGTGTTGGTGTTGGTGGCTCCGTAGCTAGGGTAAGAGCCGGAAGCGGTCTTGGGCTGGGCTTGAGGACGGGGTTGGGGCTGGGGCTCCTGCACGAAGACGTAGGTGACGTGGGAGCCGGGGCCGCGCTCGCTGTCCTGCGGTACGGAATCGTACTCGTACGTCTCGGGGTACTTGTAGATGATGTACCAGGCGTGCAGGAGGCCGGGGAGCTGTTAAATAAGACAGTTAGTTAAGGATGGGGTTGAGATTTTGGTTCGACGAAGATGCGGACGTGAAAGTGAAGTGGGGAGGTAAGTAATGGTGGGACTTACGAGGCCTAACAAGCAGAGCAGGATGTTGATGATGGAGTCGGCGGAGCAGATGCCGGTTTTGACCCAGACTAAATAAAAAATGATTAGCTATTGGGTTCTTTTCCAACCTGTTGCGAACGGCGTGCCTGTTGATCGCGATACGTGATACGTGGTTGGATATTTGTTTGATGGTAGCCTGTCTATCTCTCCCCCGCGAGGCAGACGAATAAACGACGCTTCGCGGGTGGGTGGGGAATGACGTACCTGGTAGAGGGGGGAATAGGATGGCCAAATAGGCGAGAAACAGGTCTGGGGAACACATCTTTTGGTTTCTATTCTTTTTGGGGGGAGGGAGGGTTGAGAAGAAAAAAGATAATAATAATAATAATAATCAAGGAAAAAAAATAATGGATGAATCGCGGGGAGTATTGGATAGAAATATGGCGCGAAGGTATATGAGATGAGGTGTATGAAGTTACGAGGCTAGGTAGAAGCGCATGTATCGTAAGGTTTCGTAAGAAGTTGATGATGAATGTATGTCAGGAATGGAATGGAATGGGAGAGGGAGGGAGGGGGGGGTCCCGGCCGTCATGCAAGCTGAAAGTCTGGGGGTGGAGCCCTAGGCTGCTAGAAGAGCCTAGGACAGTACCTAGGTACGGAGGATTACTTCATAGGTACCTTCCCTGTTGGAGGATCCGGTACAAGGGTTGGGGCAGCTAATTCTTTTGCGCTAAGGGAGCTACGGCGGGCTGAGCGGGAGCCGTACGTATAAAGGGGTTGTTGTGGCTTATTCTGCGTGGCTTGAGTGCGTAATCGCTATATCAATGCCTACCTCTATACATCTGTAGGTATTTAACACAACCTTCTAGCTTATTGATTCCGATTTGCAACCAATCTGGATGCCGTCGTGACAGCTATCATGATAACTTCACCAAAACCTACTTGTGAATGTGAGAAGTACGAATACTTACTTCGTACTATCTATGTACCTCGTACGAAGATATATATCTTCTTAGACAGAGTTGTCGTCGCCCTCCACATCCTCCGCGCTGGATCCAGTTGCATCGCTTTCCGGGGTTTGGCTTCGACCTCTGGGCTCACTACGAGTGGACCGACGCTCCTGCTTCTTTTTTACTTCTTTCGATGTCGGGACGTCATCGTCTGTGATCTCGAGGCCAATGATCGCTTTCCCTCTTCTTGCGGAGCTATTTCTCGTTGTTTCTCAACCCTCCTACTTTTTGATGTGGTTCTGTCATGTTCGCTGCGAGGAGCAGCTTCATCAGGCTTAGTAGATGTGGATGCGGATGGGTCGTTCCTTGTAAGATGAACTGGCTGCTCTGCCTTGATTTGTTGCTCTATCGTCTGGATTTCTTTCCTCTGGTCCTCAATAGCAGTGCGCAGAAATTTTCGTTGGTTCGCAGCTTCGTCTCCCTTTCCCGATGAGCTGTTCTCGGTAGCCTTTACCAGCTCCAGCTCCAGCTCCCCTTCAAGAAGGCAAAGAATCCTTCTGGCTTTGTTGAGTTTCTCCAACGGTCCGTCCTGGATCGAGTCCTCAACTCCACTATACCTCTGTTCTCTCGTATCTGAAAACGTATCCTGGTTGATTTTGACCGCCTTCATTTCCTTTCCAGATCCCTGTGGCTCAATCTGATAACCGTCAAAGATTTCGGGCCCCTTTACCACATCCTCTGAGGTGTTAAGCTGATAGCTCATCTCCCGTTTTTCCGACGGATTGCGAACATCCTGGAAGGAAATGGTCATCTTCTTGCCTTCGAGCATATGCGGCCTAGCAATAATCTTGAAGTCGCTAGGGCTTTGGCTACCTGGCACCTGGTCATCTTGTTGGGTCCTCAAGTGTTGCCTCTTTGCATTGAGAATCTTCTGCTCAAGGATGAGTCGATCTTCCTCGCTCTGTAATTGCTCTTCGTTGAAACCTGGTGCTCGAGAAGTGTCGGTGTGTGGCAACAGGCGCTTTTCTATGTGGAGCTTGTCATCAATTTCTCTCCGATCGTCTTCCCCAAGTCCCATATAAATCAAATCAGCCTCTTCCATATATGTCTGAGCCAGCGCTTTGTTGCTTTCTAGGGTATGCTGAAGCATCCGAAGAGCCCATACTTGTAGATATGATAAACCAAAATCGTATGGTTCGATAGAGAGAACTTCTGATATTTCCCTTTTTAGACTATTTTTTGAGGCTTCGGTTTTACATACCAAATATCTCGTAAGTAGCGTATTCGCGTAGCTGAAGATATCCCCTTGTATTTCCTTCTGCAGACTACCGAGTGCTTCCAACTCTTGCGCTGGCTTTGCGGATGATTGGATAAGCCATAGCAATGGACATTGCTTGTGTTCGATAATCACCGAGAGCCCGCGATGCTTTCACCACCATTTTAATTGGAGCTTCAAGATCAGGTATTACTTTATCCACACCCCAGCCTGGGTTCTCGCCTTCCGCTGGAATATAGTTAGGTAGCGGATGAGAATAACGGATACTTGTCACTCCTGGCTCCGATTCAAGGTGCTTCAGGCGAGCTTGAAGTTGATTAGGGAATGCATTATGGGACTTCGCCAGCATCCACATCATGAAAGACCGACTTCTCATGCTTTTAAGGTTGTTTTCCATGACTGAAATCGCAAGGGGCGTAGATTGGTTAACTACGTACTCGAGGAGCCCGTCGGATTTGCCTTTAAGTAAAATGGCACCCATTCCAATCCCTATAATTAGCCTCTGTGCGTATGTCGCAAGAATACCAAGAAGCGCGAGGGTTGTCGACGTGTTATATCCGTGTACCGTGCTTGTCCAATCCTTAATGAGGCACTCGATGCGTTTTCGGATATCTGGGTCATCGCTCCAGTCTTTTGTCACATCGATTGCACTGTCTATCATCCTACTCTGGGAGATATCATATAGGTCCCAGATCCGCCCTTGTCGAAGGAGGCTCGAGTATAACTCTCTATATAACGATTCGGAGTACCTTGTGAAACTGGGCAATAGATCCAGAATTTTCGGCATTCGGTAGAGTAGAGCATGCATTTTAATCTGATCACTTAGCAGGGTACGAAGAAGAAGGTAATGTATGATCTAACCTCAGCTGTGCTTATCAATCTTTTGGGGTCCATTTCGTCGATAGTCATGTTGTAACTCGAATCAAGGCCAGTTGAGTCGGCAGTAATTGTGTGAGTAGTGACAAACCCGTGCATTGTTTTCCAATATTGATAGAGCATTTCTCCATCACTATCATCTCTTGCATTGCTGATTATGGTGTTGAATCTTGTATCAACCATAATTTTGGACAGAGAACTATAGTCACCTTGTTCGAGTAGCATTTCTGCATATTCTACAAGGACATCTGGCTTGTCCAAGTGATCCTGCAAGTTTTCGGCAAAGAATTGCTTGGCGGAGACGAAGTCGCCCATCCTCCATATACGACAAAACTCTTCTAAAATTTCGTCTATGTCTTCCTGTACAGATAACTTAAGGTGAACCGTAAGGTCAGTATCGCATTGGTTCCAGAATCCATTCACGCCTGCATGATGAAGATAGCTAAGCGGAAGGTCTTCGTCGAATTCATCATGCCTAATGTATCTCCGCTCTGGTATAAATGAGGAGGGGGGAGGTGATGGTGGTGAGAGAAGGGGGCGGCGAGGAAGAGAATCTGTTGAAGATGAAGTAGATCGGTCTCTCCTCTTTGGCACCAGTTGCATCTCTCTAGATATCTCATCTTCATGGAACAGTCTCGACATAGAATCAGCGATTCGAGGGGTACTGCCTCTCCTGGCAGACCGCGGTGGTACTTCTGGTACTGCGCGGTAGGCCATGATGTTCATTGAAGAGGGAAAAGGCGGAGCAAGAAACGTATTGCCTTATATATCTCCGTTAGATTAATATATGCCGAAGAGGGCGAAGTACATATTTGCAGCATGAACGCCCGAGGCTGAGGCAACTTTTCCCCGCCCTCCAGAGCTATTATATCACTCACAAATCTAGAGCCTACCTAATAGTGTCACATGAAATGCATAATGCAGAAGAACATGTCAACTTGATTGGTTATTCGGAGATTGCATATTCAATTCAGCTTATTCCTCCGATAAATTCCATTTCATGTTGTCAGGCTTTGAATTGATAAGAACGTGAAAAGAACTCAGAGAGCCCTGATCTCAATAAACCCGTGCCTCCTATTACCTTAGAAAGATTACCGCCATGTATCCCTCTCTTGGGGCCAAGGACCATCTGGTATTCAGCCGCCTCCCAATTCCCCTCAAGGAGCGCATCCAACTCCGTCGGAAATATGGAAAGTATTACACCAGGAGTTTCAAGCCTGTGATGGGCACAAGCCAAGGGAAGATTGGGGATGTAGAAGTGGCATGCAAATTTCTATTCAGAGAGTCGAAATGGGGTGTTCTAACTGAAGACGAGGACCCGGGGGGCATAGTCTATCTCGACTTACCTTCACCGAGCCATTAAACTGCCGCCTTAAGAGCGCGGTTGTCTCGGTGACTCTAGATGAAGAGCATGAAGACCTACCCCGCCGGTATTCTAAATACGACTCAGTTCCCGTTCAAATAATTAAACATGGACCGCCTGACCTTTCTGGAGAGCCCGATTCCGCTTCCATCCTGAAGGAGTTTAACGCGACCCCTCAGCTTGACGGAGCTGGTATGGTGGCGCTTGGTGGTGTTGGGTATGATAAAGAAAAGCAATATTTACAGTACAGCCAATGGAGGTTCTCGGGGTCGTAATCGCCCAATGCATGGAGAAATGGCGCTACTATTGAGTGGCGGTTGCGTGAAAGCGAGCTTGGCCGTCAGCCAGCCCACGACAATACGTTCCATACAGGATTCGCATTTCAGCATGGCGGCCAACCATTCTATATCCGAGTTGAGGTTGGTGGTTACCTTGAAGGGATAGGTTCGAATATGCGACATAAGGTGACGCATAAATTCAAGAAATTCAAATTTCCTGCCACGCCTCAACCCGCGACAACACTAGTAGACTTTGGCGGTAGACACAACAAGTTCCGAAATCCACTCGATGAGCTAGCCCAGAATTTACCTAACGAAATGCTCCTGAAGAACATGAAGCCAGTCGTCCGGGTCCCTGGGAAGCTCCCAGGAAACAGGTTACCTGATGAGGTCTTGGAGCAAGATACGCCGAATTACTCTCTACAGAGCAATCAATATAACCACGCTGGGATTCCTTCGCCTCATATTCCAGATACATCCGAGTCTGTGAACATAGAAGAGTTTAAGAGAATGATGCAAGCATTGATGTCGCTCGGACAACCTCCTATAGAAAACATCAACTCGGTTTCTATATCAGCATCGCCACTATCCAATAGTCAGATTTCAGATACTACTGTCGGAGGAGTATCCTCTCTTAATAGTAGAGCCGGGACGTCAATTGGTTCGAGCACAGATTCGGGACAGCAGCAAAACGAAGTAACTCGAAGCGTGACTATGGCCGAAGACACAAACCACGAAGAAGTCAGAAAGCATGTTAGAGACGCCTCACTACCGATTATATTAGAGCTAATTATTCTATGGATTCTGACGGTTGGGTCGTGGATGTCTCCTTCGAAGAAATTTAGGTAACCAGGCATCTAGAAGAGATCCTTAACATACCCAGCTACCTACAATAACGGAACAAAGAGTGAGTTCAAGAATAGAAAGAGACCGGGTATACATGTTTATACTATTAGCTATCGTATAGGCGCCAAGGTAGGATGTAAGGTATAAGGATCTCGGAAGGTCAGTCTACACCATTGATGAATCATTGAATACCACTTTCCTTAATAATTAGAGTCCAAATTTACTTCCCATACATCTATTAGATCCTTATAGGCACCTAAGTACCTCCTATTTATATCTCCCGTGTAATGTAGGCTTTTAATTTTGGCAATCGAAAGATTTCCTTCTCAGCATGAATTCCTGATACCTTCCAACATGGCACTATGTATCTTCAATATGAGTAGCGAGTATATCCAGGACCCCCTCTATTCTCTTCGTAGCTAATATTATCACAACCGGTGTCTTAGTTTTAACGTGCTTCCCTTCTAAAGCGTGCTCCAACTCATCCCAAAGGTCTGACAGTTCGTACTCCGGGATGCGCGGTTCCCAGGTAGCAAAATACGCTTTGAACCCCTCGATGCCACACATGCCGCACCAATCCTCATCTTCCGTCTAGATCCTCTCCTCACTTTCCTTGACCTTACTTTCGCTTGTCCTATTGTCGAGCTTAAACCCCTCTAGAGCCCCCTGGGCATTGATGTATATCCTTTTTACCGCCTCCCAATCTTCCTCGGGGAACTCTAGGCTTTCCAGGGCGGTATTAAATATTTTATAGGCCTTATCGCCTAGCCCGCTTATATGCTTCTTCGAAAAGGCGTCCCAGAGAGCATTCCACGCTTTTATGGCCTCTTCACTTGCCTCAATGAGCGGACGAGTATAGTACGTGATAGTAAGCGTCCCACCAGGCTTGAGCTGCCTCCAGAATTCCCTGATAGCAATGTCTGGCGTGGTCCAGTGGATACACTCACAGGCGGCGATCAAATCGACAGCCCCTGACTCCACCGAACTTTGCTCCGCAGTCTCTTGGAGGAATCTGAATTTCGACTCGGGGAGCAATGACTTTTCGACAAGCAGATCTCGAGCGACCGTAGTATATCCGTCGTTAGGGTCCGAGACGACAACCTGATCTAAATGACCAGCAAGAACTGAGGATACAATTCCACAGCCGGCACCGATGTCATGGGCTACGGACCAAGCTGCACCAGCCTTTTGGCCATGATAGTCGTAGATTCGCTGGAAGAACGAGGGTGGATAAGCTGGGCGGCTGGCTAGATAGTCCGACCAGTCCGCTGCTCGACGAGCAGAAAAGGCATGTTCTGTGGCCGAAATATCTGTAGGAGCATTTGAGACTAAAGCACTAGCCATGGTGATTTTTTTGCGCGGGGTATAAGCTGGGATAGGGAGACTTAGATGAGACACTTAACCAGACCCCTATTCCAATAGTTATATAATTTAGATGCATTCATAGGCCGGCAGATTTATATCTGATACCGTCTCCATCCTATTATATACATATTAGTCCACGTAGTACAGAGCGGGGATTGAAACAGATAAATACTACATGCCATATCAAATTGTCGTAATGTATCCTTTTCGGTAGCCATCTTGGGGTTGAGGTGGCATTGCGCAGCGATGTAGGGATAGATAAGGTATATTACACGTCCACATCATTCTCGAAATATAGAGGTACGTAATAGTTTGAAGAATTATATAGTAATAGATGCACTTTGAGGTGCGCATCGATACATAAAAAGATCTAGGTACCTGGGGTTATTTCAATATGCCTACTTCAGACGAAATAATAAGCCCTATTAGGTCGGATAAGGGCAGTATCGAAACAAAGCAACAAAAAGAGAATTAGCGTTTTCACATTTGTGTTTTACACATTCGAGAGTAGAAGATATATTCATTATTTAAATGCCTACTGGAGGCCTTTGAGAAACATATCTGAGGGAAACCCGAGTCTCGAGAATCCTTCAAACTTAGGTTAGGTAGATAGCCTTAATGGCCCAGGTAGCAACATACCATTACAACATAGCAACCCCTCTCGTTATTTTTCTTCTCAAGCGAATGAAACCGTTAATACCTCCACCTCTACACCCTTCCTACCACTAAAAGAATGTCCGCAAACCCGTAACTAATGCTCCACCTGGGTTTTCCCCGCGAAGAATCAACATTCTTGGCAGGTATAGCGCCATCTCAACTCCTAGTAGGAGCACTTCATGGAGAGGAAGCCATGGCCGTAGTTCGACGCACAGTTGCCGCTGTTGTACGCAATGCTCTGCGCAGCACCCTACAAAGCGGTTAGACGTTTTGCTCATAACAAACAGACACTATTAACCCCAAGTCCAGTAGGTATTAAATTCCAGACTGGTTCTTCGGCTTCTTACCTGGCACCCGGACTGGGCGTAGAAGGTGCAGTGGCAAGTCGAGCCCCCCGAGGCGTCGCAGTTGGCGATGTTGGCGCTGTTGTCCCCGGTGTACGAGTAGTCGTAGCAGCTGCCGTCCGTCGACGGGAAGATGGACACGAGGTAGGCGGTGCAGCCGCCGTCCGTGTAGTAGTTGATCTGGAACCCGCTGTCTCGGGACTCGAGATCTCCTGAGGCGACGTCTCGCTCGGCGAGATTGCCGGGCTGCTCAGGGGTCGTCAACGCCGCGACGAAAGCCTGAGCGGCAAAGGGGATGGCGAGAAGGGAGAAACGCATGGTGATGGTTTGGATAGTTGGTAATATAGGAAGGTATGGGAAATCTCTTAGTAGCTGCGTTGCTTGGAGTAGAGTTTGAAGGTGATGGTGTTCGCTTGATGGAGAAGAGAAGGGTGGGTGAAGATTGTCTTTATATCTCGATTTTCTCTTCTATTTTTCCGCTCGGCGACCTCCTGAAGCTTAATACAAGAGAGAGGATATCAACACCTTTCCGCATACGGACGCTTATACCATCATGAGCCTCTCTTGATCATGGATCATGGGAATCTAATTACTGATTATGTTTAAAAGTGGAAATCGATCGCCCGATACCAGCTCATATGCCAGGATAACATCTCGAGTATAGGTTTATTATTAGGCACGAACAGTATACTATAGTACTCATACGAGATCAGGAGTTTCAGCTCGTCCTCAGTTGGTACGTGTACCTTATCCTCGACCAGGTTACCTTTATTGCAATACGTCGTTCCATGTAGGTGTTGTGACACCACCACCTCCAGACCGTGTCGAAGCTTGTAAAAGTAATTTTCTGGATTCAAAAGTTCTCAGGCCGCGGCGGTGAAGCCAAACTTGTTGATGAGTAAGGACCTGTGAAAATATCATCTACTGTATACATTGCAGGAAGCGAGGCAAAATGTGTGGTAAGCAATTAAGATTAGACTCAAGCTGAAGTCGTTGATTTAAAGACTCCTTTTAATCCGCCATTAGCTGCTAGCTGTTAGACCAACCATCACTGCACAATTCCGCTTGCTTGTCTACCCCCTAATCTACCTAGGTTGATACATCTTGTGTTGTTTTATATCATGTTATGACATATAACATCTATTCCTTGAGTGCATTAAGTATAGACTGGGCACGTAATAGAAACAACCTTCCCTATAGTCACCTCTAACAGAGACACTTGGTTAACTTGAATCTCATTTGGACCTATCTATGCTGGCGCTATCGTATGTGATGCCGGCTGACTCCCGATAACCGATCTCTAGCCGTTGACGTCTGGCGTGGTAACATGCGTAATGCCACTACCGACCCCTCAGCTCAGCTCAGCTCAGCAGACGCTTGAAGCTGTTTATTGGTCTATCTTTCTAGTTGGGGAGTGGGCCGTTGACGACACCGTTGCACATGGAGGCTCGATTTGCTAATACTCTTATAACTGATGCCGTCGTGCCGTGTTATTTCCGGTTGAGAGCGGGTGTACTATAAAAAAAAGAATTACCTAGGTCAGAATTTATAGGAGCATTTCGCCCGGTGCTCCAATATCCCGCAACTATCCAGATCGATGTACGCTTATATCATAGGTGTTTCTATGAAGGTTACTGAGCGATCCTCATAGTCTAGTGAATATAAGAGCTAAGTCAATTATATTCGTCATGGTAAGCAGAGGGGAGATCGATTACCTCAGGCAATTATATGCCGTACCTTTTATCAAGGCTAGATATTGCTATAATTTGTCGCATCGAATTAGGGGCTCATACCCCCTATAGAAGCTTGAAAAGCAACCTAATAATCTGCATCCACGAAATTCTCATATTATGAACCCCCAGTCTATCTTGATATCACATAGTTGGCCAAGATCAAGAAATAAATTAAAGAGTGACTAAATTGCAAGTTTCCTTCTAGAGCTATCTAGTACCTAGCTCGAACGTAGACCAGGTTATTTAGGAACCCTCAGGTATTGTCAAGGATCTATGGAAGCATGGGTGGTCATCTCCCCCTTATAGCTAACTTGATAACTCAGCAGGCAGATAGTAGAGCCACCCAGGACAATTCTGCTTATACCAAGATTACCCACAAAGAGTGAACAGTTATCCTTCCTCTTAGTTATACGACATCACTAACTTAACTAAACCATATTCATAAAGCGCCCATTGTCTCTCTATACTCACCTTACTCCGAACTAGTTTAACGCTTGCTTAAAGCAGCAAGTTGTCTACGGCTCTGGGATGGTAAGATCCAGGGAATATTACCTACAATTAGAAGTTTTCATAACCTCATGTGAACGCCTGTTTCGGTTTTGCTCGGAATTGCAACATACGTTGATGAAAAGTTGCCTTTCACCTCATACTACGCAGTCGATAGCTTACTCATGCCGTTACATCGAATCCACAACATGTCGATACGCATTAGTCAGAAGCTGACGCCAGCTGAAAATGGAACAGGTGCTGGCGACAGACCTCCACCACCGACATCCGTCGTAAGCACGAACGTGGAACGTGGAAAGATTCAACCCATCATGAGATACGTCGATATGTCGCGTCGCGATACTTTCTCTGCTCCGTCTTTCCGCGTATTTGGAAGCTCATTGCCGATTACCCGGAGATTATTCCTTAACCCGTCAAGGATTAAGGGATACAGGTTTTAAGGAGTGACTTGTGTCTCGGAAACTACGTCGAATATATAATATATGGGTGTGATAGCGAGCTCTACTCTCTATATCGACTTATCATGGTATCAAAATGCTCTATTTTAACGGCCACGGCCGGCACCTTGCTTACATTAACCGCCGCTGGGCTGGTCTTGGAAGTTGTTGATATTGAGACGACTCCTAACGGCTTTACGAATTCACCGAGAGGATGGAACTCTTTTGGTATACAGGCCAATCCCGATACCACGCCCGGCTTCTCATTCAACCAGACTAGAGTGATAAGCCAATGTGACGTACTCGCAAAAACCACCGCGCTTAAAGACGCCGGGTATGTATATTGTAGTCTCGACTCTGGATGGTCTGTGGGCGGCAATGGCGATGAGTTCGGACGTATCATATACGATTCGTCAATCTTCGATATCCCGAGCTTGGCTAGTCACTTACACGCGGAAGGGTTACTGCTCGGCGTTTACGTTGTGCCCGGAGCTTTCATCGCCGACGAGGCGAAGGCGATATTTGGGACGAACGTCACTATCGGCTCGGTATGCTCCGGCGATAATGGCTTAGCTCGCTGTAACTTCGACTACTCCCAACCGGCAGTACAAGAATGGCACAATTCTGTTGAGTCAATTTGCTTCTTGGTAAGTTCATAAATTGGTTCATAAATTGAAAATGAAACACGAGTTATTACACGAGTTATTAGAAGCTGATTAGGTACGTCAATAATCGAAGGGGGGTCGACTTCATCAAGCTTGATTTCATAACACCAGGTTCGCCGGCAAATGGCGTAAATCTACCCCCTGATTTGAGTGGCGAGGTTATTGCGTATCACCGAGCCATTGCACAATCGGGGCGAGATATGCGTCTGGACATCTCGTGGAAGCTCGACCGTTCGCAGCAGTACTTCGACATCTGGGAGGCGAACGCCGACTCCATGTGCACTGACCAGGACATCAATAACGGCGGGGCGTCGACATTTGTGTCCTGGGAAGTTGTCCAGCGGGCTATCGACAACTACCGGCAGTACATTACTATCGTAATGGCATATAATACAACTCTGACCATCTACCCTGATATGGATAACCTTTTTGTAGGAAATCCTGGCTCGGTGTCAGGCGTGACGGATGAAGAACGCCAGACCATCATGACACACTGGCTCGGAGCTGGCGCTAATCTTATTGTCGGCTCTGACTTGACCAGCCTTGACAGTTTGGGGCTCAATCTCTTGGCAAACCCAAGTGCCATTGCAATTGCAGATTTTGCTGCCCATCACACGATGCAGCCCCGTAACCCAGGGACCGGCTTACCTACAGCTCAACAATTGCAGGCGTGGATCGCTGGCCCCGACGCGTCAGGAGCCGCCGTGGTAGTGATTGCTAACTACGGCCCGGACGAAGGCCAAGGCGGTTTCGGAACTTCGCTGTCGGGAGTACAAACTATTAGCGTGTCGTGGGATGATCTTGGAATTAGTGGCACGTTTGATGTCCACGACATATGGGCCGATAAAGACCTAGGGGCTGAGAGTTCAAGCTTGACCGTACAGCTTGAGGAAGGGCAAAGTGTTTTATACAAGCTGGCTCAATCCTAAAATAAAATAAAATAAAATAACTTTCTTCGAAGAGATGAATTTAAAAGCACCAGGGCGAAGGGAATAAGTGAGATGAATAAGTGAGATTAGTGAGAGTAAGGTATATTACCAAGTAATAGGGGAAAGTAAGTTAGGTAAATTTACCTAAGAAGCACCTCTGTTACGTACCTCTATAACGCGTGTAAGAGGCACTAGATCGAGACAGTTCAGCCAATCAGATTAGACCAAGCAAAGTTGGAGAATTGGAGGTACCTCAAGTTGATGTACATAAGTCCAGTCCCATAAAAATAATAGTCACAATAATAGCAAAAAGTATTCCATGTTACAAGACGTTTTCGAGGTAGAAAGAAATAGTAAAAATTCACGCATCAAATTAATACGTCAATATATGATATATTCAAAAAGAAACGGGCTCAACCGGGATTCGAACCCGGGACCACTCACATTTTCAAACCCCTTTTAAGGGGATTGGGAAGAACAATAAGTACTAACCCGAAGCGAGTATCTTACCACTGGACCATTGAGCCGTGATTGGATAAAATTTTTATTTCATGTCTTGCTTATATCTCAATACTCACAATAAAGTGGGTCCACATCAAGTTGTTCATCTCTCATTTCATCAAGTTCGTAAAAGTTACAAAAGAAACTAACTCTATATGGTAATTTTGGGTCCACTCCGGATTTTGGGGTACATCCGGCCCCCTTCTGCAGGGTCGAAAGGTGGACTTCCCCAAGATTGGGAGCCAATACGTAATAATCCCCTAAGGTAAGGTACTTAAAAACTTAAACGATTGGTCCCCTTGCCCGTCACTTGGTTCATTTCTACTTTGCGACTTCACGATTTTACGTACGACTTTACGTACCTCTTTTGCATTTGCATTTGTCTAACGTGACTTTTTGCTTCAGCTGCAAGTTGCAAGTTGCACCACTTCCAAACCACTTCCGAACCATCTCTTCCAGACCATTTCCTCCAGGCCATCTCCTTCAGACCATCTCTCATCTTTTCGCCACTTGTTGCTAGTTGCTAACACGGAATTCTTGAGTCTGTGAATAACAAATAACAAAATTTCCCAATACTTAAGTTGATACTACATAGTAACGCCCCTGGTCAATTATTTTTTTTTTCTGTCCTTAAAATCTAGGTAGTGAAAGACTTCGCGCACAAGTATTAGAGACGACAATGGTTTTCGCGCTCGAATCGATTTCGTTCGCCTTGACGTAAAATGTTTCTTTCGAATTTACTTGGTTCCTCTTCCGGGAGGAGAAGTTCCTTCAAATCGAGCCGGTCAAGACCTTCCAGGCATTCTCCTGATGTTTCCCCGTCGCGCTCTCGAAGCCTTTATTCCTCCTCTCCCGAGTACCTTTTCGATGAGTCCCAACTCCAGCCTGCTAGTCAACCGCCGACGGATGTGCTAGATCTGAACCAGAACCTCGAAAGGCTCGCCGCCTTATTTCCTGATATCCAAGTCGAAGTCTTTCGGGAGATGCTTGCGTCCTTTTCCGAAGAGTCGCGGTTATTCATTATCACGGATAAGTTGTTGAAGAATCCGGGCGAGTTCGTCAAGGGGCGGCGGAGAGCTGGCGACCACACGGGCTCCGATGCGAATGTGTTAGTCTCGCGCACTGAGGCATTCAGAACGGCGGAATACAAGAGGGCAGTCCGTGCCCTGGCTGCGCAAGAGTTTAAGGGTTTATTATCTAGATCTGCCATCGACGCTGTTTTATCCGAGTACAACTACTCGTATCTTGACGCGCGACAAACCCTTGTGGATTTATCTTCCAAGACGTGGAAATTCACTATATCTTCCTTTCTCTTTCGTCGCAAGCCTGTAACTTCTGCTGAGGCAGAAACCCATCCCCTTATTATATGGAAGTCCGCCGACGATGGATCGATGGTCCCGACTATAAAGGCAACGGGCAGTGCCGAATTGGATAGGGAACTATTTGAGGAACTTATAATACCATTAAAAGAACGCGAGCAATTACTGCGAGAAGAAAGAGACCGCGCCATGGCTGTTTCTCTATCTACCGAGGATGCTGAAGCTCACGAGGCAATGTTTGAGTGCACTTGCTGCTATTCGGATGTAATTTTCGAAGAGATTACTACCTGCACTGCTGAAGGACATATCGTTTGCTTCAACTGTGTTCGGCATTCTATTACCGAAGCCGTGTTTGGCCAGGGATGGCAGCGTAGCATTGAGAAAGAGACAGGTGCTCTTCGATGTCCCGCCGTGGCATCGGTGGAATGCGAAAGCTGCATATCGCCGGAGCACATCCGTCGAGCTATGCAAGCAGAGAAAAACGGAGATGAAATTATACGCAAACTGGATCAACGGCTGGCAGAACATGGTCTTTTATCCAGCGGCCTACCTCTGATCAGGTGCCCCTTTTGCACCTATGCCGAAGTCGACGATTTATATATACCAGCCAGCGTGCGGAGGCCCCAAATCCGTGTCAGCAGCATTCCCAACTTTATCATCATTTTTATCTGTTTAATCTTATCGCCCCTTTCAGTCCCCATTCTGATACTAGCGTTGGCCTTTGCTATTTTGTGCTTAAACTATTCGTTTAGGGGTTACGTGTCCCGCCATTTAGGAGCAGCCATCATGAGATATCAGCGTCGCCGTCGTGGGTTAAAATTCAATTGCCAAAACCCAGCCTGCAAACGCCCGTCTTGCATATCATGCTCGAAGGCGTGGGTAGATGTCCATGTCTGCCACGAGTCGTCTCTTGTCGCCTTACGCACGCAAGTGGAGCAAGCAATGTCTATGGCAATCAAGCGTGTCTGCCCTCGATGTAGTACCTCTTTTGTCAAGACGGCTGGATGCAACAAGTTGACCTGTCCCTGTGGCTATAAGATGTGCTACGTGTGTCGGAAAAACATTGGCACTCCAAACGAGGGCTATCAGCATTTTTGTCAACATTTTAGGCCCGAAGGCGACGGCCGACAGTGCAACGAGTGTAGCAAGTGCAACTTATGGGAAGCCGAGAATACCGAGGAAATCCTCCGAAAAGCTAAGATGGAAGCGGAACGGAAATGGAGAGAATCGGAAAGACGCGAATTATCCGACGCCGAGAAAGCGTATCTCGAAGATGGCGTGGGTGGCTTTAGTCGGGATAAGGGCCTGGGACAGCTATTTCCGGGCGGTAGGGTGCCGAGCATTGAAGAATTCTGTGATTTGATTATAGAGGCTTTGTTTGTGTAGCGGGACGTATCAGGATCATGTTGGGTATGGAGTTTTGGCAAATGAGCATTATCTGGCTATCGACCGAACCTCTCTCTCTCTACTCGAAGTCATCTTTTGAAAACGAACTTTGCATTGGGAACGGGCGTGAGAGGAAAACATATCGGTCATATGGTAGAGAAGGGGTTAGGAGGTTATCTATATGTTATACCCATTAGCAGCATCGTGCATGCAACTATTTGTCACAGGCCGGCTACGGTCTCCAGTAATACTACCATATACAATAGTTTGGCTGTGATTTGGCATAAGTGCGTAATATTCGCAGTACCTGAATTTACGGAGACAGAATGTTTAGGGGCCTTTCATTAAGGACAAGATCCCCGGTTGTTCTCATCATAAGTATTAGGTTAGGTACCTAGGCATATCTATCTACGTCGTACTAGTACGAAGCAGCGAACTACCTATTGCGCTTGAAGAGTTGAGTTTAAAGACATATATTACTTGCGTTCGTACATAAACTCTTCTGCCATGAAATATGAAAAGCCATTGTTCAAGTTAAGCTATCTACTAACTAGCATACCTACCAGGTAGGTACATACATACATACATACATACATACATACATACATCTTTTGATAACGACGCCCAATCTGACAAACCAAGAAATCAAGGGGGAAAATAACTCCCAATGCTACAACAAAAACTAAAAAATAAAAAAAAAAATTAATGCTTCCCTCTTATAATATCCCCATTTCATCTTATCTCGTTTTATCTCATCTCGTCTCGTTCCGACTCATACACCCACCCACTCCTCTCCTCCCTTTCCTTCCCTCCCTCCCCTCTCCTCTCCTCTCCTCAGCACATCCCCCTCCCCTCCCACAGCCACAACCACCCGGCCCCATCTCCCAGGCGGATTCACAACCTACCCCCGTTCTTACTGCCGCCATCCAAGAGCTCGGCCGCGGCGCCTGAGATGGCCACCCGACCCGTCTCCTTGACCTTGGACTGGAAGACGACCCTAGAGGGCCCTTCCTTCCACATCTCCGTGACCAGGGTCTGCCCGGGCACCACCGTGCCGGTGAAGCGTACCTTGACGTTGCGGAAGGGCCCGAACTTCTCGTAGACCGCTTTGGCCGCCACGCCCATCGAGCACAGGCCGTGCAGGATGGGCACCTTGAACCCGCCCATCTTGGCGAAGCCCGGGTCGACGTGGAGAGGGCTGCGACGTGGTTAGTCCTGGGACCGTTGGGGTTGGGGAGGTGATATTTATTTAGGAAAAGCTCGGGGGGAAACTCACTTGTAGTCGCCGCTAAGTCGGTAGATAGCAGCCTGCTCCTCCGTAGTCTTGCTCTCGACAATAATATCCGGGTGCCTCTTGGGCGGGGCATTCACCGCCGTCGCGGCGCCCCTATCAGCGGGTTTCTTCAGGCCGCCGAAGCCGCCGCTCCCCCTCAAAAAGATGGTGGCCTCGTTGTAGAAGAGCTCTTCGCCGCTCTCCGCGTTGACCGTGGTGACGCCGTACTTGACGATGGCGGCGTTGCCCTTGTCGACGACCTCGATCAGGCGGCCGAAGTTCTTGGTGCGCGCGGCCGTCGGGATCGGGTACTTCTTCACCTCGAGGTACTGCTCGCCGTGCAGCAGCATCATGGGCGAGAAGTTGGGCACCAACTCGTCCATGTTGAACGGCATGGCCGTGTCGAACTGCGGTATCACCCCGTACGTCGGCAGCAGCTGGAAGTTCTCGTGACCCTCGTACACGTACTCCAGCTCAGTCCGCTTGGCGCCCACGCCCAGGTTGTAGAGCAGGCTGTCGCGTTCCGTGTACGTGAACTCGGTGGGTTCGGACTTGGCAGTCAGGGCATTCTTTTGGGCCTCGAGATACTGATTACTTTCGGTAGGAGCCTGAGCGGGAAGCAAGGAGTTAATATCAATGGTTTCATTCGTTTGCTAGACTAAGCAGAATATTACACATATATATTTACATGATAGCTAGTCCGAATAGGAACACACGTTTAAGAAAAGAGGGCTCATCATACCTTAGATGCCCCTCGCTTGTTTTCCATGTTAGCCATGATCTTCGCTACCGAGTCTTGGGCCTTCTCGGGGTGGTCTGCTCGGCCGTCGTCGAAATTGACGATCTTTTCCCAGTTCTTGGCAACCTCTTCGGGAACCAGCTTAACGTCTATCGGGAAGCCGACACCTCCTGACCTCTGCCACCTCGTCCGGCCACACCAACCGCTGCCTACTTCGTACAAGTAGCCTGACGGGTTCTTGGGCACCTTGTCGCTAGAGAGAGCGAGAACAAGGGGAGCAATATAGTCGGGCTTGAAGGCTTGGACTAGTTCCTCCGGTAATATGGTTCGAGTCATGGCGGTTCCGGCATTAGGAGCAATTACGTTGCAGTAAATGTTGTATTTAGCACCCTCGAGAGCGATGGTGCGCGAGAAACCAATGATACCGCTTTTCTAAGATTCGTTAGTTTGAATTGAACCACTTAGTCTGATCTATATGCTTTGGTTACTCACCGCTGTCGCGTAGTTAGCTTGTCCAAAGTTGCCATAGATACCGCTGGTTGACGTAGTGTTTACAACACGTCCATACTTTTGCTTGAGGAAGTGAGGCCAAGCTGCCCTGGTGACCTTGTATGTGCTTCGGAGGTGGACGTTCAGGACGGGGTCCCAAAGGTTGTCATCCATATTGCTGAATGCCCTGTCACGGAGGATACCAGCGTTGTTGATAATGATATCAATGCGACCAAAGGCGTCAATGGCTGCCTGGACGACTTTTTCACCGTCCTCAGAGGATGCCTTAACACCGACCGCCTTGCCGCCCAGTTTCTTGATCTCCTCAACAACAGTATCGGGGTCCGCCAAGTCGTTTACGACGACTGATGCACCGTGCTTGGCGAAGCCAAGCGAGTAAGCGCGTCCAATACCGGCACCGCCACCCGTAATCAAGGCGACACGACCGGTGAAGTCCAATTTCTCACCTTGCTCGTTGGGACCTCGCTTCATCGACTCTTCAAGGAGTCCTACGAAGTCGTTGGGACCGCTGGGGTACTGGGGGTTTGAGAAGTCGATAACCTTGTCCCAATTCTTAAGAATGGCGCCTGGTGTATAGCTGTCATCTGCCTTCAGGAGAAGACCGCTCGACCTCTCCCACCTCAGTTTTGCCATGTGTCCACCACCAACTTCGTAAATGCCACCATTCTCCTTGGTGTTGCTCTTGTGAACCAAGACGGCGACAAGAGGGACAACCCAATCGGGCTTTAGGTTCTCCAAGACCTCCGGAGGCATAACAGTTTGGGTCATGCGGCTCGCAGCTATGGGAGCGATGACGTTTGAGATGATGTTGTACTTGGCACCCTCCTTGGCGAGGGTCTCGGTGAAGCCGACCATAGCCATCTTAGCAGCCGAGTAATTGGCCTGGCCGAAGCTGCCGAACAAGCCGGCAGCAGAGGCCGTGTTGATGACGCGACCGTACTTCTGCTTGCGGAAATGCGGCCAGGCGGCACGAGCACACTTGTAAGAACCCCTGATGTGTACCTTCATAACCAGGTCCCAGTCCTGGTCCGTCATGTTCTTGAAGCTGACATCTCGTAGGATACCAGCGTTGTTGAGTAGTATGTCGATTCGGCCGAATGCCTTGATAGCGGTGTCGATGATCTTATCGCCATTTTCAACGCTGTCATAGTTGGCCACGGCCTGGCCGCCAGCAGCTTTGATTTCGTCTACAACTACATCGGCAGCCTAATGATTGTGGTATATGGTGTTAGCCGATACGTTGATACTTGAGCGTAATTGAGAAGATGATAAAGAAGATGGTCTGAGCTCATATTTACCTTTGTGGAGTTGCCATCCCCCTTAGAGGAGCCTCCGAGATCGTTGACAACGACCTTGGCGCCTCTCGAAGCGAAGAAGGTAGCATATGCTTTACCCAAGCCACCACCAGCGCCGGTGACGACAACAACTTGGTCGTCGAAGCGCAATTCGCCCGCCATCGTGTCGGGATTGAAGCTTTCTGATGTAGGTAGGTACGTACGTACGTACGTGTTAAAGGAGAATTAAGGGAGAATTAAAGGGAGAAAGAACTTCAATGATAAAATAAATAAACCGTACAACTTAACAGTTAAGTTAGGTCGAGGATGGGTTCTAATTACACGATTGGCATTTCCCAAGGGAGGAAGGAAAGTTAATGTTGGAAAATGGAAAGGCTGTTGATAGGTCGAAGTTTCCAAATAACAAAGAGCTGGGCCAATGTGCCGCATTTGAACTCCGGCTATTCAGCCGAGGCAGCTTTTCGCATGAGCTTAGCCAGGAATGCCGAGGGGGCCCCAGGTGATCCACTTTTCTAACGGACCGGGCAATAGCAGACGCGCTATACTTATATAGGTATAGTCTTCTCGGAATTAGCACCTGCTTTTACCCCATATTTAGGTACTATGTATCCTCCCTACCTCCACACCTTCTTAGAAGATCGTTCACATGTCGAGAAACTCTCTCAACTATGAAATGCTTACGATCCTAATATGAGGTCATGCGAACGTTACCTTACGTAAGGTAGTGTATGTATTGCGCTTTCTGTATCAACATCACATGTAGGCATTTATGGTAGGAACCTGTTACATAGTAATTACCTACTTTTACTGTTACGTTCATGAACAAGTTACATGATCTTACGGTTGACAAATGCAAATGCCACCTTTCAAGTTCTAAGGTTAAGGTAGGTACCTAAGCAATTAGCCGCTTTATTTGATAGGTAGCTACTCAAAGAAAAGCCGAAATTTTTATATTGCCGCTCTGCGGGACATTGATAAGCCTTTCAAGTTTATAGTCTATAAAAAGCCTCCCACTAGGGACTTGTCTATATTAAGCTACAGGTAGGTATAGGTACCAGGTACCTATGGTTGGATTCCATACATTAGGTACCTTAGGTAGGTACCTAGGTAGATCGTTCCCCCGCATTTCTCCATCCTCTATCCCCACAAAGCTTAGGTACCTCTACCAGCCTTAGAAACTTCTACTGAGCACGATAATATCCCCCCTCCTAACAAAATGTCAACAACGGAGATAATCGACGACAAGAGCCCGATATGCATTCCATTTATACTCGAACGGTATAAACACTATAGGGCCTCTAACCCCATTCGGCCCTTTATAATCGGACTTAATGGCGTGCAAGGCGCCGGGAAGACGACTCTGGTAAAAGCCCTCGCCTGGGAGTTAGAAAATCACCAAAACTTGAAAACTTTGGTCTGCAGTATCGATGATTTCTATTTGCGGCACGAAGATCAAGCGGCGCTGGCAAAGTCTCAACCGGACAATTTGTTAGTTCAGGTCCGAGGCGAGCCAGGTACGACAGCTCAGCTTAGCTTGCCCCCCGAATGATAACTTGTAAGACTATACATATTTTTATCGGATTCTAATGCTATGGTTATGTAGGTACACATGACATGAACTTAGCTCGAGATTTCTTCACGGCTTTATGTGAGGATCGGCCGGTTAAGGTTCCTCAATATGACAAGTCTGCCTACTCAGGTCAAGGCGATAGGGTCCCGGAATCGCAATGGAAGACCGTCAACGGCCCAGATCAACCCAAGATTCAGGTTGTCATCTTTGAAGGTTGGTGTGTTGGCTTTCGATATCTAAGCCCCGTAGAGATGTCACTCAAGTGGAATTCGCCAACCAGAACACTACATCAGCACCGTCTAGACCATCTAAATTTTGTTAATGAACGTCTGCGTGACTACGATACCATCACAGACACGTTCAATGCATTCATCCACATCGACGCCGAAAATACCGAGTGGGTGTACGACTGGAGGTTAGAGCAAGAGACCATGTTGCGGAAAGAGAAGGGGGCAGGTATGACGGACGAGCAGGTTGTCAAGTTCGTCGATGCCTATTATCCTGCCTATGAACTCTTCTCCGACAAACTTAGAGGTGGTCTGTTCGCCAACAGACTGGGATGTCAGTTGAGATTGATTGTTGGTAAGGACAGAAAAGTCAAGCAGACAATCATCGTTTGACGCACGAGTAAGCGGGTATCTTACCAAGTAGCCCGCCTCGCTTAATGTGAAAAGGGCCGACAGTACCATTTTTCGCCATACATATAGAGCAGCGGTTTGAAAGCGCAGACGCCATAGCTCCAGCCCATTTTATAGCAACAGCAATCCCATAGCCCGACTTAACACCGCCATATATCATTCCCTTTTAAATGAGTTCGTAAAAATTCGTCGCCAACAAGTTATCTATCGCGGAGAGCTTGTTTTTGATACCGTGTATTTCCATATTTGTTTCAGTCGAACTCCTTTCCTATCATCATGCCCTCGCCTTCGCTTTTGAGTTCGGCGAGAGTGCTGTCAATTGTTTGGATCTTGTTCCTAACGGCTTCACCACGGTCGGCTATCTCGTTCTCGAAGCCCTGTATGATTGCTCTTTTTCTTTGACGGGCTTCTCGAAACCGTTGCATAACATCACCAAATCTTTCAAGAAACCAATCCCCGGAGACCTCCCAGTCGTTCACGGGCATCTTAGAAAAAAATTCCATCTGACTTTCCGGGTCCTTGTCGAAGAAGTGATAGAGCTTTTCCGGTAATGTACCTCGGGGTGGCCCTATCGCCGATTGAGCCTCTGCTTGGGCTGGATCAAAATCAAATATTTCGTCCTTGAGCTCGGAATAATCCATTCCTGCAAGAGTGGCATCGTCGTAGTCCAATTCGTATTGACGCTTCCTTGGATTAGAAACGCGCTTCTCTATCGATGAGCGAGGCATCGCGCTCTCGTGCAGCCCTAGCCCGGCCTTATTGCCACCTTTGACAAAAAGTTGTCGATTGAGCTGAGTTTTAGGCTTCGCGATAGCCTTGGGTGGGGGCGGAACGACACTCTCACGATCAGAGTCGTCCGGATGGCTAACCATAGGGGTATCGGTATCAGCAAAAATAGTTGAGCGACGGTGATCTGGTTGTGCCTTCACTCTCAAGTGGATGGAATGTTCAGATCTTGCGTCATCATCTAAATCATTATCAGGAACTGGATAGGTCTCACGAGGAGGCGAGGCTACAATATTCTCTTGATAGGCAGCCCTTTCGGAGAAAGAATCACGACGGTTAGTACGTAAAGCCAACGCTTTTGGGTGATGAAGCCTCTTAGCGGAAGGTGTCTTTTCTGGGCTTGTCTGATATGGACTATCTTCCGAGTCTTGGTCAGGTTCCGGAGATGATGGGGCCTTTAGGCGGCCACGGTGATTCCTAGCATCCGGTGTCGAAGCACTCCTAGTGAGGGGACCACCTACTACATCTATCATCCCGTTAGGTCCAATAACAAAGGGAGCATGTTGATCCGGTATGTTAACTCCCTCCTTGGGAGGGGGCCGAGGGCGCGGGGTATTGCCCCTCTGTTGGTAAGTAGTGGGAGCTCGAAAAGGCACTCGATACATAGATCCGCCTGCCGTGTTAGTGTCAATGTTGCTAGCGGTGTCACTAAACATGGAGCCATCTACTGTTGAGCCCTCCCAAAATGGCGCTGGCCGCCGCGAGGATTGAATGGGCTCTGAAGCAACGGTTCCCGATCGGCGTATGTTCAGTGACGTATCACGGGTGTGGACAGTACGGCTGGTAGGAACAGGTAGTTTAGCGGCCGCAACGGCAGCAGCTCTATTAGAATTTGCATTGACTATGGGCGCGCGTGATCGTTGGGGAGAGTTCTGCGTTCCCTGGACCGTTTGGGTAGGTTGTGTCGTCGCAGACGTAGGTTGAGATAAAAAGACGTGTCGTTGGGGAAGCTGACTTTGGTTTTCATTTCCCGTTCCCGTTCCTGGTCCTGTTCCTGGTCCAGCAGGGGCAGGCTGGCTAGTATTGAGCCCGTTGCTCGTGACCCAAGCTTGCATTTTTGTCTTTGAATGCTTTAGGAACTGGCTGGCTGGCGGCATCTGAACGGAGGCAGATTTGGTAATGCTTCGGAAAGAGAGACACATAAGCTGAGTTTGTTTACTTTTCGTAAGCTCCGTCTTTATTTGTTACGCATTCAATGGCTGCGAAGCTCTCGTGGCCCCAATGTCGACGTGTTTGACGGCGGATGGTAGTTGAATTGGACAGATGACAGGCGGAGAGGTCGAGGTGAATGATTATGTATTATGCCGCCATCCTGCCCAATGCGACGACGAGGTTGGGTCGCAATATTCCTTAGCGAGGCATATGGATGTGTCTGGATGTGTGAACGGGTTGAATTAAGGGTGGAAGATGGCGGTCCAATAGTGTTGAGATAGTTGAAATGATGAAATGATGAAATGGTCGAGTGGTGGGGAATTGCAATAAGACTCTTGCATATGAGAAGCCTCGCGACTTCTGCTGCACGTCGTCTAGTGACAGTCGCGTCTGTCTGCAGGCGTTCTAACGCCTTTCCGGGTTAGGTTAGATTAGGGCCCGTGCATTCCATGCTAGAGGCGTGCCACGGCCTACAGGCACGCTACGGGTACTTGACGTTATCGTGGTAGGTACCTAAGGTACCTATAGGAACGTACCTAACTTACGCATAGGTGACAGCCCATGCCGACGCACGGGTCACCCCCGGATTCCGTTTTAGAAATCGCCGACCCCCACGACTCTATTCCTTTCCTCTAATTGCTCAAGACCATCTCGTCTAAGAGGTCGCCTCACCTCCTTGCTGTTTTCTAGATGCCGCTAGATGACTTGTCCTGCATAAACCACTTTCACTATTTGTGTGATATGTAGCCACTCAACTACCACGGTGCGCCTATCTACCTGTTCGAAAGGAGTGCATTGAACGGTTCTTCCCGATGCAATACCACCTCGCTCGCGTCTAATTTCTCATCGCCGTTGGGCAGCAGATATACTTGTCATCCAGGATTTTTGCTGAGGGCCTTCACGTTGCCTACTTTAAACCTCTCATATTCCTTCGCGGCAACGGGCGTGTCCACTCCTATTGCTCCCGTTCTATATATATGCGATGCAAGCACCGGGTTCAGATGGTAGACGCCTGCGGAGTGATTTCATGTCCATTTACGTGGCTTTAGACCAACCATCTATTTCGAGGCTAAGTCGAGGCTAAGAAAAAAAGGTGTCTTTCTATCTAACTTCCCTTGAACCTATCCAAGAACTAGGATTTCTCAAGCAACGGACTTTTTCATATACACAAGGTTTACTATAGTAGGTACCAAGTGTTAGCAAGTATGAAATGAATGTACCGAGACTCTGGAAACGGTCACAACCAACTCGTCAGGCATATTCTGCAGGCCGCTGGCTTTCGATCAGGTCGAGAGGAGACGACAGCACATGCTTTGAAGTAACACGAGGGGCCCGAAACAAATGATATGTAGGTTACTTACCAGGCACATCAATTCCTTCCCGCGGACTCCATGTCCATGCGTTTTTCTGTCGTCGATGTACCTCGTACCCCTGGCTGATGTACCAGTCTTCATTGGAAATCTGCATCAACACGTTTTAGGATTGCTGAAGCTTGTAACGATGCTGCCACGACTTACCACTGGCAAAGGAATACCTCCTTTTCCATACAAGAGGTCACGTATCTCTGGTTCGGTTTGCATCTCCTTTGATAGGGTATCTAAGGCTATTATTTTTGCATTCATTGGGCTTCGCGTGGCTAGTGCTTCGATTTTGGACATAGCTCCGGCACCAAAACCACCTCCATGGAGCGCTCGCGAAATATACAGCTGATGAACCCACACGGTCCCGGTAGCTGGAAAGCCGAGTTTGACGTCCTTCTCGGGTTCGTGGATATCAAGAGCAACATGGCCAATGGGGATGAACTCCACTTTAGTTGGCTCACGCGGGACGAGCCGAATCTCTGTTGCTGTATCCTTCAATGGGCTTGCCTCCTTATTACAAGTTTTAGGTCATCCAATATATCGATCAAACCATCGCAGACAATCACAGACATACCTTTGGGTAGACACTAGTGTGCTGCTCAAGTACCTTTTCTCTATCCGGGAGTGTATCCGAAAGGAGCTAATCCATCAGCTGGCATAGAGTTAAGATGGGATTATAGTACTCACAACCCAGTAAAATATCTTTCCACCTTTCTGCGCATCCTTTATCCACTATTGAGTCTAGAATTAGAACTTTCATTCACGGAAATTTTCGGTTCGCTTAGCATAACCTCGAGTCATGGGAACCGACTCGGCAAGTCTATGACTTTCGGACGTGCTCGGAGGGTATATACTTATATATATGGTCTCGGATGGTAATACAAAGTTAGGAGTAACCCAGGGGGATGGGGGGATACTGACCGATGGTACTTCATCAACCCTCCACCCGCAAGCGACACGTTGGTCGTACATCCTCTGTACGTGATCTGGGCTTGAGTGGTCCCAAGGCAAAAGCTACATAGATAACTGATGGTAAGCGCCGATGTACTATAATACGTCAGTTTTATAAGTGAAGCGAACCTCTACTTTCCAAGCATGTTTAGACTCCATGATTACTGGATATATTTGTAACGCGAAGTTGTTTGGGAAAAACAAAATGTTAGGCAACGTTATGCTTAAATATAAATGATGATATACAGGTAGACAAGTGTCTAGAGGAGGATGGTAGAGGTATTGTTTGAATTTAAACCACGTTAGCTCGGCTTAGCTTCTACAATGTTATAATTACCTATAGGAGGTATCTCAGTTCATCTGAGTCACTCCGATAATCGTATACTACCAAAGCCTGCATTTACCATAAAATTTGTACCTCTGTCTTACTTTCTTTTCTCTTACAAGTTACCTCCTCCAGGAAATCGGAAGTGTTAAACGGAAGCTAATAAAGGCTACAGGTAGTCCGACTTCGGGTCGGATGTAAGTGACGGTACATTTGGAGGTACCTGAGGTAACATGTACCTAACATCCATCCCACGCATGCCTTTATCAGATCCGTATCACCCCGCTAAATAGAGCAGCTTACAACCTACTAACTGTACCTAATTTAGCTTCACCTTCACGGGAAACCGCTTAAACGTACCTAAGGTAATCTTGTTTGTATGACTTCTACAGCCAATGGGTGCAAAGCGTAAAGACCAACCAGAGCAACAGGGCGGAGCTATATCGCCTGCATTGCCGTCCAAATACCGCAAGGCCAACAATGATAAAGAGAAAGCAGAAACTTCCACTTCCGCTTCCACTTCCGCTTCTTCCGCTTCCGCTTCCACTTCCGCTTCCGTTTCCGCTTCTCCTAGCAAACTCCACCATGGCTTCGAGCCGTACCCGCCATCCAGGGTCTTCCGACTCCTAGAACCCGGCCCCGTGCTGCTAGTGACGACGGGGTCGCTCGCGGACTCGACGCACAACGTCATGACCGTCGGCTTCCACATGGTCATGCAGCACGAGTCGCCGCCCCTCGTCGGCATATGCCTCGGGCCCTGGGACGCGTCGTTCGCCCGCCTCCGGAAGACCCGCGAGTGCGTGCTCGCCGTGCCCGACGTCGCGATCGCCCGCACCGTCGTGGATATCGGGAATTGTTCTGCGGACGACGACGAAGACGAGCCCGGCGGGAAATGGCAGCGCTTCGGGCTCGAAGCCTGCCCCGCGGCGAGAGTCAAGGCCCCGCTCGTGGGCGGCAGCGACGTCGTCGCGAATATCGAGTGCGTCGTCGAGGACACTAGGATGGTTAGCAAGTACTCCATGTGGGTGCTGAAGCCCGTCAAAGCCTGGCTTAACCCGGACAAGAAGCCCGGGGAAGGCGGCCGCATGTTCCATCACCGCGGCGATGGCACGTTCGTCGTTGATGGCGAGGTCCTAGACTTGAAGGATAGGATGGTCAAATGGCAGGAATACCAAGATTGAAAATTATAGTTGAAACATATCCTCTAATTTTTTGGTAGTACCGACTATCTAAATCTAAACTCGTAACGACGAGTTGGGCTCTAATCCTGATTATCAATCTTTACAACTCCACGTCTACTCTATCTATTTCTTATCTACATTCTCCTCCTTGTCGCTCCCAGCTGCACTGTTCATGATGACGGTTGTATCCTCAGAATCTTCGGGTTTGCTGCCCTCACCTTCTTCTCCCTTGCTCGGAGAATTCCCCTGCGTCCCCAACCGGATAAAACAGGTCATAATCAAGCAGGCCGCAGAGAATCCGATGGACATTTGGAAAGTTCTGGTGAATTTGAGCATCGGATCGGCCATCCCTTCGGGTGTCAACTGGACCGAGCTAAAGACGGCTGTCGAAGCCCCCATTACGGCGGTATTGGCCAGGCGGATAACCACATTAAAAATACCGCCCGCTAAGGACTGTTTGTCCTTGGGTAACGACTCCATCACGTACATCTAAGAAAAGTCAGAATTGCCAAGGTATAGGAAATAAGAGTATCACTTACGTTGCCTACGTTGAACTGGAAATCAGCACCAGCAACGAGTAGAATTAAGGCAGGGAATACTGAAGCCCAGTAGCTTGTATCGATCTTCATGACGGAGAGTAGTATGTTGGCAATGAGATAGCATGCAGCGCCGAAGATCATGATGGCCGTGTTGTTGATACTGTGCAGGATACGGCCAGCGACTATATTCCAAAGCAACCCGGCGATAGCCATGGGAAGGAGATGGACGGCGACTACAAGGGTAGACCACTGTCTAACTTCTTGAAAAAAGAAGGCTACCCAGAAACCACTAGCGGTAAATCCCATATTTCCCAAAGCAATGCTGAGGATGATCTGCGATTATCAGTACTGAGTCAAAGGGGCAAGTTTCAAGATGTTTAGGTGAAGACTCACGAAGCTAAAATTCCAGTCCTTCCATATATATGGAGGCATCTGGGGATTAGGAAATACTCTCTCCCACAAGGCGAACATGACAAGCAATACGATGCCAACAATTAGCATTGCAATCACATGCGCCTTTGACCAACCATCCTCAGGACCCAGTCTGCATTGATCAGTACATATTTGAAATTAAGAGAACATAAGGGCACTTACGTTAAGCCAGCAGTAAACAAGCCTGTCCCGGAAATGGTCAAGATCGTGCCGACAATGTCGAACTGCTTCAACACACTTAGTCGTTCCTTCAGCGGAGCTCGGTCAAAGTTCTCTACATTCGGCACAGCCCAGAAAGCATGGATAGTGAAAAGAGCCCAGACAACGCATAGAACGATAAAGGCAGCGCGCCAGCTACTCAGCTGAGTAACAATACCGCAGACGATGGTACCGAACACAAAGCCTAGCGGGTTTCCCGAACTGAATGCCGAGAATGCCAAGTTCTTGCGTTTCGAAGGGGTGGCGTAGGCGGCCCCGAGTATACCTATAGCAGGCGGAACAACCATAGCGGAGCAAGCGCCGAGGATACCGCAGACAATCAACATCCAGAAGGGGTTTTGCGAGAAAGCTAACAACAGAGCGAATGCGCTGAAACTTGCCAGACCGGCTATAAACATGGGTTTCCTTCCGAGCAAGTCAGCCAGCTGGCCTAAGGCGAGCTGAAGAGCGCCAGCCACAAGTCTATGATAACATGCATGTTAGTGATATGTACAGTTGCGAATTATTGAAAGAAGTAGAAAGGCAATGTGTGTACGTACGACGTCGCAGCGCTAATCCACGCTATTTCACCCTGCGTCATGCCCAAGTCACGAGCAACGGGGACGGTGATAACCAAAGCAACGCCGTTTAGGAAAGATGTCGTGGCTGTGGCGATAGTGGCCTGGAAGATGAACGATATCTCCTGGAATGTGTTCTTAAAACATTCCGGTCGATCTCCAAACTTCGACTTGACCCGCTCCAGCGGCGACATGTTCTGCTCTTCGTCACCACGCGCGGCGGGAGCGCTGGTGCTGGTGCTAGAGTTAGAGCTAGAACCTTTAGCCGTGGCATCTCTGCTTTGTTGGACCCTTTTTTCGTCGGGCGGCGTCATGGTGATTTCTGGGGTTTGTCCAGACGATGCAGCCATTGTGTATGAATCTCTTTTTTGAGCTATACTTCAGGAAGGCTGTTTATCCAGGTATGAGGTAGGAAGTGCCGTATCGGCTTTTTCATATACTGTAACTTAACAATGACTATATTAGCAAACAATCATAAAGAAAATATCCACTGTCATTGTTGGGGGCAACATACGATGTATATTGTTCTTCGGAATAACGACACGCTGATAAATCCGAGGGTCGTGGAGATATGTTTACATTAGGTAATTATCTATTAGTCGAAGATATTTACGAGACCTTCCAACATACCCATGTATTGCATGCATCTTAGCTACCTAAGGTAGGTAGGTAATTATAGGTACCTAGGTCCTAAGCCTATTACAGATTAGCTAAACGCGTACCCGCTGGATTAACCCATAACCTCATCGTCAATCCCAACCATTGCCTTTACACCGTCAGAAGTAGCGAGGCTCGCGATTGCCAAAATAGGGCGGAATATAATCGTACCTAACCTATCAATGCCGTTCCCGTCTCCCACATCCCACATTCGCTCCTTCCTCAGTATCTAACCTCATTGGTTGATGCTTTGGAGTGAAGAGGAAGGAGGGGGCCTATGCATGGAAACGGCGATAGGACAACGCTTCCATTGGACGCGTGAGACGGGATAAACAACGGGCAGCGGAAGCGGAGTGGGATAAGGTACCTTGTCTAATACCGTAACATAAGATCCATCATTTTAAGGGCGCGTTTGACTCGAATATGTCTGTTGGTTAATTATCTCTTAGTTTATTAACCTTAGGTGGGTAATTAAAAGTCTTTGACTATTCTCAAAAGAGGATGTTTCGAGTTTACCTTGTGTCACCTTCACACATAAGGACGTACCTTAGGTAAAGTTTCACCAAGTTACATGTGCATTAGTTATTCATAAAGCAAGCAATGCAAACTCGCGAATAAGATATCAGATCGTACCTCATGCGGATGCAGGTGTTGTGCTGCTTAACATTGCACACAACACACGACAGTGTTATACAACAGTTGAGAGTAGGTCTTACGAGGTACATTCTAGAAGAACCGGTGAACGGCCCTGTCGTTCCGCGAGGAAGTCCACATAGGTTAGGTGCCTACCTAACTTAGTAGGTATTCTGGAAATTACAAGAGCTAGGAGTACAAGAAGCAATCCTTTGTTCTAGAAATGGCACAATACTATATACCTCAAAGCAATCTGAGACACAAGGTTTGCTTTGAGAAACGATAACTTGAGGGACGCTTATCCCGACTACATACCTTAAGAGGTACCTAGTACCTAATCATCAAATCTGATAAGTCCCAAAAGTAGTACGACGCTGAGATAATCGGGTATTTCGACCATCGGTATGAATTACACTAGTAAGTCGAGATTAAGATCGTGTAAGTAACGCTGCCACAGCTTTAATATAGAGAGAATAGCTACAGAGAGAGCTTCGACACATATCTATTCCTAAAGCACCCCATAATGATTAGGGTTCAGGACTTACACGGTTTGCGAAATTGTATATCTACTTCATGTCGAGTTCTGAGTCGTTGAGACAGGAACCCCGGATCGTGGGTGAACTCATTTCATAGTTACAACTTCCTTACCTGACCCTATTAGCATTTACCAGGTATGGCTGCAGGTCGCCTACCATATTGTGATAACCCGTGAGATGGTGGCAATAGAGTAACCTAGGTTAGGTAGGTATGCAAACGATTATATTTACCAACCTCAAGTGATTCCCAAGGTACAGGTACACTTTTTATGATACGAGTTTCTACCTTGTCTTGCCCCTTTTATATGGGTATATCTTGGTGCTTAACGGGGTAAGCCTACCTAGGGACTACCTCACTTGATTTATCTTTCTATTGAAGAAGCGCATCCTATAGAGCATGGGTAACATTCAGACTCTACTGTTCCCGTATCTTGAACATTTTGCAGTATTCTACCTACCTTTCAAGTCATATGTCGAATGGGTACCTAAGGTAATCATTGAAGCCGTGAGACTTTAGGGGGGGACTACTACCCAGGTAGTAATGTCTTGATTGCTGTCATATCATCACAGATGTATACCAGGTAACTATAGGTTAGGTGCACAAGGTATACAGGATTCCGCATGAAAACAACAACAGTAAGTCTGGAATTTAACTTATGTGTACCTACCTCATTAAAACTAGCTGTTCGAATAGTCTAAGTGAACGTAATGACCCCCCCCCCCCTTATTGACCAGGTAAAGCAACTACCCGTATCGAGGTCCTATCGGCAAAGACGCCGTTAATCAATCTCGCTAACAATATCCGATATTCCAGTTTCCGCGATTGCCCAATGATGATCATCTATGCTATGCCGCCTGCCTCCGGACGTTACGTCTTGCAGCGATCCGTACACGCTTCGCAGGGCGCTTGGTGTGCGGGGCATCGCACACCGGGACTCCATAGACAGCGCCACCGCTGCCGTCGCCGTCATTCCTCTCCCTGCCCCCCTGCCCCCCCTCCTCCTCGCAGTCCTCGGCGTTTCTCTTACGCTTCTTCACCTTCTTCTTCTGCTGCTGCGGCCCGCCCGTGATCTGCATGCGCAAGTTCCCCTCCACCTGTATGAACGGCATCGCGCGCGCCACCACCACTTCCTCGCCCTCCGCCGCGCCGAAAGCCTCGCCCCCGCCCGCATTGTACCCGATCGTGCAGTCCTTCTTGACCAGCAGGATCAGGCGTCCCATGTCGTCCTTCGGTATCTTGATGTCGCCGCCGCCGCCGCCCATCCGGACGTCGTCATCATGATCGTTGTCGTCGCCTTCCCCCTCCTTGTTCCTCGGTCTCAAGACACATCCGATGTCCCTAAGAGCGGTGATCTGCGGATCGAAACGTCGCCGCGCCTCGTCGAGGAGTATTTGCTCCCACCCGGGCCCGAGCTCAGCCGGGAGCGGTGCGCAGTTTGTGTCCTTGTCGATGCATTCGTCCTCTGCTACGATACCGTTATCGCAGAGAGAGCCCGCGCCACCACCGTTGTGGTAGAAAGAAGATGGCGGTGGGTGGGACGGCAGGGCCGTGAAGGTAGGAGCTGCGGGGCCGGTTGATTGGGCGAATAGTGGTGAGAAATAGGACGCTGCGGGAGACTTGGGCACGTGTGATGGCAGTGGTGCCTGTGGTGTTTGGGGCGTCCATGGCACCCGGGGCGTCTGTGGAGGACGAAGATGGGACCCTTGTAGTAGATCGTGTGGCTGTTGATCACTTAAGAATATGTCTCTCGGTGATTGCCTATAGTGCCTAGGTAGCGTTAGAGCCCGATGACTTATAATTAAGAGCCAAAAGCGTCTTTCTAATGAACTTACCTCTCGGCATCATGAGCACGGTAGTTATTTTCCTGTGATCCTTCGAGTACGCTGGGCGAGCCAGCTGACTGGTTTTCACAAGGGTCGTAGACGGTGACGCTACTGGACGCCTGGCCGACATCCCCTGAACAGGGTGTCTGTTGACTCTCTTGGACTACCTCCATACCGACAGCGATTGATAATAGCAGAACCTGGGAGATTTGTGGGGTGTTGAGTATGCGTGAACTTATTATACTAATAGTAGAGAAAGTAGAGTCATATATAATGTTTACCGTAATATACCTAATAAAACGACGAGAAAGACGCGACCGTATACTGATAGCTTCCTATATATGAGGTAGCCAGTCGAAGAATATCGGATTCGAGATGAAGGCTATTTGTGTGCGGAAGTTGAACCTTCAACGCTTCCAAGTCAAAGTCAAATACCTCCGTATCGGAAGCGTCTTCCCTATCTAGGTGCTTAGCGCTTGCCTACGTGAGTTCCGAACTGCTCGAGGAGCATATGTGATAGAGTATACTGGAAGGAGGGAAATGAAAACTTGAATTTAAGAACCTACCAAGGTACAGGTAGGTGGATAGGGAACCTACATCAAATTCTTAGACCCTACGTCGTCTTGAATGAGCACTACTTCAAACATTTATGACTATGAAAACACTGGCTCGTATTACAGTTAGGATTGCCTACCCTCAAGATGATAAATATTCATACATAGAAGGTATATATATATAGGTATTTGACATGACAATTCTAAATCACGTCCGTGGGCTTCTTAAGAAGTTCACCACTCCTCCACAGTAACTAACCAGGTTATCCAACCTATTGCATTCTTCTGCTTGGTGTTTCTTCCATTCCGACAATGCGTTCATTAGGGTATCACTCGCCAAGATCAAATCGAAATGTAGACGAAGGAAGACAGCCATCCAGGCTTGAGTGAGCTCATAATCGCGTCGCGCTACGAGGCGGCTAGTCATAGCGTGAATGAAATGAAGCAGCTCGTTGGATTCCTCGTCGTCGCCAGGTGTCAGAGAGCGCAATTCTAGGTCTGCCGTAGCTGGAGAGAGGGATTTAAGATGCTCGATGAACTCGGTATCTAGTAACAGTTAGCTCACAGATACAGTGGTATATGAAGTATAGACAAATATCTCTTACAATTGCCAGAGGTAGCTCCCGCTTGCAGTTTGTTACTGAAGACCTGCTCTGCCCTGTTCCGATCGAAACGAGTAATCCTCGATTGACTTTGATCTTGGTTCGTGTTGGGTTGGAGTGTGTCTTGATTCGAGGCCCCTGTGTTAGTTGTTGATGGCAAGAAGAACGGTGCTTTCTCCGGAGCCTTGGGGGCTTCCTTCGGCTTATTCCTCTGCTTAATCAAGTCCAAATGTAGTAAAGTTTGCCATCTGCTTCGTGGAACTAAACTCAAGGTCATCATATCGGCACTGAGCTGATCCACACCAGGTGCAGTGATTTCATCTTCCTCCTGAGAGGCTGCCTCATCAAAGGCTGCTTCAAGTAAGCCTTGACCGCCCTCTCCTGATGCCGTTGGTCCTGATATTTGCTTGATTGAATCTTCAGATATTTGTCGGGTTGGGACGTGGGTGAAGAGCGTTTTATTGTTCCAAATGTTTACACCCAACTCCCCTTCAGTTGCCGCAGCCAGATATTCTCCCGTTGCGGAGAAGGCCAGTGCGGTGCAAGGCTTTTCTAATCGAATAGCATCAATTAAGTGACCTGTCGGTAAATCCCAAACTCGTACTATAGCATCCTGGGAGGCTGCTACTATCCAGCGGCCGTCGTTAGAGAAAATAAAATCATTGATTTTTCCTTGGCATCCCCAGAATTCACGGATTGTCTGCTTCGTCTCGATATCCACGACTCGAATAGAGTTGTCGTCGCAAGAGAAAGCTATGAGATCGTTCGCAGCGTGGTAGCGGCAGCCTATGATTCCTGTCATTGGAGCCCAGTTGATTTCTTCCAGTAGATTCCCCGTGAGAAATTCCCAGAACTTCACTTTGCCATCTAATGAGCAGCTAATCACATATTTGTTCATAGAATCGACAACGATGCCGGTGACAGGTTTCGTATGCCTTCCCGTGCCTGGTGCGAAGCCAGTAGTAGATCGAGCTTGAAGCTGGACGACGGTATCCGCCTGTCTCAACTGTTGCATCTTAACCTGTCTTGCCTGCGCCGGTGTAAGCTTAGATGGAAATCGTTGGCGATGTAGGCCTGATTGAAGGTTGAACATGTCGATAGATCCGCCAACAGACCCAACAACAGCAAAGGTTCCACACGGGCTCATTGCTACGGATGACACGTTTGCGCCGTCTCCGGTTTGGAATGCCCACCTTCCAGCTCTTTTTCGGCCCCAAAACCAGGTTCGAACATACGGGTCGTCCTTGTGCGCCGTAACCACGCTCTCCCAACCCGTCATGCCGCTGATCTCGGCGTCCACGGGTTTCTTTTGATTTTGTGATTTTTGCCATAATACCTGCTTCCCGGGTAAGGCGCCCATTCCGCCATCACGATTCAGAGAGCATGCTATGCATGTGATCTCTGGCGCTTTCAAGTCATCAAGTGTAGTAGTTGGACCGCGGCTTAGGGTACCGCTGTCTAGAATTCCATACTTCTTAGCCTTCTTGCGGATATTTCCCTGACTCAATTCTGTACTCTGACCGTCGCGTCGAAGACTCCAACCCCAAAGACTCCTATCCTTACCACCACTGAGAAGCCATTTATTACCTGCCTCGGCACCTTCAAAATCTGTTGGCAAGAATTGCAAACTAGTAACTGGTGCGGCATGGCCACTCCTCGTGTGTAGTATTCGCGGTATAGGTGAAAAGGGGGTGTCGTCGAATATCCAAGTTTTCAATGAATTATCTCTGCCGCTGGTGACGATAACGGGTTGGCCGGCAAGAAACTCAATCTTGCTTACGCCTCCGCGAATAGATGCCCCCTCTTGCATGGGGGGGTTATGGGCGCTTCTAAGAACACCCATGATCCTGCCACCCTGGTTAAGGTCCCAGAACGTGATATCGCCGCTCGACTGCGTGGCCGTGGCCATAACACCATCTTTGCGCCCATCCTGCCCCGCACCAATACCGTCCGTGCGGAATGAGATGCTTGTTACGGGCGCGTCCTCGGTACCCGCGTTAACCTCGAGTACTTTCTTGTCCGTGAGAACGTTATGAATGACCAAAGGTCCCTCTGCATATGAGATAGCCATAAGAGAAAGCGCAGGTGTTGGTTGCATGCAAGTGACAGCGCCGCAACTTGGAGATGGGGGTAGGATGGTGTAGATAAGCTTCCCCGTGGAAATGTTCCAGATCTCAACCCATCCGTTCCGACGTCCAGCGAAAATCTTGTTCAAGTAAGTCGGCATCGTACATATACCTCCGGTCAGTTCGTTGTCGAGCTTTTTTGAAGCCATAGTAAAGAGAGTGGTATAATGCTCCGCGGTCGCCGTTTTCCACACTTCTATTCTTGTTAAGCCACAGGCAACAACCCAGGATCCAAAAACGAGAATCTGCTTGATAGGCTCGTTGAGATCAGAGGGAAGTTCTAACTCGCCGACTTTCTTTCCTCTTTGGAAAATCCATATACCCTGAGTGGAGCCCTCTCGGGGGTCGCCCCAAGCAACGAATACCTTCTGTTTCCAAGCGCATGTCGCCGTTATGGTACTTGGTGTCTGGGGTCGAGTTATGAAGACGAGGTTGAGGCCGCGTTTAAGGTCATAAGTCTGTAGCGAGCGACCTATAGACGTTGTAACCTGGAAGGTAGTGTTCCCGAGAGGAACAGAGGTAAAGGGCACATTGGTAGGAGAAACGAGGCCAATAGTCTAAGAATAAATATAAATATTAGAATTAGGGACAGCTACTGCGATTTCATATCCATAAATTTCTGAACATACCCGATACGGAGCAAAGATCCTAGACTGTTGCGATGTGGATGATTTTGGTCTCGCGACCGAATTGAGCTTCTGACGCTTGACCGATGGACCCTCTGGCTCTGAGTGAGGCATTATGGCAAGTTATCCGTCGTAATGAACTCCGAGACCCTATGTGAATATTGCGCTTGAATTATCGGGGTCTTTGCCGTCGCATCTAAGAATCGCAGCACGAAGACTGCTGTGAGTCGCCTGTGAATGGATTTTTTTTTCTTGGGATGGAACAGCGCGAAGCTTTTTTTTTTTTTTTCTTTTTTTTTTCGGCGACTTGGTACTACTATGTACCTAGGTACCTTAGGTATACTGGTCCCACAATCTTATCCTGGACTCCGGAGAAGTACATGCTATCAAGGTACATGCAAAATATAGCTGCTGATAGGGCTTTTCATATCTGAACCTGGAAGATGCAATTTAATATGTATTGTACCTGTTATTTCTACAGTTAACTATAAACACTATATTTTTCATTGGATTCCCATGTTACTCCTGAACACTTACTTGACATGTTTTACTAATACCTAAGATATATAACACGAAATTCTTATCATTATCGATAAAAAGTAGCTGATAATGTAAATCGTAAGTTTTATCAATACCTATACAACCCCACACGATGACAAAGCGTTGACATCTGCAAAAGGTTCATTGCATGTGAACCACTATCAATCTATATGGAGGTAGGGGAAGCTTCAGTCACATAAATTTGGCCTTGCAACTGCCCGATTACCTAAGGTATAGATATAAATGCGATTTATTCTATGGAAGGAAGGGTTTCACCTAGTATGCACCTCCAAAGTTATATCGATAACTTCCCACCCAACTTTCACCGCCTCGATTCTTGTCGAAAACAATAAAACAATAAAAACCAGGTCAACCGTCGTATTTCATCTCTTACAAAAGGGTCACGGGTCCATCGAGCGCCACATTATCTCAATTACTTAATGCTATTGGCTGATAACTCCTAAGACCGTAGCGTTGGACATCGCGGCATTGGGCATGCGCTTAAGACAAGATGATTGGCAATCCTATCATGTTATCGCCTGCAGATGATGCGATTTGCAGAATTCCCACCACACAAAAGATCGCCATCAGTAGCAATCTCGGGTTTATTTCAACGAAGCCCATAGACCCCGTTATCGTTCCTCTCAATCTCATAAGAGAGAAGGTCCTCCTCGCAGAAGAAAGTCACGTTTATCTGACCATTTTGATCTAGATCTTTCACCGACCCGCTCGTCTGCCACGTAATTAAATTGTAAAATGGTATGTATACCTTGAGGTAGGTAGGTATAGTTAGGTATCTAAACTTCTAATGAAGTTCATGATGCATCCCTGAAGCTTGATATTCCGATTTCCCGTTCTGCGACCCACTTCAAACGCCCAACCTTAGGTACCTTACGCATTTGCTGCAAACTAAAAATAAATCGGGTCCCGAACCTATTTCTTTATATTTCTTTCGGGGGCACTGAATTGGGGAGACTGAACCTACTAACCCAGCTTTCTTCTAACCAAATTTCACACATAATAAGCGCAGTGGCAGGAACCGAATGTCAAATTCCTCTATAAGTTAATCGCAGAGGTCCTGTTAAGGTGGTTTCGTCGAATCGACTAGAAGGACCGATTGAAACACGATATATTCGTTAGGAAGTGAAAGATAACATCATTTGCCACCACCGACTTCCAAGTATCCAGCTTCTGAAGAACAGCCGAATTTCTACTTTACCTTAATATTTACTCGGAATAAGATATCGTGTGGCACGCACATTTTGTTAGAGGTAGCTACCTTATGTACCTAAGGTAAACTCTAAGGTAAACTCCAAGGATCGCTACCAGAAGAACAAGAACAAAGTGGGAAATATTAAAGGTTTTTGTCTGATAGGTACCTAACTTAGAACTTATCGAATGACGAAACTCTGCTGTAAACGATCAGACTACTGCGGAGTACACTGTACAAAATTTTAGTCTCAACGGCCCGCTCGTCTAAAGAAAAAAAGAAGAAGAAAAAAAAGATGGAAGCTAATAATACCACTAATACCAAGTCGGGTCGCAGTCTGAGCGGCTCTGGCAAGAGACTTTCCTGGTCATTGTCGCATTCCCGCACCCGCTCACCATCATCTGTAGCCAGTAGCATCGCAAGTTCTATAGCAAGTGGGAAGAGCCGACATGCTGAGCCTCTTGGGACTACTAATGTATCAGTCGAACCCGCGAGCTTATCCATGCCACCTCTAGCTAGACCATTAAAACCGCCCCATCTTTCTCCATCTCCATATCGTACACGCGAGTCATCTGGGTCCGATATCTGGAATGAAGACTTCCACCCTGGTACTACTACTATGCCCGACGAAGTTGCTGTCGACGACATTGAGAATACCCCGAAACAACAGCCTGGCCATTCTGTCTCCGACACAAATTCCCCTTATCAGCTACCGGAACCTGCAGTGAACCAACCCCCTCCAACCGCAGAGCGCGAAGTAGAAAAACGCGTTTCTGTTTCGTCTGTTTTCTCTCTTGCGTCGTCCCGGGGAGTCGCAAGCTCTGCTCCCTCGACAAACGGATCGGACGGTGGCGGCGGTATCCAACGCCCAGTATCAGGCATCATGGCTTCTGGTAAAGGCTTGGGTCTATCCCCAGGTCAATCTGAGTCTGGAGTGTCCAACGTAACAGTCACTACATCTTCCAATTCCAATTCCTCGCACCCCGTTAGTGGCCTCCAATTAACTGCGCGGGAAGCTCATCACGCCAATCCTCTGGACCTTGTCAAACGAAACCCTGCACCTACGTCAAACCCGGCTCCTCGGCCTCCCGTAACTCGGTCGCGAAGCAGGGCTAAGCGACGGTTAAGCGGTAGCACAGCGAATAGTAGCCACAGCCATAGTAGTGAACGAGGCCCTCACTCTAGAGAGAAGGAAGAGACCAAGCCGGCTCCATGGGGTATCATTGGTGTATGCGCGCTAGATTCTAAGGCCAGAAGCAAGCCAAGCAGGAATATTCTTAACAGATTAATTTCAAACCGTGAATTCGACGTTGTAGTGTTTGGGGATAAGACAATCTTAGACGAAGGTGAGAATAGAGCATTGATAATATAAGTTATCGATGACATAAGATGCTAACAGCAGAGCAGAAGTAGAAAACTGGCCGATATGCGACTATTTGATATCTTTCTATTCAGATGGTTTTCCTTTGGAAAAGGCCATAGCTTATGTCAAAGCCAGGAAACCGTTCTGCGTCAATGACCTACCGATGCAGAAGGTACTTTGGGACAGGCGACTATGCCTACGGATACTTGATCAGATCGAAGTACCGACCCCGAAACGAGTCGAAGTGAACCGTGACGGCGGCCCGAGTATACTTACCCCGGATATTGCGAAGCATATAAAAGATGTTACGGGCATTACCCTCGAGCCCAGCGGACCGGAAAGCTACCGCTACCCTCGCAAGGTAGAATTGCTTGACGACGGTGATATTCTAAGCGTAGATGGTACCCTGTTAAAGAAACCGTTCGTCGAGAAACCAACTAGCGGCGAAGACCACAACATCATTATCTATTTTCCAAGATCCTCTGGCGGGGGTGCCCGGAAGCTCTTTAGGAAAATTGGCAATAAGAGTTCGGAGTTTGTCAATGATCTCACCATTCCCCGTGCTATTACCGAACCGGAGGGTAGCTTCATTTATGAGAAGTTTATGCAGGTAGACAACGCAGAAGATGTAAAGGCCTACACAGTCGGGCCGCACTACTGCCACGCCGAGACAAGAAAATCCCCCGTCGTGGACGGTATCGTCCGGCGCAATACGCACGGCAAGGAAATCCGGTATGTTACCGCGCTGTGTCCGGAAGAGAAGGAGATCGCAAGCAAGATTGCCAATACGTTTGGACAACGCGTCTGCGGGTTCGATCTACTCCGAGCAGGCGGTAAAAGCTATGTCATAGATGTTAATGGTTGGAGCTTTGTCAAAGACAATGAAACCTACTACGATCACTGTGCGGGTATCCTGAAGGAGATGTTCATTAAAGAGAAGATTCGTCGTGGGGGACCAACGCCGCCTCTTCCATCACCCACTATTTCCGATATTGGTGATCCGCTAACTAGAGCTATTTTTAGTAGCAAGGAGAAAGATGCATTGGCTGGTACAAGGCAGCCAAAATCCGTAGGAAGCGCAGGTACAGTTTCCCCCGAGGAGGGCAAAGAAGGTAAAGATGAGCAGGGCACAGCAAATGCCTCGCCGTCTAAGTCTGATGCGGGAGTGGCGGGTATCGCGTCAAGACTGCAAAGTGGTATCATTGGCCCTATAACTTACCTCACAGGTAGTTCTGCTGCAAGCAGCTTACCAACTACGGCCCCTCCGACTCTTCCGGCCACACCCTCAAGTAGAGCAGAAGAGAAAACTGACCAGCTGGAAGAGCCGACACCACCTCCCCCTCCCCCCAAACATTCGTGGAAGCTTAAGGGAATGGTCTCTGTCATCCGACATGCAGACCGTACCCCAAAGCAGAAGTACAAATTTACATTTCACACGCAACCATTTATCGACCTTCTCAAAGGCCACCAAGAAGAAGTGCTCCTTATTGGAGAGCCTGCTTTGGCCAGCGTCCTCGATGCTGTCGACCTAGCCTTGAAGGCTGGCGAGGAAGACCGTAATAAGCTTAAATCTCTTCGTAACGTGTTAGTCAAGAAAGGAGGATGGGCAGGCACAAAAGTTCAAATCAAGCCAATGTTTCGTAAGAAGAAAACGGCCGAAATGAACGAATCACCTCCAAAGGTTACCGAGGGAGTAAAGATGGAGTCTGAGACTGTAGACAGCGTACCCGAAGGGACGGGAAATAAAAAGGAGCCAGACCAAACCCTTGCCAAAGAGCAGTCGAATGCCGAAGACGGTCAGCACCGGCCTGATCCTCCGGAAGGGATCGTATCTGACTCTGAACAAGAGCCGAAATTCCCACCGCGACGCCAAGATTCTATGTCAGGGGTAACAATGTCCAAGTTCACCGCAGCCGACAATAGTTTCGTTTTGGATAAGTTGCAACTTATTGTGAAGTGGGGAGGTGAACCGACTCATTCGGCACGTTACCAGGCACAAGAATTGGCACAAAATATGCGTAACGACTATCTCCTACTAAATCGTGCTATTCTGGACCAAGTCCACGTATTCAGCAGCTCTGAGAGGCGAGTCACAGCTAGCGCGCAGATTTGGACAGCTTCGTTTATAGAGAAGAATGAACTTCCAGAAGATTTCATTACCATACGAAAGGACTTGTTGGATGATTCCAATGCGGCCAAGGATGAAATGGATAAAGTCAAGAAAAAGCTAAAGGGCTTATTACGGAAAGGAAACGAACGGCCATCGCAGTTTGCTTGGCCAGAAGGAATGCCAGAGCCTTCCGAAGTGCAAACACGAGTTGTTCAGCTGATGAACTTCCATCGTCGTGTAATGCAGCACAATTATAGCAAACTGCAAACTGGCGCTGTAAACTCGCTTAATGCGATCAATTCCCCGGGCTCGGATAAGACTCATAGCGAGTGTTCTAATACATCCGTAGCCTCGTCACTTTCCCAAGCCAACGCTATCAACGGCATTCAAGCTCGCTGGTGCTGTGGCGAGGATGCAGAATTATTCCGCGAGCGTTGGGAAAAGCTCTTTGCCGAATTTTGCGATCACGAGAAAGTCGATCCTAGCAAGATTTCGGAACTGTACGATACGATGAAGTTCGACGCCCTACATAACCGCCAATTTCTTGAATGGGTGTTCACTCCTCCAAAGCATATGCTTGAGGAAGAGTTCGGTATCACTATAAACCGAGAGGGCAAAACCTCGCCTAAAGAGTCTGAAGAGGGAGGTAAAATAGCCGATGATAAGTCGGATAAAAGCCAAATCCTCGGATCATCGCCTGGGGAAAAGGTGGATAAGTCAGATCGGTCGGAGAGAGCCGATAGATCGGAGAATACCATGAAACGTATATTCCGCAGGAGATCGTGGATGAAACATCCCCACGAGGTCGATAGGCCTGCGGAATATTTCCACTTGCCTAAAGGTAACAACCAAACGAAGGCGAAGACAGACGAGTGTTTCGAGCCTCTTCGAGAGCTTTACCAACTTGCGAAGGTTTTGTTTGACTTCATCTGCCCGCAGGAATATGGCATCTCAGATAGTGAAAAGGTGGGCCAATCTTTTTCCTTCTAGGCAAGTTCTTGACTGACGTGGGTATTGTAGCTCGAGATTGGACTCCTGACATCACTCCCTTTGCTGAAGGAGATCGTCCAAGATCTTGAGGAGATGCAGGCGTCCGATGACGCCAAGTCATTCTTCTATTTTACCAAGGAATCGCATATCTACACATTACTAAATTGTATCCTCGAGGGTGGTATCGAAACGAAAATCAACCGCAGGACCATCCCCGAACTTGATTATCTCTCACAGATCTGCTTCGAATTATACGAGTCCGAGACTAAACTTCCGGTAGATGCATCACTCGTTGACCAGCCTACCTTCAACTACAGTATCCGCATCACGATCAGCCCCGGTTGTCACATTTTCGACCCGCTCGATATCCAACTTGATAGCAAACACTGCATAGGATGTGCGCCGCGTCGTAGCTTGACACCTCATGCGGACTGGAAGAAGGTTATTGAGACGCTCAGAGCCAAGTTTCATCAGTAAGTATTTCTTCTTTTTCTTTCCTACGACGTAAGGACGACGTCATTGGTATAACAAAAAGGCCGTATAGAACCAAGCCCAGCTGACTGTGGATAACCAATAGAGTCAAACTACCCAAGACCTTCCTCGCAGTCAATCTTTCGGACGCCTTCACGTTCCAGGAGAAGGAGCGGCAAAACTCCGAGACGGATTGCCTCGAGAAGGATTCCGGTGGCAATGAGACAGATAGCGACGGTCTTGAGATGAAAAAACTGAGCTCTTCGCGGTCCTCGCCTACGAAGGTCGATCCGCGTGGTGACGACACCGAGGAGGCATCGAAAGTTATTACTGACGAGCAGCAACAGCAAGTGCAACGACAGGTTCTTCCACCTCCCGCTGCAACGGTTAATAATGCGGCTGTTCTGCCTCCGGCCGCGAATACGGCGGGAACAACTGCCCCTGGATTAGAAGGTACCGAGGACGCAGGCACAGGCACAGTCACAGGCACAGTCACTAACACTAGCATGACTACTACCACCACCACCTCTGTCGACCCTGATCCAAATAAGATGGGATGACGGGTTTCTGTCTTTCTGCATGAGCGGCACGGAACTCGGATGAGGAACCGGTGGATTAATAGGGGAGCAGTTAACTACCGGGACAGGTTCGTCGATGATACGGCTGCACCCCCCCCCGTTCCCTTCCCCTTTTCCCCCTCCCCTTCTCGCCTTTCGCCCGCTCGCGAGCGGTGAGCAAATCCTCATAATTAGGACCGGGGAGGGGTCGGACGAAGTAAGACAAGCATTACATGCAGCATTGTCAAGAAAGGGAAAATTGTCCTGAGATAAGCATCATGACGTGCATCTAGAACGAAACGTTTTTTTTTTCTCTGCTGTTTCTTCGTCCTGTCTAGGTAGGTAGGTTGCTCGCCTTGGTATGTGCCTTGCCTAGCCTAGCCTAGCCTAACCTAATGTATGTAGTAATGCATGTATGTAATGTGTTCATATACGTATATATATCGCTACCGAACAATTTAAAATATGACAGGGCGTCATGTTACAAGGGGTTATATACTACCTCCTATATAAGCAGAGAGATGCGCTCGTAATTTAATAGATGAGGACATGATAAGCGAACGGAACCGAATCCACGTGGACTTGGCCTTTTTCACGCCCCCGTTGCGTGTCCGTCAGCATGGCAGATGATTTATTATGTGCGTTTGTGCGCATGCATGTAAGTAAGTAAGGTAGGTAGGTATGTAAGGCATGTAATGTAAGGCATGTAATGTACATATGTATGTTATGGGCTGAGGAACCAACCACATGTGAGGTGCCCCATGTACGGGAACTAACTGAACTCCAACAGATCTTACCGAACTTTTAAGATTTAGGCGCGCATAGCCCCAACGCCAAACGCCTTGTAATGTGCCGATGCGAGATGGTTCCTGAAGCGGGTGCTGTTTTGGGAAGGGGGGAAAGCCCCCTCTGACCCGTCACTTTTCACGATGATGATGATGATGGTGATGGTGATGATGTAAAGGAGCACCGGTCAGAAAAAAAAGAAATTTCACCGAAGATACTTTTTTTTTATCTTCCACTTTCCTTTACCTTCAACGCCATGCCGGGAAGGAGGCACGGAACGGCACGGAGAAGTTTTTTTTTTTTTTTTTCTACTGCGATTGCTCCTGCGACTGCTTTCTTTTATCACTTCTGAGCAGCCGGCGAGCGAGACCGAGTCCCTTGCGTAGTTCATCATCTATACATCATCGAACGTCACCGGCCTCGGTTTTAGTTAGGTCTTGGTCCTTGGTAAGGAGTACTGAGAGGAAAGTGACAGCTGGACAGAAAAGCCTAGCTTAGAGGTGTTGCGAGTAAGCATGTAGAGTAGGTAGGTGGTGGGCATCCCGGCATTGAAGAACCAAGGTTGTAACGTCGAGCCGCGCCTTGTCCCCCCGGTCCCTAAAAGTTACCTATCATCCGGGGACACCAGTCGGAAATTTTGAAGCAAGATATGAAAAGGGGGGGGTTAAAAGGTTTCGGAGAGTGTTCTCTCCCCCCCCCTTCTTCTTACCTCGCAGGCGGATGACTGGCATGACTGATCTGACCATGGTCAGGACGGGATGCGTAACCGTGACGATCCAGATTATTGTGCTCTTGTGCACTAGGCCGCAGCTCATAAGGTGAGGCATGATGCGCGCGGCACTAAAATATATGCACGAACGTTGCGTACGGAGAAAAGAGTCGGTATGCATCTCCGAGGTTTCTTTCACCTGCCAATTAGGTAGTGCATGTACTTCTTCGCGTCTACTATGTAAGGAATATAAGCAGGCAGACACAGATACAGATCCATACCTACATCATGGGTATGATGATGGTGGTGCCGGCGGTGGGTAACTAAAGGCCGATTTTTCCAGGTGGAAAGGCAGAAAAGGGCGATGAAGAAGGGAGACACTAAGGAGGATTTAAAAATGTGATAGATCATAATATACTTTCGTCACACGAAATCTAGGCTGTCATGAGCAGCTGGGTTATTTTTTTTTTTTGTACCATAGTAGTCTGCCCCGCCAAAATATAAGAACCGAAAAGTAAAGAGAAGAAGGAGGGGGTAAAAGGAACACGGAAACCTGTTCACGGGCCCAGAATAATCGAATATCATCCGACGGTCCGCCAGTACGATGGAAACGGAAGATGAGCCGTCGACATCATGCGGCAGTAGAGCGGACCGCTGATTCAGAATATTCCGGCTTGAGTACTACTCCGCAACGTTGTTTCTGAGACCTTTCAAACGGGGCTGATAACTGCCCAATAGCGAAGTCGAGAACCTTGCAATCGAAGTTCGGAATGGCCAGCCGTATAGGGCTTGGGGAGGAGGGGGGAACACATAGCGTTCATTATCAACTTTCCGGCCGTCCAATTTTACCGAACCACATTCGACGCTGGGCATATCCGACCCTGTCTGGTTGGTTTACCTAGGAACTGCGACTTCGGGCTCTTTCTAGCACTTCCTAGCTCATCTTTGATCTCCTCCCGCTTAAAGTCCGCCAGTACCATTATTAACGCTTCATGCTCGAATTAGGTACCGAAAGCCGTCACAGGGCCAGCGGGGTTACAGACGTCGTGAAAAATATTAAGCTAGGCCTTTCTCCGTAACAAGGTTAGTAGGAAGCAGTCGTCAACCGGCGAACTTTGCCCTGTCAACAACACAATAAAACAACGGTGATTGTGGGCCGTTCCGATATTAGAAGGTTGTGCGCATAACATGGCCTGTCTTGTTCAAGATCAAAACCCGCCAAAGCTTACCACGCATCCGGCACTTTTACCAGTTGGCCGCCAGCGCCTCTAGAAGACTTTGTCGACCGGGCTATGTGACGTGGGATCATTCAAGGTGGGGGCAGCAAGTTGGCGAGGGTCATAGAGAGACATCCATAGTGGGGGGAGAGACAGGGAGTCTAGGCGTAGCCCCTCAATCAGAAACGAAAATAAATACAGGGAAGATGACGGGGAAGAAAATATTAAGACAGTCCTGTACATGGTAGTTCCCTATCATGGCAGCCGTGACAGGTAGCCAAAAGAACGGTAGGTTGCGTTGTAATCTATTATAAAGACCGCCAAAAAACAGGTACTGAGAGATCTGGATGGCCTTGGCAGGGCTAGGCAGGACAAAATAAGCTCACTTCCTCAATGAAGGTACCTATTGCATAGTAGCAGTCGACGGATCCTGGCGACTGGTCGTCAGATTCCGTATCACATGTCTATATCAGGGGATGCTTCACGATGAGGACATCTATTAGCCTGTAAGCTCGAAAAAGCTTTCACCTTGAATGTGAAGATCACATCAGGGAACCCATTCGCAACCTGACTCTGGCACTGACCTCATTGATATTCAGGACCGGCCCATTAGAACCTCACGATAATCCCTTTGACCGCAATGGAGACCGAAGTTTCATAAGCACGGGCTGTCGATATTTTTGGCCACCAATGGGATAATTACCTAATGTAATGCGAACCCAAGCCCATACCAGTCGGTAGTTTCAACAATGTTGAAAGCATTCAGTACCTAAGGTAGCGTATTGCGTATGTAGATACGTAGTCCGGTTTCCTGCCCGAAGTTTTGTTTGTCCTAGTTATTTGATATGGGAACCGTTGGCACCAACAACATTTGGAGAAAGCAAAAACTACGAAAAATGTGTATTTGGCTTGCAGTATTTGCGTAAGCCACGCAAGACATGTTTGCTAAAGTCCAATTGCCAGTTCAGGCCGGATATAGAAAATATCGTATTCGATTTCACTAAGGTCGGGTTGCCGACTCGACTGACCCATGCTTGAACATCCACGATTGGCTACGGGGGACCAGACGGGGATTGTTTGATGTTGTATTAACGGCCAACCGGTGAGCTTACCCCCGGGCTATAATATATGAATTTGCTTCTGGGATAGTCAATACGACCGGCCGCTTTTCTAGATTCGTTCCCAAATAGGCGCTGCGCAAACCAGTTCTAGTATTAAACAAGCTTGATGTGACCGGTAGTTGGTGTCGTGGTTAATTACATGACTTCCGTTTTGGGCCATTTGCATCTCATCGTGACCAACCAGAGGCGACCAACATAGAATTGAGTGATGACTCCCGCACGCGACAAAGATGAATCTTGTGCTACAAAACGCCTGCGATCACGATTTTGACTTGTCGGGTAGCAATTGGATACTCGAATAATGGAATCGAGTCCTGGCATGGCATCGAGAATACGTGGCCTGTCCCTCTAAGTACAGTACTATAGGTAGCACTTTGGCATTACGCAGTACGCATCCACAGCCGGTGGGTGGCACAATGCAAAGCTCGGTATTGCATTCTAGGTATGTAGTTGAAGAGGAAGGCCGGAAAGGAAGCCAGCCGATTGGCGTTGATATTGACCAATATCTTTTCACACGACAAATTATTTTGCTAGGAGGTATCCCCGGGTATCCTGGCTCTGGTCGCACGGTGGGGCTCGTTTTCCAAACCAGGAGGGACCCGAATCATGTACATCCTTGGAACTAACAAACCGACATTATTAAAACCACGTGCGACATTGGTTTCCAAGCCTATGCGGTGGAGCTAAAGGTTGATACTAGAAGCTTGCTTCGAAGGGTTGGATCCGTACCTTGGGTAAACTGTGGATTTGGTCTCGCTGGCGGTCGGGGAATTTTATGATTTGTTCACCAAAATCTCCGGGGGCATAAAGCGTGAAACCTTTGAAGACGGGGATAGTCTCGCTAGAAATCCTTTTCATTAAGCGAGACTAGCTCGCGGTCTCGCATCCCAAACACGGTACCGCTGGCCGCAGGGACGGCCGCAGGCTATTGCGCATGAGGGCGCGGTCAGCAGACATCAGCAGAACACTAGTTTAAGCCAGTTTAACAGAAAAGGGCGAAATAGTACGTCGTGCCTAGGGCTCACACTACCCGTTTGTCCAAAGGTACTCCCAAGCCACAGGTCTGTGTCTGTAGGTAGGTACCTATCCAAATGAGAAGGTAGATAACCGACGCTTTGGGAGGTGCCAAGATGCTGTATATAAAACGTCTTATCATCGTCATCAGGTTTTCCTTCGAGGCCCGAACGCAACAAGGATGAAAAATGTAATTCAGCTTCAAAGGTAGAAAAAAATAATATAGCGTAGCATGATGCAAATCGCGCTTGGTAAGTTAGACGGGCCCACGTCGAAGGTTTGAGGTAACGTCGCAAGACTCGTAGGGCTCTGTGATGAACTTCATCTCCACATGAAAGCGGGTATTCCATGCCCCAAGGTCCAGGATGCCGTACCGCCATTGCGGCGGTAGCTAATAAGGAAGCGACGCTACTACAACTGAC